TACATCTCTGGATGCATTATTCTATAATCTACTAAGAGTAAGAGATGATTTCATAGAAAATCATAGACTGCACATCTTTCAGTGTCACATCGTCTACTGAGGGACATATTAGACCATTTAGGAACTACATTTAGACTGTCCTACCAGCTTGAACATCACTGAAGATGTCCTGGAAATGTCCTTGAAGATGATCTCTGGAAAAGAGTGGGAAAGATCAGACAGTAGCTTCAGTGTGTTCATAAAAAACTGAAAATTGTGAGTTTGTTGTTCTGGTGTTTGAGCAAATCTCAATGTGATCATTTAAAATACTGTGGGATCTAAACTCAGATATCTTCAGCCTAAATTTAACATCATTCTGACTTATGATATGGAGGATACTGTATCCAGTGCTTGATGTATCCACTGGGTGGCAGCACACAACATGTTGTGCTGAACATGCTATTGGATCTGACAGATTCAAAAATGAATTCAATTTAAAAAACATGGGAAAGCCCAGGATCAACCATCAGAAAAGAGGGATAACAAAAGGCTGGAAGTCAGTCATTATTGTGGGAAATTATGGGACAAAAAGTTCCCATCATGAGATAGTGAGTCAATGATAGGCAAAAAGATCAGCTTTATTTTGTTACCTGTTTTTTTTATTCACCTGTTATTCACCTGTTACTTCATCTCTTCCAGTTAAGATGCGGGTAAGCAAATGTGGAGTCAGCTTTATTCCACAGGCTGTCTTCACTGTGACACCCAGCTAGCCTAAACCACAAATAGTTTTGATAGTTTACTAGCTTATCTTACAGTTCAGTTTAGGGCACAGACAGTGTGGTTTCACAAATTAAGAGTTTGCAGACTTTCCACTATTCCAAAGTGAAGATAAACTATTTAATCTCACTGATAACATGGTATTCCTTCTGGAGCCTGCACTTACAGAGTCATCTTTATATTATTTTTACATAATTCCATCCTTGATATGCATAGTCGTTTTTACCCATCCAACCACCATTCTCTGTTTGTTGCTTGAAGTTATGGTCCATTTGATAATATAGACACCTTTTAATGACAATAAACCTCTGGGTTTGAGGAGCCCATCCTCTGTTTAAACAGGCAGCTGTGTCTCTGCAGCTTTTCAAGCAGTCCAGACACACGATCTTGAGTGAAACCTTCAACTGACTTATGATTGCGAAAAGAATATAACACATGTTCACCAGCATCAGTGAGGCTTAAGGATCTCACAGATCACAAAATCATTTCACATATCTGAGTTTTTTATTTATTTAAGTGAATTTCACATCAAGAATAAGTTTATGAGAGAAAATCTAAAGCTGAAGGAGGTTCAGCGTGTTCAGTGGATTGCTGTGGTGCTGGACTTTCACAATCAAACTGGTTGTACCGTGTTGCTCTTGAGCAGTTTGACTGCCATCCACTTTGGACCCAGAAAGAGTCCTTCACTGTGAGATGGAAAACATGTCATGAGCACAGATCCTGCTCTTGGTCTTATTGTCACCAGACCTCTTGGCGTTACAATCAAGCACAAATGTATTTTTCAAAGACGAATATTTGTAGTTTAATCTCTCAGTTGACCCAAACGCAAGTATCCTTTGATCTTCATCTTGTGGTTGTTCATCAGAAAAACGCTTCAATCTGTATTCTCAAGGAAACTTCTGGATCGACATCAAGACTTTAAGGGCTCTATTTTCGTTCGCGCCGGTGAGGCGGCGGAGGGCGGCGAGCCCCGCGCAGCTGTATTTTCGTCTGGCGGAGCCCGGCATAAGGCGAGTTTGGTATTTTCGTGGACTGAGTCGCACGGAGGCGAGCCGAGATTCACCAAGCTGGGCGTGGTGGCGTGGCAGGGGGAGGTGTTGACAGAATCAGCTGGCGCAGTGACATTTTCGTGCTCGCCACTGGCGTGTAACGTGCGCTGAAAGCTCGCCGATTCAAACCTGGTCAGCTTTCAGCGCAAGGCGGAACACAGCTGGTTTAGTAGTATTTTGGTAGACCGGCGGCGTATCGACATACGTCACCGATGCCTCACCGGCAGGTTTCCACAGTGTCAGGCAGATTTCAGTGCATTAAATAATCATCAACAACCATTAATCTGAGTCAGCACATACATTTAGATCTATATCGATATATTCTGATCTATATCTGATCTGATGAGCGCGTTTGGCACGCGTTTGGGCACACAAGCTGACCAAATCAATACAGCTGAAACTGCATCAAATTAAATTAAATATCTAGTAAATAAACACACATGATGAAGTTAACAAGATATGTAATGTGTCTCCCTCCTTTTCTTTCTTCCTCTTATTTCTCGCACAGCTCGACCTGGACACGTCTCCGTGTCTTCTGTCCGTCTTCCTGCTGCTGCTGCGGCTGAACAGATGATTTGTTTCAGTGCTCAGATGCGTGATCTACTTTAAGCCGACATACGGATATTATAATATTCAGTTTTGTGGGCCAAATTTATTTTATATGCCAACATCTATGAAAGAAAGAGCCAGGCCACGGAGCGCGATGCGTCATTTACGCACAGATGGTTCCGATTTTAATGCCATTTTTGGAGTTTATGTTGTGATCTGTGCGCTAAACCCACCTTTGTCACGTGAGGTTTGAATATATGCAACTTTATGGGAGTGTCTTTATTTGTGGAAAAGGGTGTTTGTCTTACCAGTGGGTCCAACATTACGCACACCAAATCCATCTGTGCTCAGATGAGAGAGTGTGGAGGACACTTGTTGAGCAGCTGCCCTCTGTCGCCATCGTGTGGCATAACTGTCTTCAGACATCTCTTGATCTCTTTGACTACTTCATGAAAATAGTAATACGCCTCGCCGGTGGGGGATTTAAAGGCAAGGAGAGGAGCTTATGTGATTGGTGAAAACAGGTCTCGGCTGTGTTAAACACACTATACGCCCTCTCTCCTCCCCGTCTACGACTTATGCTGCCGGGAGGAGCTGAGTTAGGGAGGGGGGATACTTACGCCGGGCTGCGCGGCTCACCAAAATACCAAAATGTGCTTGGGAACGCCTTGTCAGCGCGGCGGATCTGATTGACGCTGCGCTTGCGGCACGTCTCCGGCGAGGCACCAAAATAGAGCCCTAAATCTCCAAATTATGACATGCATAAAAAAATATGAAACAATATTTTCACTCAAGAAGAAATTACTCAATTTTTGAATTTAAAGTTTTTTTTTATATTTTATCAACATAGCTGTGATTTGGAGCAAGTTTGAACAAAACATATTTCATGAACCTGGATGTTCACTTTTCTTGTCTGGCAGGCAGCAGTAGCTGATGTTGGAGTTCAACAAGAGGAGAGGGATAAATAATGGTTTGTATAATAAGTAATATTTAGCATCACTGATAAGTAAAAGAAGATAAAGTATGACACAACATGGTTAGTAAAAGTCATCTTCAGATTTTTCAGTGACCAATAAAGGACTTGCATTGTATCATACACAGTTATATTTAAGATTATTCCACATCAATTAATGTAATCCAGAAGCTCATACTGTTTTCATTAAGTGATCATCAGCAGCAGTAGCTCATGTGTGGGAGTAAGAAAAGGGAAAAATTGTCATTAATCATGGTTAGTGAGAGAGCAAGAGTCATCTTCATGTACAGTCACACTCTGTGGATTGTTTGGACCATAACCAACAAACATTACATTTAGAAGGAAAGATTTTTGTTTAGACACAGATGATCAAACTCACTTTTACTGTCCACTTTACAATAGCAGCTCAGGTGGTGGGGTTTAAAAAAAAAGAGAAGAACAATGAATTCAAGTTGATCAATCAGAGGGGAATGAAACGTAAAACATTGGTCTTTTTTTTTTGTTTACCATCAATTCACTCTCATCAAGAGTCAGTATGAAGATTAGACTGACTTTTTTTGACAGCCCTCTGGATGAGATAAGGTTAGAGAGAGAAATCATCTTTGATGGTTCAGTTAATGATATTGTTAAAATGAGCAGATTTACACAATGACATGAACATTATTTTTTGTGACCATTATTTGTCTCTTGTCACAGTTCAATAAAGTCATACTCTCCTTTTTATTCCAGTCATCAGCAGCAGCAGCTCAGCTGGTGGAGAAAGATGAAATGAATGAGTTCAATAGCAACAATAAATAACAAACACCATTACAATTACACATGGAGTATTTGAGTATTATCCTCACTCAACTTTGCTGAAAGGAAAAATTTCAAGTGCTTAGAGAGTGACAATAGATGGGACAACTACAAGAACTGTGACAAGTCTTTGATAACAAGACTGTAAATGTGTTTACAGTGCAGTGTTTGATCTGTGGAGAGTGGTAGGTGGATGTTTTGATGAAACATAATGTTGCCTTTACCTCTTTTTTATTCTCTTCCAGAGCTGGAGCTTAACATAAGTTTAACTTTTGATAAATCGTGCTTAAATAATCATACAAACAAATGAAGAGCGTAATATCTCTTTTACAGGCTTCTATTATTGCATAAGGTATAAGGTATAAGAGGTAGGTCTTTATAAGCATTGCTTCTGCCTACACCCTTTCAGTAATATTATACGGAAACAAATAAATCATTCATTCATTCTATTAAAAATTTGAATAAAAGTCATATTTGCTCAGATTGAAGGATTAAAAATAGTCCATTCTTACTTTTTCTTGGTTCTCACCTTCTCTACATGACAGATATTTATACTTACCTTTTCCATCATAAAATGAATGGAGTTAGTTCATCTTTATAAATTGTTGGTCTGCTCTTCATGGTCCTCTTTTTGTTAAAAAACAGATCCTGAAACTACTGGTGTAAGGCAGACTAGGTGGTTGAGGCTGCTGTTTTCAGAGGATGTTTAGTTTCTTCCTGCCTCTGCAGCTTCTCATGTTTCTTCTTCTCTCTCCCTGTGCGGTCCAGTCACCACTCCATCAGTAAGAGTCTCTAGTGCTGTAATGTGGGAGATTGAGTCCATCTGAAGGCAAGATGAGGTCTACCTCTGTCCTCTCCAGCCCTGCCAGACGCTACGACTACATGCGTGGGGATGTAAAGGGGAATGTAGGGTCTTCTTCCTTAAGGCCATCGCTGCTGAAGAGTTCTACACACTCCTCTGAGGTCAGGGATCCAAGGGTCTCAGGCTCCAGCTGAGGGATCTGAAACTCAGAAATTTCATCAGGATCAGCAGCCAGAGGTTGAGCAGCAGAAGCATCATCAGGGGGATCATAAATGGTAAGCATAAGGAGCAGCAGCAGGAGCAAAAGCTGGAGCAGGGTAAGCAGGTGGAGCAGCATAAGCAGGAGCATAGGCTGGACCCTCCTGCAACTGAGGAGGAGAGAGAGCATCATTCAGCTCCTCCTCCCACTCCTCTCCTCCTCCGCCATCAGGTCGCTCAAACCTGAGAGAAGATTCAGCGCCTCCATCATCTCTCTGAGGCTTGGCCATCTGCCGCACCTCCTGGTGGTCCAGAACAGCAACGTCAATCTCCTCTTCTGTTTTAAAGAAAGCAGGACGTGTTTAGAGACAAATAAAGTGACTCTACTACTAATTAGAAGATCATGTAACAGAAAAATATAATTCTCAAAAATGTGAGCAGATCAAACACATCATCATGCTCATTTAGTCTCTGTCGGCTCCACTCCTGTAAACTTTTGAGCACCATAATCCCTCTCACCTCCTTCATCAGGTCTGCGAGGCTCAGGTACCTGAAGCTCCTCCTCATCATCCAGACCCACAACATTAATCTCTTCCTCCTCTTCTTCATCAGCAGTGGCTGGTGGAGGATTCTGAATGATCTTCTCAGGCCACTCAGCATCAGGATGCTCCATGATGTTGTTCCAAGGCCAGAAAAGTCCACCTGAGAGGGAGAGATTCACATATAACACACCATATTTAGATTCATCCCTCATGTTTAATACAGTGTCAAACTGTACTGTGTTTGAAGTGTTCATGGAGAGATTAGTTCTCCATATTTGACTTCTGACAGTTATGGTAGTTTTACTAAATACTTAAAATAAAGGTCCGGCCAGCCCGGCATTCAAAATTGGGACTTTTTCAGATTCTGATTCAGATAACTTTTTTAATCCCCCAAAGACAACTCATTTCACAGTGACCCTGCCTCATTGAACCATCAAACAATTAGGGAACAAACAAACGCAAGACATTCATAGCAGCATACTACCCCAACATTCTCCTGTTATCACCCCAGATCAGCAGGATCAGCAATTAATAAATAAACATATAATAAATACAAGTGCAAGAAGTTCAACAGTGAAATGACTAAGATGCAATAAGAAATAAGGACATAAAAGAAGTTAAATAAAAAATAAAACAATCCTGAGATTTCAAATTCAGCACAGACCACCGATCAGCTACAGTCTACTTCCCAGCATTTAGCAGCCTGATCACTGAGGGGATCAATGAGTTTGAGTATGGATTTGTTTTCCTTGGGGGTGCATATTAGCGTCGTCCAGAGGGCAGAAGAGAAACGTCAAAGAAGAGAATGTGTCCTGGTTGATCTATAATTCGTCTGGCTTTCTGGACCTTGCATTTCTCCCAGAGAGATCTCAGGTCCATCAGCTGCACTCCGGTAATCTTGGAGCAGACTTTGTCTATCTGGTTCAGGCTGTTTCTGTCCTTTACTGATAATCTGTGAAACCAGCATATTGTTCAGCAGTGTCTGTTGCAGTGATGAGAGTACAGTGCAAGTATCTCTGAAAGTCACACCAGCTAAGGTCACCTCAGGTCACATCATTGTTACCATGGCATTTAATGACGTATGTGCGTGCGTGTAAATGCAGAGATGATTTACAGAAAAGAAGATAAATTTATTGCAGGTTTTGCGATAATTCTTGATGTTGGGATCTTTCATTTCTTCAGAACCTGATGGAGTGTCTCTGTTTTCTTTCTGTAAAAGATTATGCTGAAGCTGATGCTGGGTCATTGAACGTCTTATACTGAGTGAACATTTAAACACAGGATCCAGGATTCAGTTTAGAAGGTTTATTTTCTTTTGTCTTCTGTGGATGATTTTTTCTGTTCAGACAATCAAAGAAATAGAAACAAGATGTATCAATATAAAATACAAAGGGGGACTTATGAAGTCAAATGAATTTGTAAATTTGTTAGCTTACATCATAAATGCATCCACGTCAGAGCTTTAAATCATCACTAAATTTGGGTTTAGTTTGACAGCAATCTAATGAAATAATATTTGACAATAAACCATATTAGAAATAATACAAATCAGGAGAATCAAACAAAATTTGGTAAGGCTTTTTCCATTTTCAACTCACATTCAGACTCCCTTTGTTCTCTGCTGATCTTTGGTCAGGGTGCAAGAGGAAGAGAAGGCCTGAGGGCTGGCTTTTATGATGTTGGGAGTGTGGCTTGGCCTTGAGTGACAGGGGGAGTCAGGTGTGGTGATGGTGAGTTGAGAACTTGGAATTTAACACTTTCAGTTAATGTAGGCGGTAAACTCATGATAAGTCCTGTAATGCTGCCAAAGCACTTACCCTTTTGTTTGTGTTTGCCTAACCTCTTTTTTCTTCACTTTATTCAATCAAACAAATCAAATTTTATTTATATAGCAATTTTCATGCAAAAGCAAATGCAGAACAAAGTGCTTTACATGTTAAAAACAATTGAAAAAAAACAATTTCCCTCCCCCCACCCCCGCCAAGACCTAACCCTAGCACACGCATGCACGCATGCACACACACAGAGATAATGCATTCTGAAAAGCATGTGGCTGAGTACAGAGGAGCCAGGTCAGGAAACACCAGGAGGCCGACATCACCGGAGGCTGCTCATGGCCCAGGGCCAGGACACCTCCACCCAGGCACACACCCTTCTACACGCCAATAAGGGGTTCACAGCAGCAAGCACTGCTGTTGATCCCCACCTAGCCAAGCTGAGTGCACTTTAGTCAACATCTCTTTGAATCAGCTCTGATGTGTTTTTACATCCCTTGCTTGTATGTTATTTCCCAATTTCTTTTCTCTGCTGGTAACTGACCAGCCATTAATCAACAATTTCAGGTTTCCAGCTCTCCCAAAAAGTTGACAGTATTATTTTAAAAATTCCTCCATGTTGTGCATCATTGTTGTGCTATCACATCCCTTGGATCACTTTTGCCTGAATTATCAGCTGCTGTGGAGTTTTGATCAGGTACAGTCAAATATTTAACACAGCTGGTAAGTCGATAAGCAAGGTAATAGATAGTCTCAAAAGTATCCTAGTACCAAAAATGAGGGACTAATGTTTATTTAAGTCATGCCAATCAAAATAAATCACCTTTCCCAACAGATGAGGGGTTCCTTCACTTCTCAAATAACAGATAAATAAGGATTTTCAGACAAAGAGGACAAAATTATTTAATGAAGTTGAAAACATTGGTAATACCTTTATATTCATTATGTCATGGAAGTAAAAAAATTAACTGCTCCTGTCCTGGGGTTACAATTGCAAAAAAAAAAAATCTACCCAATGAGAATATTTGTGTTCCTGAAATATAGGGGTGTGATTTTATTGCCTGTTCTCAAACATAAGTTGTATTGATTACATCATGTAGCATGTGGTTGAAAAATCCAAGTTTTTCTGTTGAGTTATTACCAAATTACAGTCAGACTGCTGAGTTCTTTGGAGAGGTCTGTCTTTGACGGGTAGACAACTTTCAGGTTTCCTTCCTGGTCAACTGTTCGAACCTGCTGGACTATGAGTTCACTGGAGGTCTCACAGCTCGCCGCAGGTTCTGGTGGGGTGTCTCCTTCCCCATCTGAACCAGCCTCCTCCTTATGTTCAGCTGTAAACTTGTTCAATTCTGCCATTTTCTGCAAAGAAACAGGAAATGCCCTTTAAATGCTTAGTTTCAATCAATAACATGGGCTTAAAGCTGTTATTTCAAAGACACAGACACTATGAAACTGAATCTGCCATATACAGGATATACACTCACCGGCCACTTTATTAGGTACACCTGTCCAACTGCTCGTTAACACTTAATTTCTAATCAGCCAATCACATGGCGGCAACTTAGTGCATTTAGGCATGTAGACATGGTCAAGACAATCTCCTGCAGTTCAAACCGAGCATCAGTATGGGGAAGAAAGGTGATTTGAGTGACTTTGAACGTGGCATGGTTGTTGGTGCCAGAAGGGCTGGTCTGAGTATTTCAGAAACTGCTGATCTACTGGGATTTTCACGCACAACCATCTCTAGGGTTTACAGAGAATGGTCCGAAAAAGAAAAAATATCCAGTGAGCGGCAGTTCTGTGGGCGGAAATGCCTTGTTGATGCCAGAGGTCAGAGGAGAATGGCCAGACTGGTTCGAGCTGCTAGAAAGGCAACAGTGACTCAAATAACCACCCGTTACAACCAAGGTAGGCAGAAGAGCATCTCTGAACGCACAGTACGTCGAACTTTGAGGCAGATGGGCTACAGCAGCAGAAGACCACACCGGGTGCCACTCCTTTCAGCTAAGAACAGGAAACTGAGGCTACAATTTGCAAAAGCTCATCGAAATTGGACAATAGAAGATTGGAAAAACGTTGCCTGGTCTGATGAGTCTCGATTTCTGCTGCGACATTCGGATGGTAGGGTCAGAATTTGGCGTCAACAACATGAAAGCATGGATCCATCCTGCCTTGTATCAACGGTTCAGGCTGGTGGTGGTGGTGTCATGGTGTGGGGAATATTTTCTTGGCACTCTTTGGGCCCCTTGGTACCAATTGAGCATCGTTGCAACGCCACAGCCTACCTGAGTATTGTTGCTGACCATGTCCATCCCTTTATGACCACAATGTACCCAACTTCTGATGGCTACTTTCAGCAGGATAATGCGCCATGTCATAAAGCTGGAATCATCTCAGACTGGTTTCTTGAACATGACAATGAGTTCACTGTACTCAAATGGCCTCCACAGTCACCAGATCTCAATCCAATAGAGCATCTTTGGGATGTGGTGGAACGGGAGATTTGCATCATGGATGTGCAGCCGACAAATCTGCGGCAACTGTGTGATGCCATCATGTCAAAATGGACCAAGCTCTCTGAGGAATGCTTCCAGCACCTTGTTGAATCTATGCCACGAAGAATTGAGGCAGTTCTGAAGGCAAAAGGGGGTCCAACCCGTTACTAGCATGGTGTACCTAATAAAGTGGCCGGTGAGTGTATAAAAGTTGCCTTTTCAACATTTACACAACCTCCTTTTTTGAATGCATTTCTTTCAAGCATGTCTTCTACATGTATTTTTATTGGGAAGTTGCATTTGTCCAGTAGATATGTTAAGCTCAGTCTTCCTGACCATCAACATAGCCAAAACACTGGAGTGTCTGTACCTCCAGTACAAGATGTTCCATCCACCAAAATGGATGAAAGTTGCTGATGTTGCCCAGGTGGTGGCCTTGGGACCTGACTTACTGAAGTTTTGTGTATTTGAATATGTGAAAACTTCAGAGCACCCACAGACAAACGCACAAGCTGATCTACTCATATTGCGCAGTGAGGACTGCGTTGTTCATTTTGCACATCTGCTTTGATGGATACACAATAAGATAAGAAGAACTTTATTCATCCTCAACATGAAATCCAATTGTTTGGAGTCTCATTTCATCTACTATTTACAGAAGAATTATGAAGTCTGATGGTTGTGGTTTGAAAAGATATCCTGAATCTTTCTGTCCTGCAGCAAAGAGAGAGGAGCCGTCCACCGCCATTAGCCCTTTGGTCCATTAAGGGGATATTTCGGCGTAAAATTAATTCAGGGTCAAACACACCGTAACACCGTGTTAGACAACCCCTCGAGAGATGAACGTTGTGGACCGCTTGCCTCTCTAGTTAAACCAACCAATTAAACCAACTCGTAAAACAGCAGGATAGCAATACACAGCAGTCTGAGAAGCCACGCACAAACCTCAACCAAAAAGCCACTCTATAACCACAAATAATGCTTAGAACAGCACCAAACTTCATCAACAGTACAGAGACTAAACACAACTCACCAACTCTCTTCCAGCAGCCGCTTGTTCATGTAGCTAGCTAGTCGTTTGTTTGTAGCGAGACCTCAGGCCAGTCTATTATGGACTACAGCAGGGTGACACTGCTCTAGGAAGAACATTTATGATCATTTTTTCATGGAAATGCAATGAGACCAAGACACTAAAGCTGAAGAACTACAGCGTCTACTGTGCAAAATGATTAATATAATCATTTTTACTTCAAGGAAATGATAAAGAAATGATTATAAATGTTCTTTCTTGAGCTGCGTCCCCCCGCTGCAGTCCGTAATGGATTAGCCCTAGGTCTCGCTACAAACAAGTGGCTGCTGGAAGAAGGTAGGTGAGTCGTGTTTAGTCACTCTGCTAAAAAATTAGGCAAAGTTAAAAGATGTTTGGAGGCTGTGGTTAGGACCCTATATGTACTGTTGATGAAGTTAGGTCCTGTTCTGAGCATAATTTGTGGCTATAGAGTGGTGTTTTGGTTGAGGTCTGTGTGTGGTTCCATAGACCACTGTGTATTGCTATCATGCGGTCGTTACTTAAGTTGGTATAACTACTGAAGCAAGCGGTCGGCAAAATTCATCTCTTAAGGGGGTATCTAACTCAGTGTTACGGTGTGTTTAACCCTAAATTAATTTTTGAAAATCCCTTTAAGGTGTTATGAAGTGGATGATCCGTGTTCTTTAGAATAGCCTAAACCTTCCTCAGTGTACATCTCTCCACCACATCCTCCACTGCATCTGACTTGAATCAGAGCCAGAGCCAGCCTTTTTCACCAGTTTGTTCAGACATCTTGCATCTTTGTATTTGATGCTTCCTTCCCAGCAGACTGCAGCGTAGAACAGCACAGAACACTGTAGATACCACAGACTGATAAAACATCTGCAGCATCTTACAACAGATGTCTTTTGTTCAGAGTCCTCTCAGGCCAAAGAGGCGGCTCTGCCCCTTTTTGTAGATGAAGTCTACATTCTTACTTACAGTTATTGTTATCCCCTACCTCCACTCCCCACATGTCCTGTCTCTCTTTAGCTATCCTATCTAGTGAAAGGCAAAATATACCAAAAATAACAGTTTAGGCTGTAATACTTCTTCTGTAGTGCCAAAAAACAGACACATAAAAGACCACGCTTACTACAATCAGGGCGTCCATGACATCTTTGCATGTCTGCAAGCTGGTTGCACTTGTCACCTCCAAGAACAACTCTTCAGTTGTCTTCTTGATCTGTAGGGTAAAGCAAGCTGAACATGTTATCATTCATTACTTTGAATACAAACTGAATTTTTTTTTTTTTTTAATTAAATTAATTGATCCAAACAAAACCCATGTTTATTTCTTCTGTCAGCTCCATCTAAGCCATACTAACCTTAGTTTTCTCACTGTTGGTGATAGGTGGGAATGAGATCACATGTCCCTCTGCATCTACTAGACAGGGATAGAGGGATTTTCCTTGAAGAATCTGCAGGTATCTGTACAAAAAATGCTGTTATATTAGTTGTGAGCAGGGGTGGACAGTAACAAAGTATATACTTAAACACTGTACTTAAGTACATTTTCTGAGTATCTGTTCTTTACTTGAGTATAATTTTTTGGGAAAACCTGTGACTTTTACTCCACTACATTTAAAGGACAAACACTGTACTTTTAACTCCCTTCCATTTCAATGAGGAGTCTCGATATTTGTTACTTTTAAGTATAGCTTCTAAGTCAGAAGATGACACTTCTTTTCTCTTTTAAAATGCGATCATCTGCGTGTCATTTGTTCAATTGGTGATGCCGTACCTGTAACGTGCACATGCACTACTCAGATCGGGCAGGTAAAGGTTGAGCTAACATTGCTCACATAACAGTTGCGGTCCCTCTTGGCAGTGGTAATTATGTCTATGACAGATACAGGCAACAATTCAACAGCAGTACACCCATGGCCATATCTGAAGGCCATGGTTTAAAATGATTCATATCATTTTAAACGTTTGCTCTGTTTTGCAGTGCACAAACTTTATCAGCGCTTACAAAAACTGGGGGTGAATAAAAAAAAAGATAACAGCAATAATTGTCCTTTTGTCAATTCAGTTGCGTTTCAGCAGGCAATTCTGTCAGCTTTTCAGCATATTCTAGAAACTTTGTATTCTAAAAGTTTTATTAGCAGGTCAGTGCATTCAGTAGGTTGTTTCAGTTATTAGGTTTTCTGAATTTAGTGTGGCAACAATACACGTGTTGAATAAAAACGAAAATGTACTTCTAAAACTTAAATATTTTCAAAAGCAGGTACTCCAGTACTTTAACTTAAGTAAAAACTTGACTGAACAACTTTTACTTGTATTGGAGTTAAATTTGACCAGGAGTATCCACACTTTCACCCAAGTAAAGTTGAGTACTTTGTCCACCAGTGGTTGTGAGACTACTTGGCGGCATAAATATGTAGGGCTTAGATGAAATAAATCAAGCTTAGGCTGTTGTTTATCACACTTGACACACTGACAGACCAGAAAAGTGCTAAATGTAATAAGTTCAAGTCAGTTTACCTTTACTCAGGTATGTTTTAATGTTGTGTGCACTGTAATGTTTTATATTACTTTCAATTCTGTCCAACATATTATATCTTAATTTAAAAACACAGGTTAATTCAGTATGGTTTTTCAACACCATGAATTTGATCAGTGGACAACTCAATGTTTACTTCATGAAGAGGAACAATTATTACTCACATTCCCTGGTACAAAAATCTGCCATTTTTTAATATTGTTGAATTTTATTTCTGTCCCCACACTTAAATATTGCTTGAGCTACTGAAACTCACTTGTTATTAAGGGTGAAATAGCATACTAATGTTAATAAGTAACCACTCTTCATAGTAATGGTCAACTCAAAACCATACCTACCATCTTAGAGTTTTCAGGTAAAGCTACTGATGAACTTACTTGTGTAGCCCGGTGACATTCTGCCTCTTCTTCTGCTTTCTCAACTCATCAGCCTCCAGCTGAAGGTGTCTTATTAGCTCGACAGCTGTCATCTCCTTACGGCCCAGAGGTGCAATCTAACAAACAATCAAATTTTCAGTGAAAATTATACTTTCTACCTCAAGAGCTCTTTGGGTAAAGATTCCAACAACTTAGCAACAGACTAAAAAAGGGACAACAACAAGGACTGCAAACCAGTTTACATGAGTAAAAAATTCACTTTAGTTTTCATAAGTACAAATGGTTTTAGCTGTGAAGAACTCCTTCAAAGTGGAAATACTGAGAATCCGAACAAGGACCTGTGGTGTCTTACCTTAAGCTGGGTGGGTGGTTTGACATCATAGGTCAGGGGAGCTTTGAGAAGCTGCACATCATGAGTTGCAATGGTTGCAATCGTCCTTCTACCACACAAGTCGTCATGAAGCTTTGTCTAGAAAAACATTTATCAAAGACTTAGTTGTGAGACATCACCGACTTTTAGTGCACTACAAAGTAAAGCACCTCTAGAGTAGTGAAATCACCAAGTAAACTTTACCTGAGCTACCAGGAATCGTTTGAGAGCATTCCCCGGCCTCAGGTTCATGCCTCTGACCATGCAGCACACCAAATATGGTCGAACATCTTTGACCTCAGCATTCACTTTGACTGTGAGAGCTGAAGGAGCATCTGAAAAATGGAGAACCCTCACTACCATTTTGTTCAGTTCCTCCACCTCATCCTGTTCATCTGCCACCTTCTCCTTCTTCTTCCTCTGTTGTCTTTTCCCTTTGTCAGTGTTGCGACCCTTGTCAGTGTCCCCTCCATCCTCTACCTGTCTTCCTTTTGCCCTCAGGTAGTCCAGAATAGACTTGGTCTGGCAACCATTTACCATCTTCTCCAGACGCTTATCATGCAATTTGTTGCCTTTGAAATTGATGTCCTTAAGCTTGGGGCAGTCACTCAGGTTGAAGGGGATCTCAGTCAGCTTGTTGTTTGAGAGATCCAACATCTGGGAAGAAAAAAAAAGAGGACAGAACAAGGAGCTGAACTTGTGTTTAGTACATTTGATAAAAAGCAGAAGCTACCTCATACATCACACGCTCTTTTTAAAACCTTTGCACTTTCGTTCGTCAGTCAGTAAATGTCAACTCTTAATACCACCACCAAGGTGTGACTGTGTGAGCGAATGAATGATGTATCCAATGTAAAGCGCTTTGAGGTCACTGACAAAAAGCGCTATAAAAATCCGATGCATTATTATTATTATTATTATTATTATTATTAATAGTTTGGGGATGTGATATGAACACTAGAAAAAGTAGTATCGCTCTGATACTCAGGAAAACGTTTAACTCGGCATTTAGCTTAAATGCAGCTGGAAAAGACATTAAGAGTGTCTTAGTGTTCAACATGAAAGAGATGTGAGTGTGTGAGTGAGCAACAACAGATCTGGGAATGAACTTTGACCCACCTTCAGAGCAGGTAGCTTCTGAATGTCCCCACTCAGCAGGTCAATGCTGTTATCAGAGGCGACCAGTGTGCTGAGGAGATCCAAACGCTCCGAGTAGAAATCAGGGGGGAATCCATTGATGCGATTCTTGGAAATGTTGATGTTAGCAAGCTTGGTGCACTGACTAAGTCCTTCTGGCAGGAACTCCAAATTGTTGCAGCTCACATTGAGGGTGTTTAGCTCTTTTAGCTCGGTGATTTCCTTTGGTAGAACCGTCAGGTTGTTGACTGAAAGGTCCAGGACCTTTAAGGACCTCAGGTTTCCGACAACATTTGGGACGGAGACAAGCTTGTTCCTGCATAGGATGAGGCTTTGAAGGTTTGTCAAATGTTGGATGTCCTCGTGGATCTCTGTCAGACTTGGACACTGGCTAACCTCCAGATAATTCAGCAGAGTGAGAGAATAGATGTCGGGGCTGAGTCCTCCACCGGACGAAATTCGTCGTTCAACATTAGGACCCTGCAAGACCAACTCACGTCTCTTTCCCGTTGCTGCTTTTTCTATTTCAGGCCATTTTACCAAGTCATCCATGCTTGCTGGGCATCAACTGTAAAGGTCAATGAAGGGAACAAAGGGGACGATCATATCCGTTCACATATTTCAAAATAAAACACCGCTCTAACGGTGATGTGTCTTACTGTGCGACGAGTAATTTAGCATGTAGAAAAAATATCAGTACATTGTTTTAAGACAAGATTTGACTTTTGCGAAATTTGGGATTTCTGTTATTAGCTTTCTGTTATATACTTGAGATATATGTTGACATTTTGTATGTGGAAAAGTTTTTACTTTTGAGGTTACAGTTTTCATCAGGGGTTAAAAATATTTTCAGATCATAAAAAGGAAGTTGCCATGTCGAGCCTTTGCATGGCAAGTGCTAGATAGCCTACACAGATACATAAACAGGGGTAACTGAATAAAAAAAAGTGTCCGAGTACGGGCAGATTTCCAACCATCAGGAAGGAGCTTTAAACGTTTAGAATTCTGCGAACTGGTTCCCTAAAACTGGGACAGAGAAATAATTTGTCAGTTCCTGCTACTTACCGTGCATTTATTTTGAAAGTTACACCTACATTTTGACTTGCAGTAACTTCTGCCAACTGCCCAATGACGACAATCCTTTGCGACTGACGACGACGACCCCCCCCCCCCCCCCCCCACACACACACACACACACACACACACACACTGCGCATGCCCGATACGTGCTAGTTGTTGTCAGTGGTGGTTATGGAGATAAAATGGGACTACGGTCTGTCAACATTACGGGGATGTTAGTGGTGAGATATTTTGAGTGCACAAAGAGAAACTGCAATTGATTTTTGAATGTATATTGGTAAGATGTAAGACGTATTATACGACAGTTGTCCGGTCGCACTCTTGTATGTTAGCCGGTTAAAATGCATGTACAGTACAGCTACTGTACGAGTTATGTTGACTGAATGATTAGTTCGCTAATGCCCCCCGCCCAACATGTTCATCCCAGCAAGAAAGACTTCTCTGTTCTTGCTGAGGTTGTCGTGAAGCTATTTAAAGCACGTTTTTATTTCTTTGGAGACAAGTCATTCACTAAACTAGCAGTTTTAATTTGACTTATTGACAAATCTGTCAGTCCCTGGCTCTGAGTTACCGTTTGACGTTATCAAGTTCACGTTAAGGATGATTGAGGCGCAATTTCTATCGACCTGGGGTTCCTTGCGCATTTGACTATTGTGTTTGTGTTTTTTTATTTTTTTTGCAATATACGGAATATTTTAGACTTATATTTTTCTTAAAATTTGTCAAAATTGTATTGGACAAAAACTATGCCTAAGATACAAATGCGGTGGAAACTTTAGTGAATATCTGTTCGGATTCTTAATGCCAGTGGTCAGTCGTCAACAGTATCCAATTTTGATCATAATGAAACAAGGCTTCACTTTAGGACATTGACGAAATTAATAGGATGTAGTTTTATGGTGCAAACTTTGTATGCACCCTGGCCTTAAGTGAGGTAACTCTCTGTCTCTAGACAAGTGCCAGATATTATGTTGGTGAAAAGTGAGGTATCCATTAAATATCATAATAATAACTTTCCTTTTATGTGTTCTACCAGTGTACATTACAGGGATGCCCAAAAAGATAGGATTCACTGTTGTCAACTCTTCAAGTCATGAGGACAACTTCAGTGCAAAGGAGCTCATGGTGCATGCACCCACAGTCAATGGCTGGAGATCCAGCAGGTACATAAACACAGTGATTCACTAATAACCTTAAAATCACATTAAATCATGTCATTTATATGTACCCTTTTCTGTGAATAGTTAAACACTCCTAAATGTAGTTAATTCTAAAAATGGAATCATGTGTTAATCAAACAATCTGCAGGCTGTGCTCCTACCCCCAGCACATTACCCTGCAGCTGGGGGAGAGATGTCGGGTGAGGAAGCTGCAGTTGTTAGCCCACCAGTACCTGATCCCTGCCAAGGTGGAGTTCTACATCGGAGACTCGCTTCTGGAAATCACCAGTCAAGGGTTCCCAGGGCAGCTACGCAGACTAGGGTGAGACTACAGACTTGGTCAAACCCATATATGACTTCAATTCTTTTGGTTCTTCTAAATAAAGTTCTTCTTATTATTATTCTTAAGGAAATCCTGGTTGTTGGGAGTTTGGTCAGTTTCCAGACACATAAACAAAACCACAACTATCTCCTTGCGAGGACACGATTGTTAAGCCCGAACTCATATAGCCTTATTCCTTTAATTTTTTTTCAAAGTTTGTATATAACACCATATACTGGGAATTAGACATGTTTAAGTAATTTTTGATCTTCAAAGACTATACAATATACCTTACAGTAACTTTTAGCTGTGTTGATTTTTGATTTCTTTACACAGTAAAATAAATTCATTCAGAATATTGCACACAAATGAATTAAATCTTTTTTTAGGGTATGCGGGAAAATGCAGGAAATTTGGACTTTTTATGAATTTTTACAGATGGGCTGAACTAAAACCCCACCGTATTCTCTATGCAGGTATGTATCTTTGTCAGACAATGAGAAGACAGGCTTTAAAGCTCGGGAACTTAAGTCAGTCCATGTGGATGCCATTGGAACATACCTCAGGATAACCTTCCCCAGGAACTATGTCAGTCGTTTCAATCCCTACAATCAGGTAAACTTTTTAACATTGGGAGGGCACTTATTTCATTACCAAGAACCAAAAAGATGACTTAAAGCAACTTGTTAAAATACTTTTTTTTTTTTCATTTCAAAAGACAAGGGAGAATGTTGCCTTCTAGAGGTAATTAATTTCAAATAACTACAATTAAGCTGTACAAATTCTGATTCTTCATTTAGAAAGGAATCAAATCTGATATTTACAATTGCTTAAGATTTAAGTATTGCTGTTATTCAGTGTCAAATATCTGTAATTAAGATTGTCTAAAGGAAAGCCTATTTGCCTTGATGTTTGTTACACATGCAAATTAATTTGTCTTGATTTCTGTTGCTGTAAGCTCTGAACAGCTCTTAGCCTGCAATTAACTTGGTTTCCAATAGCAACAGAGATTTGCTTCTCATTATTGTATCTTTTTTGGGAACAAGGGAACATTGCAGTTGGTGTAAACTGAAATATAAAAAAGATAAAGTTAAAGGGATTACAATATCTATGCTGCTGATTTTTCTCAGTTGTAGAAAAATGTTGTCATATATGACTGCTTTATAACATTGCCATGTATTTTACAAGACTAAACAGTCAACCAAAAAATAAAAAGTCTCATTGAAAGTGAATGTAATTTAATAGCTACAGCTCTTTTTTTTCATTAACATAGATCAGCATTTTATGATTCTTTGACTTTAAATCAATATTTTTACATGAGCCATACTTTGTTTGAGGTACTTCTGTCAATCATTCATAACACGTGTCAATAGTTGAAGCCACATTTTTCTATTCTCTGTTATTAAAGCTGATTTGCATCACAGTTTATCTTAAAGTTAACAAATACCATTACAAGATAAATGTGTGATCTGTCTGTTTTTTAGTGCTAACTTCTATTATTGGTGGCACTTAGACCTCAACCCAATTTGTTTCTGTGAGGGACTATTGTATATTTGAAAGGGTCAAATAGATAATGTAATGTTCAGTCAAAAACATAGTTTTCTGACAAAATAGCATGGATATTACTCAAACAGATTATAGCTGTTTTGAAAAAGATTTGGAATGGACAACACAAAGGAAACTGCAGAGTGCCATGTTAATCGGAATGAGTCATTGTTGGTAATTGGCTTCTCATTTGAGTAATTGATAAATACTGAACTGGAATCAGATGATACGAAGAAAACGCATAATAGTAATATTGATTAAAAAAAATAAATTAATAATAATAATAATAATAATAATAATAATAATAATAATAATAATAATAATAATTATTATTATTATTATTATTAGTATTATCATCAACTAGGGCTGTCAAAAGATTTATCTTTTGTGACTCAACGCAAGTTGACTGGACAACCATGTGTTCAACTGCGATTAGAAAGATTAATCATTTGACAGTCCTATTTTAACCTTTATTTAGGCCTTGAAATTCATTGGGGATTCCCTCATTTACAATGATGTCAAGATACAGAACAATAATATTAATAAAAACAACAATAATAATAAAAAACTGCAAGCAATAACCCACAAATCAATATATTTGCTTTTTTTTAAATTTTCTTATGCACTTATGTTTTGCTAAATCACCTCATACTATTTGTTTGATTTCAGGTTGCTTTGGTTGCCATTAATGTTCTGGGAGATTCTTTGGATGCCAATGCTTGTAACACAACTGTAAGTGAGCGCTATCTTTTTTTGTTAGCATTACTTACCTTATATCATCCAACCACTAGGTAGAGCTGTTGATCTATAATCGTGTGAGACAGTCCTCTGCCATCTGTCTCTTGAGAAGTAAGTGACTGATCAACCTGCTGACAGTCCCTGAGACAATTTTAACTTCTGGCTTACTCAGTAAGGGAAATGTGTAAAATTGGGACATTTAAGTTTTTCATAATGTCATCATACATCTTTGATTTATTCTTCGTGCGACCAAAAAAAAAAGAAAAAAAAAAAATAGTCGATGCTTTGCATGGATGCTTTTGGCCCTGAAAACAATTTCCCTTAGAAATAGGACAATGTAAGAAGGGTAACAGGAAAAAAAAACTATGGTTGTATTTTGGATTATGTTGTGAAGTGAATATTTAGAGCACATACTACAGAGAAATTTCATACACAATTTTTGAACAATCACTATCAAAGACTCCTTTTAAGTATGCCTCATGCACATGTGTTTACCTGCAAAGAGCGTGTGCATGTGAGAGGATTTGTGTCAGGAATTTAGTATTGAGACACAAAGGGAGGACAGTATGTAATCACACAGGAGGCCTTCAGTTAGCAAGTGTAATCAGATAGCCTTGCAGATGGACAGGTCTTGGAGGAGAGGGAGACCTTAAAACACACACACACACACACACACACACACACACACACACACACACACACACACACACACACACACACACACACACACACACACACGGAAACATGGAAAGACAAAGACACACACTTGCACAGATTCCGATGAACAGGCTGTGCATTGTTGCTCCACTAATCCGACTCTGAGCACCTCCATCACAGCAGTCATCTCACCTGGAGAGTCGGCTAGATTTTGTTCTCTCATGTCTGTTCTGTGGGCAGTCATGTGTTTTTCCGGTGGAGGGATGCTGGTAGTGCAGATGCAGGAAAATCTTTTGAAGTTTTGTGTGATTGTTAATCCAATCTATAAAGAAAAAAAATAATTCCTAAGCACATAGTTTGGGTCGCTGTTTATCGGTCTTTTGCACTGAAGTCTAACTGAATGTTGTCATGGTGTCAATGTCATGGTAAAAATCAAAAGGATATCTTGATTAACTTTTGATGACACTTTGAATCTGCTGTGCCCCTTTTCAGAGTCCCTTTTTCATGTCACCTGTCACTAGCTTTTTAAACATAACCTTTGTTGCACGAGTGCTATCAGATTTAAACCATTTTAGCTCTTTCTTTCATTTTTTAAGTGCAGTTTCCAAGCTGCTGTCCTGGATAGTAGCACAATAAATATTTAATACACCTATTAAACCTGAAATTATGACTTGGTATAATATCACAGAAATTTGTCATGTGTGTTAATTTCTAAAAGGATATTGATTTGTCAGTTTAGGTGTAAGGTATGGCAGAAGTTTAGGGTCCCCTTACGCCTCATTGGATTACGTATATAACAATACCGAGGTCCAACTAAGAACAGTAATACAAGAGTAAACGTGTGTGTGTGTGTGTGTGTGTGTGTGTGTGTGTATGTGTCTAATTTGTCCATCTGTTTACCCCCAGCCAAGCAGAGAACAGCTGATCGAACACTACCTCAACAGTACACAGCTGGAAGTCGCTTTGGACACGACATTCATGGGGTGAGGCTAGGCCATTGAACCCTGGTTTCTTTGTCTTGTGACAATAACACTGATCAACAAAGCATCTTAGTCTGGAAACCAACCAATAAGGCTTTCAAGGTCACTCTCATTTGATGACAATGCAGGTGGCAGTCTGTGCAAAGAGAAAAACACATTTTGAAATATATTTTTTTTTCTAGCGACCCCCAAGGGACGTTTCACCTCAGGGTCTCACTTCTTGGGGGGTTGGTGGGTGTTATTCCTGTTTCATCAGGAATTGCACAATACTCTGTCCATTTAACTAATGACGAAACATCTACTTTACACCAGTATTATCTCAAATGAATTACAAACTAAATATACTGTTTTTTCCAGACATGCCTCAAAAGTGTCACAAGCTGGGACTCACAGGAAAATGTTGATGCCTGCAATATCTGTATATTTGTTTGATAAGATTATCTTGCTTTTCTTGCACTCAGCAAATGTGAGTCCATCTCCCCCTTGGATGACCTGGCCTTTGACATGTACCAGGACCCTGAAGTTGCCCACATCATCCGTGTGCTGGACCGCAAAAAGCAGGACATGGTTCAGCAAGAGAAATATGAGCAGGCTAAGAATCTGAAGCAGGCGATCGCAGACCTGCAAAAGGTAGTGTAGTTGCTGGCAAGCAGGGCGACAAGATTATTTTGGGGGCTTTAAGATCCCATCAGTTTTTTGAGTAATTCCATCCACACACCACTGGGCTCAGCTAGCAGAGGCGGGTGGGGCCATGTGTCTTATACAATGACACTTTGGCATGTAGACACCCCTGATTAAAACCCCAAACTTCTGATAGGGAGACAACCAACTCTATCTGAGCTACAGCTGCTCTTTATGCATCAGATTTAACTTGTTAAATATGCTTTGTCACATGCTTAAGTTGTATACACAACAAAAACCAGGATGTGTTTCTGCAGAGCATGAAAATTCTAAGTTGGTAACTCAGTCTAAATTAGAGTTTTAAAAGGATTAAGTACAGTAACTGGGATCCTAATGTTGATTTGCCTATGAGTAGCTGATATAGAAATATCAGCATCATCAGGCTGTACAGAGTATTAATACTATACCATTAATGAATGAAGTTTGCATAATGTGTCATGGAATATGCAGCATATTCAGGAAGAAGGACTGTGAAAAGAAAAACTTGCTGTCCCCTTACAGACATGCCACATGTATAGTCACATGATGCCACCTTGTTCAGACTGTGATACGAAGAACCCATACTCCGAGCTAAGTGACCACCTCAAGTAGCCCGTACCAAAGAAAACTGTGTGTTCATTTTTTGGACAAATTTTGGCTTTTGTGGAGATGACACTGCACAAAAGAAGTAAAATGTAAATACTGCAAAAAACATCTTAATTGACCATAGGTAATACAATGATCTATTCCAACACACAATACAATAATGCTCAAAAAAGAGAAAGACTAGCACCCACCAATGAGTGCTTCTACAAAATCTTCAAGTAGTTGTGATATTTATTCGACACAACACTGGCCTAATAAATCTCTAAGTACCTCTGTCTGCACAATAAAATTCATCCTTCTAACTAATAGTAAAAAAAATTCTACACTGGTGTATTTTTACTTTTACTGGGGTAAAAAATCTGTTTACCACCACTTTTAAAGACTTCTTTGGGGACTCAAAATATACTTTTTTGTTCAGTGAGGGTTTTTTTTACACATTCACTATTTCAACACCACATTTTCAATTGTCTATTGAGGATGTGTAAGGATATGGATTAGTGGGTTTAGTGAAAACAGTTCAGGTGCCACCCAGTGCTTCTGCTAAGGATGATAAATTCTCCAGCATTGAGAGGTGTTTTACTGATATCCAGTTGTAATTCACCACTGTTTGTAACAGTAGTTGTTAAACATTGTCCAGATTCCTGTTACTGACCTCCCTCATATTCGGTGTTACCATGCTTACCATGAATTCTTAATAAGCCCAGCATCTGCGCTTTTGGTCCTTGGGAAATGTGGGACCCAACCACAAGTCTTTCTGTAACAAGTTTACACACACAAATACACACACTTGCACCTTGTTGGTATAGCATATTGGCATTGTGGACAGAGTAGTTGTCCAGGTCGTCATGCTGAAAATCCCTTGTCATCACACCCTGAGGATGTCAAAGGATGGTCTGTGATGTTACATGATATGTGAAAACTCACAATAGAGACAGGATGGGACAGAGGATAGACAATAAGCTTGGTGTATGTCTCTGCCTCACTGAGCCAATAAGAGCCTGTAAGCCTGTCTAATAAATAGAAGACAGCTGAAGAGGTGCTCACCACCCGCTTTTGTATGAGAGAGATTTTAAACTCACAAGCATTTGATGAGGTGACTGCTGCTTGGCAGATAGATACAAATGTTACTTGGCTTACTGGTATACCCTTTAATTGAAATTATGTCTGTTACTTACTGGAAATTAATGTCTCATTTCCAGCCTGTAAATCTGAATGAATCACTGCATGGCACAGTTACTGCACCAGGGCTGTGCTATTGTGCACCGGCTGTGTTGAGTCTAAGGGCCTGATCTACTAAGATCCCAAAGAGCAAGCGCTAAATTGCGTGTGCAAACTGAAAAATTGCACGTGCTATTAGTGGGCGTGTTGCGAGTGATCTACTATCATTGTGTGCGCAATTGATAACGGGAGCAAAAGTGGTGCGGACCGCCCTCTTTAAAGGGGGATTTTGCGTGCGCTATCGGCTATCACTATGGAGAGTTTGTGAGAGCCGAGTGTTTGAAACCATGGAGTTGTAGATATCATTTTGGGGAACTGCATGAAAGGCAAGGCAAGTTTATTTGTATAGCACGATTCATACAGATGCAAGAAGATATACTAGAAATCAAAAAAGGGATTAAAACGATTTAAAATCAATATGTTTTTTACTTCTGTTTCGCGATTGACCTTATTATTTATGAAAATGGTCATTTACTAGAAAAACGAAATACACCATAAGCTTTTGGACAAGTTTCATGGTGAGCATCCTTCTCTCCACAATGACCGTGGGTAATGCTGCTCCAGTTTGCACGTGCCTTTCAAACGTGCTAAATATAGACGCAAAACAGCGACCACAATCGGTTTCCGGGTTTGATAAATTACTTTGCGGGTGCTAAATCATTGCATTTGCATCTGCTCCTCCCAGAATTTTGCGCGTTCTGATGATCTACATACATTATGTATATTCATGAAGAAAAACACGCTAAATCAATTGCGCGCGCTGTTTTGCTCATTTGACTGACGCAATCCTCGGTGCACCCGGTTTGTAGATCAAGTCTGCGTGCGCTATCAAGTTGCACATGTTTTTGCACACGCAAACCTTAAGTAGATCAGGCCCTAAGTCTAGTGCTTCCTAAACCAGCACTAGAAAGGGTTAAGGATAATATCTGTTAATTATAAATAATTTGTTCTGTACAACAGTACAACTGTATGGTCATGTTTTGAGCTCATGAAGACAAGGTGTAACAACAAAAAGTAAAGAAGTAATTATGTGATCAGAAATGATGTTGAAGGGCCTTTATTAAGAATTGAAAGTAAGTGCTTCATAGATCTTGGGAATTCCTTATTGTACAGGAAGACTGGGATCATGAGCCATGGGTAGACTTTTTGCACAGCTCCTGTGCCATGTCAACCTGTCAGACACTGAAGGCTCAACCTTCATACTTCCAGGTGGGGGAGCGTTTGGCTCGGCATGATGTGGAGAAAAGGTGTGCTATTGAAAAGGAAGACTATGACCTAGCCAAAAAGAAAAAGGATCTGATGGAGGATTACAGGAGGAGTGTCTACCAGCAGCTGGAGGTCCACAACCTGATGGACATGACAATGGTTAGTCACCAGACACTTGTAGGACCGCTTAACTGTAAAATTACAACAGTTTTTTTTTCCATGATGAAAAAAAAAAATGTCTGTCTCAGACATTGAAGTTGAAATGACATGTTAAATGGTGGTTTTTTTTTTTTTAAATCTGGACTTTTCCCTCTCAAACTAAATTCTACTTTCTTTTTTTACTATTTTACCAGATTACAAGGGGCACAGAGTCATCTCCAGCTGAGAATTCTCCATCTCTCCAGCCTTCTGCAGGCCACCTGTCAGTCACCACCAGGTTCCTGGAGTCTGCAGAAACATTTATGCAGAAAAACACAAGTACTCCTCAGAGACAACAGTTTGATGTTGAAACTGTTGCACCCAAACCAAGCAGGCAGCCTGAAACACCATGCACCACTGTTGTGTCACCCAGATTAGATGTAAGTACTGCATCAGACTGGTCAAGAATGCAACACAGAAAATCTCCTACAAAGACAGACATTTAACAATGGTCAGTTTTGAAAGTGTATTCTCAATAATAACCTATGTACATAATAATGCATGTCTACAACAATTAGCCTCTGTAGTTTTAGAACCTAGAGTACATTTATGACCAACAAGGGCTTTTAACTTACTCCTTACTAACTGAGACCAAGCCTCACTGCAGGTTTGGGTTTCAGTATTTAATTAAAAGCGTGCAACAGTTGGCTGACTCTGGCGGCTGCCAACCTGGCCTGAAGGCAGGGCTTTGAGCCCTGTGCACGCCAGCAGGGTGCCAGTAGGGTTTAGGTATGGGGAATGGTACTCAGTGCATGGAGCTGGAGTTAGTATTAATGAAGCAAAATTATTATCAATATGCTGAATTATTGGTCAATTCCATGATCTAATGCTAGTGACAGTGAGTGGAAAAAAGAGGGCAGAGGCAATTCATTTTTTCACACTTATCTGACCCTAAAGTGTGGATCTTTTTGAACTGCTTTGAAAAGTGGGGCTGCAAGAAAACTTATTTGTGCTGAGAAATATGAATACAGCACTGATAAATACAATTCAGATGTCTACGTTGTAAATGGATACAGTATAGTTATGTTTGGAGTATTTGTTTAAATTCTAATCTTGTTTTCATGCTTACAGGTCATTAGTGTGCCTTATGACGAAAGGCCTCTGCCTGCCCTACAAAGGAAAGACCGGCCTGAAGAGGTCATCCCGAGTTCTGTTGAGCAGAACTCTCCCCACTCTGATGCCCTAACAACTCCATGCAGCCCTGAAATAAGCAGAGAGCCTGAGCCACTGACAGAGAAGGCTCAGAGAGAGGCTGGCCTTCCTATAGAGGTCTTTGGAGAAAGCCTGGTAAGAGAAAATGGAGAAATAAGGAGAATTACTAAACAGATGCTATAACTTTCCTCTGATTTTTTCTTTTCCCATAAATTAGAATTACAAATATTTTTGTAAACCCATTATTTGGGCAGAACTTTTTTTCTGTAGAAGCTTTATTTTTATTTGTGTATGTCAGCAGTTCTGCATCTCTCAAAAGTTGTCAGTGTACCATGATTTGACCAACAAAGAGAGCTAGAATTGTCATTAGAGTCTCACATGCCAATACTTGGAATATGTAGTTTCTTTTCTTCTCAGTTTTGTTCTCTTTTGTTTTAGAAAAAATGTTTCTGTCTCTTTAATCTGTGGCCAGTCTTGCAGACGGTTCTCAGCTTTATCTTGTCTACTGTGCAGCATTTGGCAGGTGTTATGCAGTTTAATCAGTTTTAAAAGTATTCAGTTAACCTTTCTTGGAGCTGATAGAAGCTGCAGAGATACGTTGTTTCTATCAGTTTCACTGTGGTTGACAATTTCCCAACCCTCATTTTCAAAAAGTGTTAATTTGACCAACAACTGTTTCCCTGGTATTATTTTGTTGTATAAAATACATTACACAACATAAATTAAAATCTTTTTGCACAGATCTGTACCAAAGTACCTGATATTCACTTGTGACGTCTGTCTTTGAGCTTGGCAGATCTTAACCTCTATTTTCCCCACAGGTTGCTGGGACTTATTCAAAAACCTGGTCATGCAGGGAGGAGGCTCTCTTGGCTGTGTACAAGAAGCTACTGGAGCTATCACCCTCCAACCCTAGAGAGGAGCAGAGGAACATGATAAGAGCTGCAACATTCCTTGTCAAAAAAACACTCCTTGATCAAGTGTCCTCTGTAAGTCATTAATTCAAAAGAGAATTTTGTTGATGTTGGTACTTGGGCAGGTTGCACTCTAGTGTTAACCATGTTACTTTTAACCCCTGTACACAGGCTGTTGTAGGCAAGAGTATTACACCTGTATTACACCCTGATGTTTTATAAAAAATACATAGAGTTATAACAAGAGGGCAGGGTGATTCTGCTTATAAGCAGGCAGTATTGTTTCACATGGGGCCAAATTGACCTCCTTGAAAGAGGATGAGCCTGTAGTACAGAGGGTACAAGATATTTTGCATGTGCTGATCAATGATTGCTATTATTGTTAAACACAGAAACGGGGACCTATTTAAAAACCATGAACTCTGTTGGAATAATAAGCAAGTGAACACAATCTGCAGCAAGGAAAGCAGCCCTAAGAAAGCGTTTTGTATATGTTTACTTTGCTTCCATTGAATGTGTCTTTAAATCACATTTGCTGTATTCCTGTTAAAACCAGAACTAGCATTCCTGTTGTAAAACCACAGGCACACACTAACATATGTGTACTGCTCACAGTAATCCCCCTGTATGATATGCAACCCTAGGCCTCTCTCCAAGAACAGGCTGCTTTAAATCAACAGATTTGACAAGGATTGCCTTGTGACCCTCTTTGCAAGCTGCATGTGACCTGTGTTGTAAAGTGTCTTCCGCAATACTTTTAATGACTTATTTTCGTTGCTACATTAATAAACTGACTGTGCTGTTTAATGCTAATATGGTCATTTTCTCAACAGTCATGCTATTACATTCTAGAGCTGACAACAGCCCAGGGTGTTTGTCTGTCTATTTAGTCAAAAAACTACCCAGTAAACACAAATGAGAAATATAAAATGATAATGTAGTAATGATTGAATTGACCTATAAAACAGGTTTGTTTAAATTTTTCACTGTCCAGTGGGCATGTCTGGTTGGATATTGTGCTTATTTGAAAAGTTTTATAACTTATCTGCCTCTTTTTGTGACAAAAGTATGCCACTCTCCATCTACATCAAACTAATCCAAAGTAAATAGTGCCTAGTCCAACCTCTCTGCCTATTGACATCACCCTTGTGCTAATGGAATTCCAGTAAGTTTGGAACCATAGACTGTATGTACTATGGACAACTTGGTTCCACCTACCGCCTGTATACGGATTTGAAGCCAAAAAGCTCACGGTATTTCCGGGATTTATCTCCATTTTCTGAAACCAGCGCTGCGCTGTAGCGATGCGCGTATTCGGCCGTGCAGTTGCTGAGAGTCGCTGTGATGACGCTCGGCTCAAACAGCGTATCCCCCGGGAGAGCTACTCAATCCCTGAACGCCAATAGGCTGTATCAGGTGTCAATCATAGAAAACATGAACCCCCTAGTAACTTTTAAAAACAGAGCCGTACAGAAAAAAGAGGACTTGAGCACAAACCAGTCTTGCTGCAATTACATGTCAACATCGCAAGCAGGGGGGAAAAAATTTTTTGTTCTGTGTAATAAATTTCTAAAGTTTGTCCACAGCCCCATAAGCTTTGCTGGCAGAGGCGGGATTTATGACCTATACTGCAGCCCACCATCAGAGGGTGCTGTTCTCGGAGTGGCTTCACCCAGAGAGGAGGCAGACTCTGTCCATCTTATATACAGCCTATGTTTGGAACTTAAATGCTCATGCTCTCTGCCTTCAGGTTTTCCATGGCTCATTGAAGCTGCTGCGGCTACTCCTTAGTCAGCTGATCCCAGGTCTTGGGTTCGGCAAGACTGAGGTGAATCACTGCTTGGAGCAGACTTGGCCTAGTCTGCTAGTTAGGACTGGAGACTCAGCCAGCCGACTAAGGACCACAGCCAATACCTTCATACAGGTATTATGACACAATACACGTCTGTTTGGCACTGCTATTACTCAATTTCCACCAATCTGTGGCTTGTGGTGTATTTTGTGGACCCAGAAGCTGACACAGAGACAGAAAGCAAGTTAAACGATGAAGTTTTAATGTCCAACTCAGGGAAAAAGGCATGAGAGAAAGTCCGGTTTGCGGACTGGCTGTTGTGTGGGCTGGAGACACTTTGGAGAAGCAGAGGAGATAGAAGTTAGAAGACATACAAAGAATCACAGGGAGCAAAAAGTCACAAGCACTTATCCGAGGAGAAGGCCAGGAGAAGCGTCAGTACCACTCAGGAGTGAAGACAATACTCAGGCACTGAGACTGATGGCTGCTGGCTTCTTCAAGAGCCTTGATTGCCAATGCATCGCAGGTGTGGAGTCTTTCTCAGCGACCGGGGGAGGGGAGAGTGCTCTGAAAACAGTCAAGCCAGACCAGGGAAACAAGGAAAACAGGAAATTAAATCAAAATAAAACAGGAAATGGAGGCATCTCACCACAGTACCCCACTCTCAATGAACGCCTCTTGGTGTTTTGCTGGGTTTGTCGGGGTGAGCGGCGTAGAAGTCGTCAAGGAGTTGATGGTCCAGGATGAGGGAGCGGGAGATCCAGGACCGCTCCTCTGGACCGTAACCCTCCCAAACCATGAGGTATTGGAAGCCTCGTCCCCGAGGCTGCACGTCTAGGATTTGTCCCACAGTGAAGGCAGGGTGGTTGTCAATCATCTGGGGAGGTGGAGGGGCGAGGGAAGGAGGGCTCAGGGTGCATGAGGTGACAGGCTTAATCAGAGAGTCGTGAAACGTGGGGTGAATTTTGAGGGATGAGGGAAGTTTGAGTCTTACCGCCTAGGGTTAATAATCTTCTGGATCGGGAAGGGACCAATGAAGCTGGGAGACAGCTTGCGGGACTCGGTCTGCAGGGGAAGGTCATGGGACGATAACCAGACCATCTCACCAGGAGGAAAAACAGAAAAGGAAAAAAAGAAAACAGCCTTCAAAAGTGCATTAAAAAGGAACGAAACAATGCTACATGCATCTATCATCTGTCCAGAGTGAAGATGTTCTCGACTTTACAAGGACACGCTGGGAAACTTACAGAACTAGTATTAGAAAGTGGCTTTCTCTACAGGGTGAGACAAACGACCTTGCAGAAACTTATAAACATTGCGTTGATATCAACTTTGACAATGTTCCTGATGACGCTGGGTTTCACATGACATGCTACCAGTGATTAATTTGAAAAAGGCATTTGAGAAACAAGAACGTGATGCAGCCGCGGGTCAGTCAAACCCCTCAGCCAGCATAGCTGATGCATCCACGTCCACGGCATCTGAAACTCCGCGCAAGAAACTTAGGCGAGGTCATAGGCTGTATTGGGACAAAGGAAAAAGTGCCTCGAAAGTGAATTTCGTTGAATTACGCTGGTGCTACTTGTTCAATGCATTTTTGCATAGACAATACCCTTCTGGACTTTGAGTTAAAATATCTACTCAGACTATCTGTCCGACTTTTGTCACCAGCCAGAAATGTACATATATGTGAGTAACCCAAAAAACGACTATATGGTGCTGCTGTTTTTGCTTGTAGAAACCGCTGAATGTTGATTCTGGCAGGACAAAATCTTTCTCAAATGTCATAAATACATCTACCTAACATCTGAAACAGTTATTGGTGCCTTAGTATACGAATAAGTGAATTCAGATTATGAAATGTAGCAAATTTCTTGAAGAAAACGTCTCAACTCAAGTGATTTGCACCCAGCACAATGAAACATGTACAGTAAATCTGGCTAAAAGCTTATGTTTCATACATAAAAATGACACAACCTACTGTGTAATAAAAGCAATAAAATATTAACAGCACATCATGGCCATAAATGGCTGAAAGTCAATCAAATTGCTACCATGCCCCCCAAAACTGGAATAATGGAAAAAATGTAACAAGACAAAAATGCACAAAAGGTCTGAATTAATTCAAAATATGGTATAAAACATTTATTCAAGTATCACAGTGTCAAAACATCTGACATTTATCAGTCCCTCCAGAGTATGAAAATAAATATCAAAACACAAAGGCAGACAAATGTAGAACAGAGATAAAAAATAATAAAAATCTCAACTCTCGCGGTAGCAATCCTTTAAACAAAACAAATTGTACATGGTGACATGGTGCGTATATTACGCATCACTTTCATCAGAGTCATCATCCCATACAGCTCTTTTTGTTATTGTTATTGTTATACTTATTGTTATTCCTTTCGGCCATTTTTTTTATTATTAAGTGGCAATGCTGGTTAAGCATTTCCACTTATTGTTATTCTCCTGTTTCTTTATTATTATTATTATTATTACGTACCTTTTTTGCAACTTTTCGACTCCTTCATACTTTGTGCTATTTCAACCATTCTACTTTTAACCTATTCCTCTCCTTCAGGACAAGTGCAGATGTATTTTTCACTTTTCTACCCTTTATACTTTTTTAAATTTTTTACTTTTTGTGCAAAATTTTTCCCTTTGAAATGAATGGGCAAATCTTCAAATTCTACCTTTTACACCTCCACCTTCTCAGCCTTATAACTTCAGCATACTTTCACCTACAGACATCATTTTTGCTTTAAAATGTTCACAATCGTCTCCTCCAAATATGTTGTATGACTTTTTTGTGCTATCTCTTACAGTTTTTCCACAATTAGCTTTATGCACCTAATGATTTTCAGCAAATTTTCAGACTTTATAATGGGTGTGTATTGGAGAAGCTACAGTGGGTGATGTCATAGCTAGAGTGGAGAAGACTTTTTCGATCGACAAAACCTAGCTCGAATATATCGCTTCCACACCCACAAATTTCACTCCACAGCCATAAAAAAATACATCAAAATGGAGGAAAATAAGTCCTGCTTCTCACAAAAGAGCTTTCAAATCATTAAATTGTACCCCTTGGCCAGCAGGTGACCAACTGTCCAAAAAGGCAGAGATTCCTCCCATTGACCCCAATGTAATTTTTCTCTCAGAAAATCCTGATCATCACTCAGGCTGAGACCCGTTTAACTCGCTGTTGTGGCCACCTTTTTTAGATTACAGACATGAAAAACACATCATTGTGTTCATGAGGGGCGGAGGATTCATACAATGTTCTTATTTTTATTCTGGGATTTAAGGAAATTGTGCTATGTTAAGAAGTTCAGAGGCCCTAAATTCACTGCAGTTAGGCAGCTTCTCATTCAAACAGTAAGTCAGTTAATGCCTTTGATGTCTGACACCTGTTAAGATGCATTAATAAACACACACACACACACACGCACACACACACAGACACATACACGCACACACACTCTGACAATGTGTGTGCATTAGTCTCTCTCAATCTATGAGACCTACAGGTACACACAGTAACTATGTGTGTGCGTTAGTCTCTTTCTCTGTCTATCAGACCTACATACACACACTATGACCATGTGTGTCTGCTTCACCACCTATCTCCACCCACAAACTTTGAGCTACAGAAACCATTCGGGGCTCCAAAAATTCAGCTCATTGAGGACATTATGGGGTGCATTTAGGATTTTGTTAATTAATTGTATCAGTATGTTTAGCAGAGTCGTGGGGTTCTCACAAGTTTCTTATCATGAATGTAGCCATTACAGAGAATGAGCATCAGGGCATAGTTTTGGATTTTGTTTCTCAGCTTCAAGCCTTCTTTCTTCTGCTGTAGTGATGCATCTACCGTCCCCATGGCAACCAATTAGTGCACCTGGAGACACACAGCTGACTGGAAAGCTGCTTCTAACGGCCATATGAGACACATGAAGCCAGGCTCAGTACACAGAGCACTCGGGGTTACATTTAAAACCCTTCACCAGAGCACTAGAAAAACTCTGGCCCCTATCTCCTACCACAAACTTTGACCTACAGAAACCATTCAGGGCTCCAAAAATGTATTCAGGATTTTTATTTAACCAGCCCTTTAACCAATTTTACATTTAAACCTTCTTCTATTTTTATTAGCAGTTTTGCATTGCTTTTTCAGCTTTCAGCACTCAGCATTTCCACGCATTTTCTGCAAGGAAATGCAATTTTACTAGTATTTTATTGCTTTTATTACACAGTAGGTTGTGTCATTTTTATGTATGACACATAGAATAGAATAGAATATTCCTTTATTGATCCCCCATGGGGGAAATTTTTTTGTCACAGCAGCATCACAGACAAAGAGTGCAAAAATGCAGTTATAAAAATAAAGATCGTAATATTAAGAACTTAAATTAATGTAATAATTAAGAAAAAATTTTAGGAAAAGGAAAAAGGGAGAGGGAAATTAAACTATATACAATATACACAATTTAAATGCCAGAAAAAAAGTGGTGGTGTGAGTCCAGTTTTATTACAGTTCGTTGTAAAGGCTTATTGCAGAAGGGAGGAATGAACTGCGGTAGCGCTCCGTCTTGCAAGGTGGGAGTCTCAGTCTGCTGCTGAAGGAGCTGCTTAAAGCCCCCACAGTCTGGTGCAGTGGGTGAGAGGGATTGTCCATGATGGATACAAGCTTTGCTAACATCCTCCTCTCACCCACCTCCTCCAGGGAGTCCAAAGAGCAGTCCAAGAACTGGCCCTCCTGACCAGTCTGTTCAGTCTCTTCCTGTCCCTCTCGGTGCTCCCTGCCCCCCAGCAGACCACCGCATAGAAAAGTGCAGATGCTACCACAGAGTCGTAGAAAGTCCTGAGCAGAGTCCTGCACACTCCAAAGGACCTCAGTCTCCTCAGTAGGTGGAGACGCCCTTCTTGTACAGGACGTCTGTGTTGGTTGACCAGTCCAGTTTATTGTTGAGGTGGACTCCACCATCTGGATGTCCAGACCCTGGATGTTCACTGGAACAGTCTAAGGTGTCCTCCTCCCGCGGAAATCCACAACCATCTCATTTGTCTTACTGGCGTTGAGCTGGAGGTGGTTTGTGCCATACCAGTTGACAAAGTCAGTGATGACAGTCCTGTATTCCCGCTCATCCCCTGATGATACACATCCGACTATGGCTGTGTCATCAGAGAACTTCTGGAGGTGACAGCTCCCAGAGTTGTAGCTGAATTCCAAGGTTTACAGGGTGAAGAGGAAGGGGGAGAGCACTGTCCCCTGTGGAGCCCCCGTGCTGCAGACCACCATGTCCGACACACAATCAATCAATCAATCAATCAATCAATCAACTTTATTTCTATAGCACATTTAAAATAACCACAAGGGTAGCCAAAGTGCTGTACAATGACACATAAAAACAAATAACACAAAGAACAAGATAAGGCGAGCAGAAATACATTAATGCAAGGGGATAAATGAGTAAATAAATAAGGAGGCTCACAGCAAGTGCTAAAATGATAAAAAACAAAATAACACTAAAAAGTATCAAAAGCCAAGGAGTAAAAGTGTGTTTTTAAAAGGGATTTAAAAACAGGAAATGAGGAGGCCTGTCTGATTTTCAAGGGCAACTCATTCCAGAGCTTCGGGGCAGCAGCAGCAAACGCTCTGTCCTCTCTGAGCTTCAGCCTTGTATTCGGGACCGTCACAGGGTTTTTCCTGGCTCAAATTGAGGCAGAGGTGGCACCATCCTGACCATGCGCCATGACGTGCATGTATTTGTAAATTCAACTGACTCACTTTCTTTTACAGGCAACATACTTTAAGTTAAGAGTTCAAAAAAGAGTGTGACCATTATCATGTTAAAGCATTCATTTATTAAAACTATATACATACTCAAATCAGCTGGCAACTTTAAATTGAAAGTACACTTCATCCACACATCTCGCAACCAGACAGAACATTTCAGCCTCCTCTTTTTCATTCTGTAGAACCTCCTCATGCACTCCTTGTAGTCCAAGGCCTCCTGGTCTGGTCCATCAACGGCCACCTTACAACAGACATCCAAGTGCCTCTCCTTCAGTCTGTTCCGCAGAGGTGTCTTCACCTTAAACAAAACAATTCATCATGCATTAAGTATTTTTGTTTTTATTCTGATACAGACATGAAGAGTGATAGTGTTTTCAATCATATATTATATATATATGTATACGCTGCAGTGTCCTCCCAAAAAAGAACAACAACCAATTATTTCTTAAACTATCTAAACTATGTTATTTTAGTTTTTGTAACTTTATTAGTTGAGTGTTTTTAGGTACTACCATCTTTAATATATTTCTCCTTCTCTTCTGCTGCTTTGTGAATGGCTGTCACCTCATGTCTTTTTAATGTGTCCAGCCTGTAGTTGGTTGATGGCTGTCTTACTAAGGAGGCAGCAATTGCCTGCTGTGTTGGGGCACAGTGCTTTTGGCATATATAGCAGTGCATGCCTTCCTCAGTATGCCTGAGCCAGGTAAATTGATTGAGCCACTGCTTGTCAAAGCCACTGGCTCTGTGTTTTTGAGAAGATCTAGAAAGAGGAATAAAAACCACGTACACGTTGGTTTTGCGTTGTTATGCTCCTAATTGGAAACTAATTAATTAATTACCCTCGCCTCGCCGACTCGTCCTGTCCTGCATTCTGACCCTCGCGATCACCAGTCCCTTGTGAAGTACTTTCAGACCTGACACAAATTTCCACGTTGTCTCCACCATGAATTATAGCATTTTAACTGCCTGTTACGTTTTTTCTCTGCTGTGTTTCACCTGGACTCTTGACTTTCCTCCTCGCGAGGTCGCTTTTTAAAGTACTGGCTGATTTTGCCTGTCATAACTAAAAGGCTAAAAAACGGAGGAAACTTTTTGTTTTAATAAACACGACATGCTTGGATGCAAAAAAGACAAGCAGTATTTACCTGTTTGTACCATCCGCCAGGGAAAATCAGGACGCCGATAGCACCAACTAGCGGGAAAAAAACTTGAAAAAACATGATTCGATCCGTTTCTTCTTCGGTAGATGCTTCAGGTCTTTCCGGTGCACTGCTGTTGATATAGCGCCTTGACAGTGGCGCAACGCTGCAACTGCAGTTAGAATACGTTGCTGCTGCAGAGGGACATCAATCGCTCAATCAACACAGCTGGAGCTTTACGCTGTGTTGAGCGAAATCAATCGCTCTGGCTGGGGGCGGCACAAAATTAGGTGGAGGCGGCCGCCACGCAATTTTGAACGCAGGAAAAACCCTGCCGTCAGTAGCAGCTGATCGGCTGATCTTAGGGGTCGGGGTGGGCAATAAGGCTGGAGCATCTCAGAAATGTAAGGTGGAGCAAGATTGTTCAGGCTTTTAAAAACAAATATTAAAAGCTTAAAATTAATTCTGTGCTGTACAGGGAGCCAGTGTAAGGATGCCAGGATGGGGGTGATGTGCTCACGCTTGCGGGTCTGGGTGAGGAGACGTGCAGCAGAGTTCTGCACAAGCTGCAGGCGGGGAAGGGAAGCCTGGCTAATCCCTACATACAGAGAGTTACAGTAATCGAGACGGGTAGTGATGAAAGCATGCATTAATTTTTCCAGGTCAGGTCTTGATAAAATGGGCTTCACCTTCGCTATTTGGCGTAGCTGATAAAAACTTTTTTGTACCACCCCGCTGATCTGCTTCTCAAATTTAAAATCAGGGTCAAACTTAACTCCCAGATTAGTGATGACATCCTTCAGATAGGGTGAGAGGGAGCCTAGGTTGATGTTGGGGGGGTGGCCGCCACTTGGTCCAAACAACATTACTTCAGTCTTGTTCTCATTAAGGCTGAGGAAGTTAAAAGAAAGCCAGGCTTTAATGTCCTTAAGGCAGTCAGTGAGTTGTTGGACTGAGTCGGAGTTGTTCTGTGCCAGTGGAAAATAGATCTGGCAATCATCGGCATAAAAATGAAAGGAGATGCCATGTTTCCTAAAAACAGAACCAAGAGGGAGTAGATAAAAGGCAAATAAAAGAGGGCCGAGGATTGAGCCCTGGGGGACCCCATGTGGAAGAGGAGCTGTTGATGACACAGAGTTGTCAAGTTGAACACAGAAACTTCTGTCCGTTAAGTACGACCGGAACCAGTCCAGGGCGACACCCTTAATGCCCACACAGTGCTCCAGGCGAGAGATTAAAATGCTGTGGTCAACAGTGTCAAATGCAGCAGACAGATCTAGGAGCACTAGGACAACAAACTTTCCTGGGGTGTGCTGTCTTGGGGACAGGAATCACACAGGCAGGGTTCAACAGTTCTGGGACCCTATCCAGACTCAGGCTCAAGCTGAAGATGTGCAGTAGCACCTCACAGAGCTGGTCTGCACAGTCCTTTAGGAGTCTGGAGCTGATGCCGTCAGGACTTGTGGCTTTCCTTGGCTTCATCTTCCTCAGCTCACTTCTCACCTGGGGCCTAATTTATAAAACCTGGCGTAGGATCCATACTAAAAGTGTACGTAAGTCGAAAAGCTGAAAAGTGCGTAGGCCAAAAAAAATTCTGATTTATAAAACCCTGCCTATGCACAACTGCAGGCACTTTCCCTTTATAAATCACAGACCAGCCGGAAAGTTGCGCAGCAGGGATTTGATTCATGCCCTGCCCTCTCCACACCCAAAATTCACCATGTATGGTCATGCAAATTACCTCATGAATGTGATTTGCATATAAATAAGCCTGATGGATCCACGGCATTTCACGCTTAATCATGGCATCAGCAAGTCGTAGAAAAAGAAACTTTTCAGAGACCGAGGTGGAGGTTCTTGTAAATGAGGTGGCGGCGAGACGGGAGACCTTATTCGGCGGCAATTCGAGTGGCATCACCAATAAAAGAAAAGCCACCGAATGGCACGCCGTTGCCGTGGCTGTAAGTGCGGCTGGCACTGAGCGCAGCGTTGCCGAAACCAAGAAGAAGTGGTCTGATCTAAAGGTGGAGGCAAAGAAAAACGTGGCTTTGCACCTTCGGAGCGTGGCGGCGACAGGTGAGGATCAGAAAACACAAGCACATGTGACACTCATGCATGTGTTCCAAAAAAAAAACTGCTCCGTTATCCACCGCTGCTTATGTGGTGAAAGTTCGTAAACCAAAAAGATTTAGTCATATTAATCTTAAAACAAATGCATGTAAATGGAATTTCTTTTTTTTGCACATTTGTAAATTCAAATTGGCAAACCTTCTACACCGCCACAGTGGGGTCTGTGCTTTCTGCGAGCATCACTGCCTGGTACGGCAGCTGCAGCTCTCAGGACAGAAAGGACATGCATCGAGTCATCTGTTGTGCTGAACGCATCACCTGTACTGCAATGCCCGGCCTCCAGGACATCTACACCCAGCGGAGCAGTTCCAGGGCAAGACGGATTATCAAACACTCACCATCCCAACCACAGACTGTTTGAGTGGCTGCCCTCAGGTGGAGGCTTCGCTCCATCAGAGCCAGGACAAAGATGCTGAAAAGGAGCTTCTACCCCCAGGCCACTCGGATCCTGAACTCCTCATAACACACGCCCCATAACTGACTTCACAACACCCTCTGAGCAGACTTTGCATTATTGTTATTCAGTTTTTTTTGGCACAATCGCAGGACGACACTTTCATTTCACTGCCACTGTACCTGTACATTTAGGTATGTGACAAATAAAACTTGAAACTTGTGCTGCATTGCGCACGACTGTCACTGTATGGCTGTTTATACGTGCGCTTTCCATCGACCAATTGTTCTCACCTTGCTCCGATTGTCTCCAAAAAGTGCGTAAGCAAGGTGTGGAGTTTGCTTAAAGTTGCGCACATTCCTACACTAGGTTTTTTTATAAATCCCAACTCTTACGTAAGAAGTGGCGTAAGCACTTTCAAGCCAGGTTTTGTGCGTAAGCAAGCTTTATAAATGAGGCCCCTGGTCAGCTGTTATGGAGAGGCTGGGGGTGGTGCTGGAGGGGGGTTGATGATGCCGGTGCCATGGAACAGAGGTGGTGTGAAGAAGAAGCAGCAGACGGGTCGTTGGTTTGATGAGTAGGGGGAGGAGTGGGAGCAGAGTCAAATCTATTGAAGAACAGATTCGGCTCGTTGGCCCACTCCCTGTCTCCTGCTTCAGGTCCCCTCTCGTGGCCCCTGCTGTGACCTGAGATGGATTTCAGGCCTCTCCAGACCTCCCTCGCGTTGTTGTGTTGCAGAAGGTTTTCCATCTTGGTCTTGTAGCTGGCCTTCCCCTCCCTGATCTTCTTCTTCAGCTCCTTCTGCACCCTCCTCAGATCCTCCTTGTCCCCGGATTTAAAGACCCTCCTCTTCTCCTTCAGGAGGACTTTTAGTTCAGGGGTCACCCAGGGTTTGCTGTTGGAGAAACACCGTACTTTCCTGGTGGGTACAGTGTTCTCAACACAGAAGTTTATGTAGTCCATGATGCAATCTGTCATGGTGTCGATGTCATCACCATGTGGGCCGCACAGTACATCCCAGTCTGTGGTCTCGAAACAGTCCTGCAGCGCCTCAGTGGCCTCCTCAGACCACCTCTTAACATACCTGATGGTGGGGGGTTGTTTCTTCACCATAGGTATGTAAATGGGCTGCAGTCTCACCAGGTTGTGATCTGAGCGGCCCAGCGGGGGAGGTGTATGCATCCTTGGTGTTTGCATACAGTAAGTCCAAAGTTTTATTGTCTCTTGTTGGGCATTCCATGTACTGGCTGAAGGTAGGGAGAGTGGAGGTCAGCGATGCATGACTAAAGTCTCAAGAGACGATGGTCAGAGACTGAGGGTGTGATGTTTGTAGCTTGGACACTTCACTGTGGAGGAGTTCACAGGCTGCAGCAGCATCAGCCGAGGGAAGGATGTAAACAGTTAACGCGATGACATGCGAAAACTCCCTCGGCAGGTAATATGGCCGCAAACTCACAGCCAGCAGCTCAATGTCCTGAGGGCAGCGCTGCTCTTTAACACTGACGTGCCCAGCATTACACCATCTCTCATTCACATACACCGCTATCCTATCAATAAAAAGGCAAAAACGTATACTCTGTGAAGAGCTGCTGTGACTTGCTGCCACTCTCAGGGCGCTCAGTCAATACATAAGCTTTTAGCTAAATTTACTGTATCTACGTCATTGTGCTGGGTGCTTGAGTTGAGACGTTTTCTTCAAGAAATTTGCTACATTTCATAACCTGAATTCACTTATGCGTATACAAAGGCACCGATAACTGTTTCAGATGTTAGGTAGATGTATTTATGACATTTGAGAAAGATTTTGTCTTGCCAGAATCAACATAGCAGTTTCTACAAGCTAAAACAGCAGCACCATGTAATTGTTTTTTGGGTTACTCACATAGAGTACAGGCCAAAAGTTTGGACACACTTTCTCATTCAATGTCTTTTCTTTTTTTTTTATACGACTATTTACATTGTAGATTGTCACTGAAGGCATTAAAACTATGAATGAACACATGTAGAATTTTGTACTTCTAAAAAAAGTGTGAAATAACCGAAAACATGTTTTATATTCTAGTTTCTTTAAAATAGCCACCCTTTGCTCTTGATGACAGAAGTACCTTGTCAGGGTTACTTCAGGCACTCCTGTGAAGTAAAAATCATTTCAGGTGACTACCTCATGAAGCTCATTGAGAGAACAGCTAAAGTTTGCAGCGCTATCAAAAAAGCAAGCACGGTCTGATTGGCGGACAAAGCACTCCAGCCGCGAGTGACCACGCTATTCCCCCACGTCGGCGCCGAGCGACGAGGGAGAGCGAGAGCGAGAGAAGGCATCCAGCCGCGAGGGAGAGAGCGGCCAGCCGCGAGGGAGAGAGCGGCCAGCCGCGATGAGGACGGCGTTAGTGGCGCCCCGCCACATTACCCCTCTCCTCCCCGAGGTTGGCGATGTGCGGCAACCTTGACAGATAGTCTGCCACAACATTGCTCTTGCCCGGCCGATGGTGGATCCGGAATCTGAATGGTTGGAGGGAGAGGTACCAGCGGGTGAGACGACTGTTGTGATCCTTCATCGAATGAATCCACGTCAGCGCCCGATGGTCAGTCTCCAAGTCGAACTCCCTCCCCAGCAGGTAGTATCTCATACTCTCCAGGGCCCATTTGATCGCCAGGCCTTCCTTCTCCACTGTGGAGTACCTGGTCTCCCGTGGCAGCAGCTTGCGGCTCAGGTACAGCACTGGTCGCTCCTCCCCAGGTTCACCTTGGGCCAGGACTGCCCCCAGTCCCACAGCTGAAGCATCCGTCTGGATCAGGAACCGCTGTCTGAAGTCAGGGCTTCTCAAAACTGGCGAAGAGCACAAGCAGGCTTTTAGAGCGTGGAAGGCCGTCTCGCAGTCATTGTTCCAGATGACAGGGTTTCTCTGTTCCTTCGCTGTCAGAGCTGTCAGAGGCGCTGCGATGGTGGCAAACTGTGGGACGAACCTTCTGTACCAGCCGGCCAAACCCAAGAAGGACCTCACCTCCTTCTTGGTTCGAGGGCGTGGGCAGCTGCGGATGGCCTCCACCTTGTCCACCTGCGGCCGGACCTCCCCTCGTCCCAGCCGGTACCCCAGGTACTCTGTCTCCTCCTTAGCCCACTGGCATTTGGCTGGATTCAGTGTCAGGCCTGCCTGCTGGATCTGGCCCAGGACTCGCTCCAGGTGATGCAGGTGCTGCTCCCAGGTGTCACTGAAGATGACCACATCATCCAGGTAGGCAGCACTGCAGTCCTCACACCCCCGTAGAACCTGGTCCATCAGTCTCTGGAAGGTGGCGGGTGCCCCATGCAGGCCAAAGGGCATCACCGTGAACTGGAAGAGGCCGGAAGGTGTCTGGAACGCTGTGTAGGGACGACTGGATGCTTCCAAGGGTACCTGCCAGTAGCCCTTACAGAGGTCCAGGGTGGTGATGAACCTGGCCCGGCCAATCCTCTCCAGCAGCTCGTCGATCCGTGGCATCGGGTAGGCGTCAAACTCCGACATTGCGTTCAGCTTCCTGAAGTTGATGCAGATGCGGAGGGAACCGTCCTTCTTCACCACAATGACCACTGGGCTGCACCACTCGGACTGCTACGGTTCGATCACCCCCAGGCGCTGCATCTCTTCCACCTCCTTCAGGAGCTTGGCCACCAGATGTTGTGGCACCCGGTAACTCCTCTGGCGAACTGGCCCCTTGTCTTTCAGGTGGACCACGTGCTCGATGAGGCCGGTCCTCCCCGGGCTGGCAGCGAAGAGCTTGGAGACCCTCTCGAACACCTGGCACAGCTGGCTGGACTGGACAGCAGAGAGATGGCCCAGAGCAGGTTCAGCATACTGGTGGCGGTCGGCGAGGATACACTCCTCCTCCCCTTCACTGTCCCCCTCCATCACCAATAGGGCCGCCACAGGGCCCTGAGCTGGAGCCTCCTTCCACTCCTTCAGCAGGTTGATGTGGTAGACCTGCTTTGCCCTTTTCTTGTCCGGGTGGTGGATCTCATAGGTCACAGGGCCCATCTTCCGGAGGACGGTGTACGGGCCCTGCCACTTGGCAAGCAGCTTGCTGTTGGAGGATGGGAGGAGGAGTAGGACCTTCTGGCCGGGCTGGAACTCTCTGCGTCTGGCATGTTGGTCGTACCACGCCTTCTGGGCCTGCTGGGCTTCGCGCAGGTTGACCTCTGCCTCCTCCCGGTACTTTGCCAGCCGGTCCCTCATCTCCAACACGAATTGGACCACACTGCGGTCACTGGTGCCTGTTGCAGGAGCCTCCCATGTATTTAGAAGCAGATCCAATGGCCCCTGTACCTCCCAGCCGTACAGTAGTTCAAACGGGGAGAACCCCGTGGAGGCTTGGGGAACCTCTCGGTAGGCGAAAAGCAGGAAGGGTAACCACTGGTCCCAGTCTCGCCCGGTGTCAGACACAAATTTCTGCAGCATCTTCTTGAGGGTTTGGTTGAAACGCTCAACCAAGCCATCTGTCTGAGGGTGGTATGGGGTGGTCTTGATTGTTGAGACCCCCAACTGTCGGTGGAAGAGCTGCAGGAGTCTGGAGGTGAAATCAGTCCCCTGGTCTGTGATGATCTCGTCTGGAATACCCACCCTGGAAAACAGCTGGACCAGGCAACGCAACACAGCCGGAGCAGTGACCGTGCGCAGGGGAAAAGCCTCAGGGAAACGAGTGGCGTAATCACAGACCACCAGGATGTACTGGTGCCCTCCGCTGCTCCTCACCAATGGGCCAACAATGTCCATGGCTATCTGCCTAAATGGAGTGGAGATCACGGGTAGTGGTTGGAGGTAGGCACGGTCTGATTGGCGGACAAAGCAAGTCTTCTGACAGGTGGGACAGGTTTTACAAAATGTTTGTACATCCGCATACATGGAAGGCCAGAAGAACCTTGCAGATATCCGCAGGTAGGTTTTGTTGCGACCAAGATGACCAGCCCAAGGCAAGGTGTGTGCCAGGTGCATGATCATCTGCCGACATGACACAGGAACCACCAGGCGTCTGACCTCATCTGTCATCGCATAGAGCACATTATTGTCCACAACAAACCAGTCTTTGTCCTTCTTTGCTAGGTCCTGTCCCCAAACCACCTTGGCGAACAGGGGCGTCAGAGTTGTGTCCTCCCTTTGTAAGGCCCCAATGTCCTCTGGCACATTCCATCTGTCCTTTGCCAGCCCCTTTTTTCGGTCTGGCTCCTGGGATTTCAGCCCCTTCACAAATTGCCGCTGACGGCGGGACTTTCTGGGGCCCTTTGTGCCCCCCTCAAACAAACCACTGTCCAGGGTTGAAAAAAGTTCTGGCTCAGGGCCCTTTTCCTGCCCTGGGCCAGTTGCAATCCCCGCTCTGGCCTGGGCACGGGTGATCACCAGCCCAGACAACCCTTTCCCCAGGTCACTGGCGGTGGGTCCTGCCTCCAGCAGCACATCCAATAGCACTGGGAAGTCCCAACCCAGGATCGCAGCCACAGGCAACCTATCCACCACCCCCACAGTCAGCAGATAAGGCTGCTCGTCCACGACCACTGTCACCTCAGCTGTGGGGTAGGAATGGCTGTCCCCGTGTGCGCACAGAATGTCTTCCTGTCTGCTATAATCCACACTGCCCGTTGGCACCAGCTCCCTTCGCACCAGCGTCAGGAAGCTCCCAGAGTCAACCAAAGCAGTCACACATTCCCCATTTATGGTTATTTCCTTGAATCTTTGTTGCCGTCCCCCAGCACTTGCAACCTCCGCTCGGGGAGTGTAGCAGGCACTGCTAAGCTTGGCTTTTCTGATTGGGCACAGAGCAGCCTTGTGTCCTGCTTGCTGGCAGTAAAAACAAATAAGTTCCTTACCAGGGCTGCGCTGGCGAGGTGCGGACCGAGGTTCTCCTGTTGGATGCTGGCTGGCTCTGGCCGCTGGTCTGGGCTGTGATGAAACCTGCCGACTGGGTCCACCCTGGTTGACTGTCGGGCCTCCCCTCCGTGCGTTAAGGTACTGCAGTGCCAGCTTCCCTGCAGCTAGCCCATCCGTCGGCTCATGCTCCTTCACCCAGGTGCAGATGTCAGCCGGGAAGACCCTCAGCAGCTGCTCCAATATGATCTGCTCCCCGATCTGCTCCTTTGTATGCTGCTCTGGCCGGACCCATAGACGGTAGAGACCCTTTAAGCGGTGGTAAGTCTCTGTGGGGTTCTCTCCTGGTGGGACAGCCATGGACCGGAACTGCTGGCGATAAGTCTCCGGGGAGACGTCAAACTTCATCAGGAGCGCTGCCTTCAGGTCCGGGTAGGAGTGAGCCAGGTCCTCATCCATCGCTGTGTAAGCCTCCAGCGCCTTTCCAGTGAGCAGAGGCACCAGGCGACAGGCCCACTCACTGTCTGGCCAACCCCACGTTCTGGCAATGCGCTCGAAGCGGAGCAGGTAATTTTCAATGTCCTCTCCCGCCAGATACTGAGGGATCTTGGGGTCACCCCAGGGTCGGCTCTCAGACCTAGGAGGTTCTGCCAGGCTACTTGCCCCAATCCTTGGTGCCTCCACGGGAGAACTGCGTCGTGGCCGAGGAGCTGGAGTTGGTAACTCAAGACGGAGGCTCATAGTTGATCCAGCAGATGGCGGAGTGGTTCTTGGTGCTGGACTTGGTGTTACCGGCCTCCGTTCTGCCTCAGGCTGCTGCAGTGGGACTGGTAAGGCAGCTCGAAGCCCTCTGAGCTCTGCAAGCAAGCCCTCCTCTCTCCTCTGCTGCCCCTCCAGGAAAGTTCTCATCACTGTAAGCAGCTCCGCCCCAGCACCTGAAGTTCCCGGGTCTGCCTGCCAGGAAGGCCCAGCAGCACCCTCTTCATCCTCATCCTCTGTGGCCCAGGCTTCTTCCTCCACAGCTTCTTCCACTTTTTGTGACCGCAGTCCGGTCCGTCTTCCTGTGAACCGGATGCATCCCCTTCGACTGGCCATCCCACTTCTGACACCAAATGTCGCGGGTTCAGTTTCTTTAAGTTCTTTTTCGGTTGTGGAGGGAAAGATGATGGCACAGTCGAGAACCGAGTACGGTGATTTCCTTTTATTTACACCATCTCCAAAAAAATACCCACAGGTGAAAACTCTTATGTACAAAAATATTTACAAAAATTACAGAGGAAAAACTATTTACAAACCGCAATTTAACTACCAGGACCAACATACGTCTTCTCAACCAGGAGGCACACCAACAAGTGAGCTGAGCTCCTTTAAATACCCCTTGGCCCCTCCTCCGGACAAACCAATCAAAACAATCTAGGGGTTTTTCGAGATATCAGCTATTATATCATAACTAATATTTCTACATACACAAAATAATACAAAGCAATTACTGTTGCTCACACCCTCCACATGGCTGAGCCAATATTAAACCCAAACACAATATTTTTCCTATAAATCAATTTGTTCCCGGACTTTGGTTTCTCCCTGGGTCACCTGACCCGCGGAGGCACGTCACCTAGTGCTACTTAACAGGTGACGCGAAACTGCCTCTGTTCAGTCCATGAAGCGGAGACAGAAGGTGAGTGTGTATGTGTGTGCGTGTACGTGTAAGCGAGACCCGTGTAGGTGTTTGAGTGTGCACCCTCTAACACCAACCACGGGGACGCAAGAGTCCAATTATTGTCTTTAAATGTTCATTTTGACTCCCGTCCGTCTGTCACTCCAGCCGCGAGTGACCACGCTATTCCCCCACGTCGGCGCCGAGCGACGAGGGAGAGCGAGAGCGAGAGAAGGCGTCCAGCCACGAGAGAGAGCGTGCGTCCAGCCGCGAGGGAGAGAGCGGCCAGCCGCGAGGGAGAGAGCGGCCAGCCGCGATGAGGACGGCGTTAGTGGCGCCCCGCCACACACGTGTTCATTCATAGTTTTGAGAATCTACAATTTAAATAGTAATGAAAACAAAGAAAATGCATTGAATGAGAAGGTGTGTCCAAACTTTTGGCCTGTACTGTATGTACATTTCTGGCTGGTGACAAAAGTCGGACAGATAGTCTGAGTAGATATTTTAACCCAAAGTCCAGAATGGTATTGTCTATGCAAAAATACATTGAACAAGTAGGACCAGCGTAGCTGAATGAAATTCACTTTCTAGGCACTTTTTCCTTTGTCCCAATACAGCCTATGACCTAGAGCAGTGGTCTCCATATGGCGGACCGCGGTCCACTTCCGGACCAGGAAAGAGTCCAATACGGACCCGAGCCTACTGCAGAAAAATGTATGTTTTTTTTCTCTCTTGTAGGCCTGCACGATATATCGTTTGAGCATCGTCATCGCGATGTACATGTGTGCGATAGTCACATCACAGAGCCTGCGATGTCGGAGGTGAATGAACTTTAAGGGTAGCTGACTGAGATACACTCCATGTGACTCTACATGTGCTGTGCAGCGATCCACCAATCACCTTTGTCCTTTACTCAGTTGCCAATCAGACTCAGTTCTCAGTTGCCAATCAGACTACCCTGCCAGCTGTCAATCAAAATCAGAGAGGAGGAAACCCACCCCTGCACATGTTCTGCACATGGAGGTACTCGCTGGCTGCTGGTGTTGAGCCCAGAAACGCGTGTCTGTTGAGAATTACTTTCGGAACTTTACTGACTGTTAAGCCCAACAAATAAGAACTGTATGGGTTTTAAAGTGTATATTTCCGTGGACCACTCTACTATAAGCGGTGCGCGTTTTGCGAGGTGCATGCAATTCTCGGAGGACATGCGTTTCTCGGCACAACACCGCTAACAACAACAACAACGATTGCAAAATGAGCAACGAACAAGAGAAAACCACCGAAAATGAAGATTTGTTGCCAAAAAGAAAAGGAAAGTCAGTTATCTGGAATTATTTCGGTTAAAAGAAGGATGATGTTGACCAAAACACGTGTTCTGTGTTCATCTGTCACCACAATAACGCCCCACCACAATAAAAGCTAAAAATATCTCTGAGACAGACAGAAGCCACTCTACTAACATTCACAAAAAGAGGTAAGATCAGAGCAGGTTAACTGTCCTCAAGATTTCAGCGGTGCAGCATAACATTAAATGCTATTCAGGTCATCTGGTGAAAATTCCTATATTTTTAATATCGCAATATATATCGCAGGGTTGAAAAAAATTGCAATGTTAGTTTTTTCCAATATCGTGCAGCCTTACTCTCTTGCTTTGTGCCTGGTTCAGTAAACTGCACATGCAATTTCAGCAAGGCATTACATCACTTGCTTACTCGCTTGACTCGTCAATCAACTCAGACCTCTTAGCCTACTCGACACGCGAAGATTACCGAGCAATCCCGATGTTGAAAACTGTCAGGCGGCAGACTGAGGAGAAAGTTGTAGCAGCAGCTAAACATGTCGGCTTAAAAACCACAAAAGGTAGAGAATGAGAACAGGGTGTTTTATGGTGAGTGGACCGAGTCATTTGCATTCATTTTACCTGCAGGAATAACACAGCCAATTGAAAGTAGGCAATTATTGGCAATACAAATGAAGTGAATATTTCAAAAGAGTAATGCACTGTAAAAAAATAAATAAATAAAAATCCCTGGACCCAGGACTGCAGGCATTTCATTCAGGTGGACCCACTGAAAATTTATATGAAGACCCCTGACCTAGAGCAAAGTTTCTTTCCCGGAGTTTCAGTGGAAGGGGATGCATCGGCAATGCTGGCTGAGGGGTTTGACTGACCCGCGGCTGCATCACGTTCTTGTTTCTCGCCTTTTCCAAATTAATCACTGGTAGCATGTCATGTGAAACCCAGCGTCATCAGGAACATTGTCAAAGTCGATATCAACGCAATGTTTATAAGTTGTAGAGAAAGCCACTTTCTAATACTAGTTCTGTAAGTTTCCCAACGTGTCCTTGTAAGGTCGAGAACGTCTTCACTCTGGACAGATGACAGATGCATATAGCATTGTTTCGTTCCTTTTTTATGCACTTTTGAAGGCTGTTTTCTTTTTTCCTTTTCTTTTTTTCCTCTTCACTTGTCTCACTGCTAGATGCGCTCGTCGCCATGTTTGTGTATTTCTGATACTATGGCAACGAGACTCGGCTATTATTGGTCCACGTGACAAAAATCGCTTCACCCCTTTGCATATTCCTGTGCGTGTGCAAGTATCACTACGCCGCAGAAAGGAAATAGTTCAACACCGAAACACTGATTACTAAAAATCGACTGGATGGCATGAGTAGATTTTTTTTAATACTTACTATCAATAGAGCTACTTTATGAATCACAGTTTATGTTGCACCAGCGTAGTGGAACGAAATTCACTTTCTAGGCACTTTTTCCTTTGTCCCAATACAGCCTACAAGCACTTATCCGAGGAGAAGGCCAGGAGAAGTGTCTGTACCACTCAGGAGTGAAGACAATACTCAGGCGCTGAGACTGAGGGCTGCTGGCTTCTTCAAGGGTCTTGATAGCCAATGCAGCGCAGGTGTGGAGTCTCTCTCAGCCTCAGCGACTGGGGAAGGGGGGTGCTCTGAAAACAGTCATGCCAGACTAGGGAAACAAGGAAAACAAGAAGTTAAATCAAAATAAAACAGGAAGTGAAGGCGTCTCACCACACAATCCCCTTTCTGTCTTTCCAGCTTGCTTCATGCCTCTTTGGTATTGTTGCTTTGCCTGAAGAAAAAATTATTTCACAATCTGCAGCACTAGCTTTACTAACTTTCTTTTAAGCTGTTATCACACAATGCAGAAAAAACAAAAATGTTTGAAATGCACAGTAGATTGTGTTGCAAAGCAAAAAAGAGAAAAAAACAGCTCATCAAGCTTAGCCATGGGGACATGCAGTGCAAATGTAAATTGTGCTGAAGAGGCAGCTCACTCTTTTGATTAAACCGTCTTTTGTTCAGGGTTATCAAAGATAAGAAAAACTTTATTTATCCCTGAAGAGAAATTCAATAAATCACATAAAACATTCAATATGTGGATGCCATATAACAAGCTGTCAAAACATATCAGCCCTTAAAAAATTACATTTTATACCACATAGCCCAACACTTTGCTGGGTAACGCCTGGTTCACACAACACCGAAACACTGATTACTGTTTCGCTTCCGTTTCGTGCGTGGCGCTTCCTGTGTGAACCAGGTGTAAGGCTGGAGTCATCCAGTGGGTCTGCAATAAGCACTTTGAAGGAAACAGGGTCTCTGAGTTTTCTTGTCCCTGAGTTTTTTTCCCAGTGATTTAGTTGAAGAGGGGGGCAAAGAGTCTTGTAGTGTTTTCAGCTTTTGCTCAGGCCTTTTTTTCCCAGGGGAGAGATTTTTAATGCACTGAGGTCAATTCTGTCCAGCGACTCCTACTGCTGAACTTTTAAAGTTCCCAATCTACACAGATAGGAAGCACCCCAGTAAGGGCCTAATTTCAGTGCTCGATGGATTATAGTTTGAAAGCCCTGCCTATTTCAACCAGAAGGTGTCAACATTTCATCAGGGCCACAGCTGTAGCTCAAATGAGAGGCTTTGATCATTTGTTGATGTTAATTAAAGGCACTTACTGACAGGGAGGGACTTCACTCATTTTCCAAGTGATTCAAAAAAGTGGAAGTATCCTCCCTATCCCATGAGGCAACTTTTAAGGGTGGAACAGCTGGATGATAGCAAACTCAAACACATTAGTCTTAAAGAAATACATCTAGGCACTTATTCAAGCTCCCGTCTGGGATATAACTGGCCACAGACAAAACAGTACCTTTCTATCTCTATCGATGTAAGCATGTGGAAGGCTGAAACCATAGACTGTATAAAGAATGGACAGAGTCTGCCTCCTCGCTGGGTGAAGTCACTCCGAGAACAGCACCCTCTGATGGTGGGCTGCAGTACAGGTCATAAATCCCGCCTCCGCCAGCAAAGTTTATGGGACTGTGGACAAACTTTAGAAATTTATTACACAGAACATAAATTTTTCTCCCCCCTGCTTGTGATGTTGACATGTAGTTATTGTAAGACTGGTTTGTGCCCAAGTCCTTTTTTTTCTGTACAGCTCCGTTTTTAAAAGTTATTAGGGGGTTCATGTTTTCTATGATTGACACCTGGTACAGTCTATGGGCGTTCAGGGATTGCGTAGCTCACCCGGGGGGGATACGCTGTTTGAGCCGAGCGTCATCACAGGGACTCTCGGCGACTGCGCAGCTGAATGCGCGCATCGCTACTGCGCAGCTCTGGTTTCAAGGAAGTGGAGAAAAACCCGGAATTACCGAGAGCTTCTTGGCTTCAAATCCGTATACAGGCGGAAGGCGGAACCAGGTTGTCCATAGTATATACAGTCTATGGCTGAAACCTGCAGCTGGAAGAGCACACCTCATCTCCATTTGAAGTTCATGCATAATAGGCCGAGGCAGGGAGAGCAGCAGCAGCCACAGCAGCAGAGACTCAGGAAACAGATCAGGCGCCATACATATGACAGTAGTAAAACCAGTCACAGCATGAAAAGGAGGAGCTGGGGTAGACATCAACTGAAGGGAGGCTTGAGGAGGAAGAGAGCAAAAAAAGGTAGACTGGAGCAGTTAAATGGATATCTAGATATTGTCAGCCAGATGAGCAGAGGGCCGAGCTGTCGCCTGATATGGACTGGGATTGGGATCAGCTGATGTACTGTGGGCTTTGGTTCACCCCTCCTTTTAATGGGTGTTTCTTTAAATGTCTGTATTAATTTTTTAATCACTGCTGCTTAAATGGAATTTCCCTTCAGGGATCAATAAAGTTCTGTTATTCTTAAAATATCTTGCCCTGCTCCTCTAACAGGCTTTTTAAGTTGCAACAGAGGCAGTTCAATGTAAATACAAAAATGCGAATGAATAAACAAACCTGAAAACTAGTCATATGTAGAATGTCCCAAAGATGGTTTGGTTTGGGATTTTGGCTGGTGAATTTGAGGATATGGTGTGTGCTGAGTAACGAGAGGACGATTTTTCTTTTGAAGTGCAAAACCTTCTGTTTCAGTGAGTTCAAATTAGGGCACAGCTGTGCAGACCATTGCCATGATTCTCAGCCCTCTGAAGTCATCGTCTGGCTCTCCTGGATCTGTTCAGAGTTCTGCCAGAGCAGTTACTGAATGCCTCTTTGTATGCTGAAGGCAAATGATGTGTTTTGGACTTTTTCCTTTGTCTGTGCTGTCACAAAGTCACATTGTATGACTGTAAATGGCTGTAATATCCTTGTTTTTTTCTCTTTCTTTTTCTCTTTCTCATTCCCATGTCTCTTGTATAGGAAATTGCTGTATTGAAGGATGTGCGCACCCTACAGGTTATACCTGGTGAGCTAGTGAAGCCCTTTAAATCCAACTTCCCCTCTCGTCTGGCTCAGAGTCGGGCTGAGCTTGTTCAGAGGCTGCTTGCTGAACTTGGTACTGAGAACTCTGGCTTCACCCCGGACAATGTCATGAATGTAAGCTACTTTAATCTTACCAAAAGCATCTTTCCTTTTCATTTCTTGAAAATCTTTCAGATACCCGTACAACGATGAAATAATCCTCTTCAGAAATTAGAGATAACAGTTTTTAATGCTTAGCTTGCTTACATACAACATCCATGTGAGACAGATGTAATCTATATGCAAGCCAGTGGCGGCTGGTGAGAAAAAAAGTAGGTGGGGCTGAAGGTTTGGAAACCAGAACCCTGTAGGGGGGTATCCTCCCCTGTGAGATTTTCACATGTAAATGAAGCATTCTGAGCAAATAATTAAGGAAACATACGATCTTGACCTACAAAGACAAATGGGGTGGGGATACTGTATTTCAACATATTAACAGGGCATTATAGCCAGCACACAGCCTACCTACATTCAATGTAATGGTATGATATAGAAACTGACAGGAGCGCATACTCGTGTACATTCACCTGCATCTCAACAGGTTAGGCTACAGCAAAGAAGCACACAAAGACAACTGCAGAAAAATAGTAAAGAGCAGACCCACATTTATTAACATAAACAATTTGTTTATCAACATAAACTATTTACAAACAATTTATATATTAACAATCAGTGGAACTGAACTATCAACAAGGTATGGTATGGTATGCTGCTTTGCTGTTTTTTATTCTGTAACTACTTTGTTGTGTTTATCTATTACTGTGTTCTCAATGTACCATATACCATGTAATCACAATATTCAGCTTGTAATATAAATAACTTTAATAATAATAATGATGATAATAATTTACAACAATAATAATAATAATAAATATGATTTATAATTAATTGTAATGGATAATAATATATTATATAATCTATTACAATAAATAATAATAAATATAATCTATAATTATAAGAAATACAATTTATTAGTCATTTTAATTTAGAATATATAATATAATCTATTACAATTAATAATAATAATAATAATAATAATAAATAATCTACAATTAATTATGATTTATAATAACATATAATATAATCTATTACAATAAGTAATAATTATAGTTATATTTATAAATATAATTTAAAATTATATATAATATAATCTTTTACAATAAATAATAATATAATTTATAACAATAATAATAATAATAATAATAATAATAATAATAATAATAATAATAAATGTAATTTATAATTAATTATAATTTATAATGATATATAATATAATCTTTTACAATAAATATGATTTATAATTAATTATAATTTATTATTTTTAATTTTATATTTATTTATTATTTTTCTTCCAGGTTTTCAAGAACACATGGGAACTCTGAAAATCTGACTGCGGCTCAGAACAGTTCATTTGTACAGAAATTTGGCGCTTCTCTCCTGTAGAGATACAAACCTTTCAATGACTCTTTCATTAAAGTCAGGAATGCTGTTTGCCAGTTTCTTCTCCATGGAGAGCATGGCCAAGGTATTTAGGCATTCCTGCCCCATGGTGTTTCTCAGGAATGTCTTGATCCGTTTGAGAGTGGAGAAACAACTATGAAAAAAAGAATGAATAAATGACTGACTGAGTAAGTGGGAGACTGGATGAGTGAATGACATGTGAGTGAATAAATAACTTATAAACTTCTCATGAATTGATAAATTAATCTATGGTTTATATAGGTGAGTGTATTGTAGTACATTACATTGTATGTAATGTAGTATATTAGAAGTCTTGGCCCAGCTTGTCTGTGTATAGGCTGTATTGGGACAAAGGAAAAAGTGCTTAGAAAGTGAATCTCGTTCCACTTCAGTGGGGCAACATAAACTGTAATTCATAAAATAGCTCTATTGATAGTAATTACTTAAAAAAAAAATCTACTCATGCCATCCTGTCGATTTTTAGTAATCAATTTTTCAGTGTCGAACTATTTCCTTTCTGCGGCGTAGTGATACTTGTACATGCGCAATCAATTATGCAGAGGGTGAAGCGATTTTTGTCACGTGGACCAATAGGAGCCGAGTCTCGTTGCCATAGTATCAGAAATACACAAACATGGCGACGAGCGCATCTAGCAGCGAGACAAACGAAGAGGAAGAAAAGAAAAGGAAAAAAAGAAATCAGCCTTCAAAAGTGCATAAAAAAGGAACGAAACAATGCTATATGCATCTATCATCTGTCCAGAGTGAAGACGTTCTCGACTTTACAAGGACACGTTGGGAAACTTACAGAACTAGTATTAGAAAGTGCCTTTCTCTCCAGGGTGAGACAAAGGACCTTGCAGAAACTTGTAAACATTGCGTTGATATCGACTTTGACAATGTTCCTAATGAAGTCATGGTTGGAGTAGATGAGGGACAGTTCAGCCTTTAGCTTGTTCTTGTTCAGAACAGGGTAAGCCTCAGCGGCAGCATTGAGCGCAGCATCAGGGAACTGTTGTTGGTGTTGGGCAAACATCTCTTGCAGCAGCAGTGTGGCAGCAATCAGATGCTTTGTGAAGGCATATCGTTCCGTGGCGTGGGCAAGGATGGTATCACACACCTATAAAATGATACACAACACTTGTTAAGTCAAAAGTACAATAAAAAAAAGCAAACATGTTACTTGACGTTATAGGTTAATGTTGAAATTGCAGCCTCAGTTACAAGAGCATTATTGTAATTAATCACAAAAACAACTGTCTTACTAATGGACTAAAATGACACATGATATGTCACTGACCTGTGTAGCTATCCTTTGATAGCTACACAGGTGCCTGGCACCTCTTGTTGGTCCCCTGAGCTTCGCAATGCTCAGCACAGAAAGAGGGAATGGAGTCCCTGATCTTCTGCACAGACTGTGTAAAGTTTTGAATGCTCTTGTGGAGGAAGACAGTATCAATTTTCATCTTCTGGAGCAAGCTGAACAGGATGTCTACATGTGGCATGATCATGTGAAATAAATCCAAGAAAAATATAAAAGTGGAATCCTCCAGCAGTCGTAGAAATGCTCCTGCCTCTCGTTGTGTGGGGGGATCAAACTCTCCACCCTCTCTGATGGATCGGAAACACTGAATCAGATCATCTTTGTATTCGTATACAGTGTTCACTGCTCGACTGTGGAAGTTCCACCGTATTGCAGAGGATCTTGGGAGTCTGTGTGCAACCACACTGCCCAGCACGCTGGTTCTCCTGTGTGACCGGGAAAAGAAAGCAGCAAACCCACTCAAGTCAGAGAAGAAACCAGAGACACAAGGGATGCGAGATGTCACCTGAAACAGATTAGATTCAGATTTAACGCCATATATTTTAGCAAGAGTAGTACAACAGTGAGTGACCCTGGTTCGATGCAGAATAATGAACTGTTTACAAAAAAAATCCATCTCTTTTTTATTACAAACATGTAAACACAAACATTGCTCCACATTAGTGTGGCCCTGTTACTCCTTTCCAGACAGCTACTGAGACAAACTAACATGTTGACATTGTCCAAGAGGAGAGCTGATGCCAGAGGCGCTTCAGGGATTTTGTGTCATTGTGCGCAGATAGGTTAACTGTGTTAAAATTTTAAATCAGATCGTTCATGATGAGTCATTTGGCAGTCAAAGCACTAATATAGTCATATGATGGTCATCCCTCATTATAACAGTTGTAATAGTCTAATAGTCTTTTGATCTGATTCTCACTAGGTAATGATCAGACCATTACCATGCACTGAACTATGGTCAGTAATAAAACTGGACAGTGTGCAAAAGACAGGTGCTGGGGAGGGGGGAGTCAAAGTGTAAAACTCACCTGTTGCATTATGAGGTTCAGCTGGTGTGCAAAGCAGTGAACATAGTGCGCGTTCTTGTACACCTCTTGCACTTTCTTCTGCACCCCTCCGGTGGCTTCCCTCATCACACTGGCTCCATCATAGGCTTGGGCAACGAGTTTGAACTTCTGAGTGTCGGGTACAATGTCACTCAGCCTCTCCAGAAGTGCGGATGAAATTGAATCAGCACTTGCATGCTGCAGATGGATGAATTCAAAAAATCTCTCTTGCACGTTCTTGGATTTATCTATGTAACGCAGCACGAGCACCAGCTAGCACTGAGTGGAGATATCTGTTGTCTCGTCAGCTTCAATTGAGAGAAAATCTGCAGCCCTGACTTCATCCACAATATGCTCTCTTAATACAGAAAGCATACAGTACAGCAGCTCGTTCTGTACCGTCTTTGACGTCCCCTTGAACACCGTGGCAGTTTTCAAGTGCTCCTCCAGGACAGAGTCAAGTGTCGCCACAAGGTCCACTAGGCCCCTGAATATTCACAGGTTTGAATATTCACAGGCTGACTCGTCGTGCCCGCGTAAAGCCAGCTCAAAAGCACCACAAAACTTCACACAATCGATAATTTTGGACAGAATATGTCGGTTCTTGTCTACCTTCTCATTATGTTTCCTGACTCCTATTCTGTAGCTGTCATCCAATTGAGTGGCAATGTTAACTCTGCCGAACATAGCTAGCTTCATAGCATTTTCCATGTGCACTTTGCTATGGTCGTGCTTCTTAATCTTCTCTGACAGGTGCTTCAGATCTGTCACCCCAGTAGCAACCCATGCATGATCCGTGTTCGCCGACTGAAAGAGCATGCATGGGAAACAAAAAAGGGCCTTACTCTTCGGGCATCCCGTTAGCCATGGTTTGCGCGCATACCATGCTCTTGAAAATGACCGCGTATAATTTTTCCCCCTCTCGTGGTCACTTGCTGGGCAGCGACATCTGGTCGATCCAGACTGAGCTCTTTCAACTTCAATTTTTCCTGCAGGGTTCTCCTCTCAAACGGGACCTGCTTTATTGACAGCACAGAATTCTCTGGTAAATCTTCCTGGTTAGCAGTAGCCATTCTCACGTCCTCTCTCATCAGCAGCCAAGTGCAAAGAGCGAGGGGCGGACCGGCTCCGAGTAGAGCTAGATCCGCTGGCTACGTGACACGCATATTGTAGCTATGCGTCAGTTTGTGACCAATCTGGTAATGAACGTGCTTACGTCAGTTAAAGTTGGGACGCTGGGGCGCTGGTCCCTGGCGCCCATTAGGGATTTTTATTATGTGGCTATGATAAGCTAACTTTTTAATGCAGAACTGTGATCTGAGCATGCGTGAGAGAGCAGAAAGCTTGGGCGCTGGCCCGTAGCACCATTATGTCTATGCATAGCACCCCTGACGCTAATGCACAACTGTTAACTGAGCATGCGTGAAACAACAGAGTCTTTCTGCCCCAGCGCTAGGTGGAGAGATCGCTAATGGACTGAAATACACATTTAATGGAATGATTAATATAATAGCACGATTTCCTTATTTTGATAATAATTTTCAGGAAAACAGCAGACATCTCTTTTTGCTCACGCAGCTCAAGCGGGGCTCCGCCAGCAGCGCCCTTATATACCGGCCACCACTGATGCAAGCAGTAACCATGACAAACTGTTACACTGCAGTTGTTAGGGCAGGTTTGTTTGACAAAAAATACAGGCACTAAGTCTTATTCAAAAAAATGTATTTAATGTTACCACTAATGGTTATACTAACTTTTAGTGCTCTGACATTGTTACAGAAACTCTTTGACTATATTTGGTGGTCCAGATCCTCACTGGAGCTGTTGAAATCTCCAAGTATTTGGATCATAAGAATCCGAATATAAATTAAAGGTGGGGTAGGCAGGAGTCCGTTAAAGACGCATCTTTTTTGTGGTGTATATACAAAAAAGCTTTTAATATCAGTCAATAGCTATTAGTCATTGATGACATTTGGTAAAATAACGATATTGCTGTGTTTTGTTATGTCTGTGTAGTCAACATTTTAAATTTTTTGAGCAGCCCATTCTTTCTGACTGTAAACAAAGCCATTCGCTGCCTCCCCTAACCTGATTGGTTGTGAGGCGGACTCTGCTCCTTAGTGCTGATTGGTTGTGACGCAGATGCTGCTCCCCAGAGTCGTTCACGAGCCCAAACAAAGTTAGCATGCTACAATATTGGACAGTAGAAACCAACCAGAAAGTACGTAAAATTGTCTGAATCCTCCTTTGACCACGATTAATGACACCGCTAACAACAACAACAACGATTGCAAAATGAGCAACGAACAAGAGAAAACCACCGAAAATGAAGATTTGTTGCCAAAAAGAAAAGGAAAGTCAGTTATCTGGAATTATTTCGGTTAAAAGAAGGATGATGTCGACCAAAACACGTGTTCTGTGTTCATCTGTCGCCACAATAACGCCCCACCACAATAAAAGCTAAAAATATCTCTGAGACAGACAGAAGCCATTATAACATTCACAAAAAGAGGCTTATGAAAGGCTCATATGACCTACATATCATTCAAAAAATGTAAACACGATAGGAATGAACAAATAAATGAATTCATCTTGGAAATGAATTAGAAATGTCTGGTGCATGTTAAAAGCGCGTGTTGAACAGTGCTATTTCAGGGTGATAATGGCATCAAAGATTTTTTTGCGCACTATATTTACGCATTGAGACTGTCGGCAATTTTCTGCCAGTATTCCTTCTGTGCTTTTGCAGCGCCGACGGTGTTGCTTTTGAGGTTTACGATAGATTTGAATTCTTCATACTTTCTCATGATCGTCTCCTGCTCCTCGTTTGTAAAGTCTGCGGTCCTTCGCTCTCTGGCCTGCTCTGACGCTCCAGACTTGTCCATGTTCGCGATTGGGCAGATGCGGCGGGCTCCGCCTTACATGCATGAACGCGCTCATAGCAAAGCTGGATCCACTTACGAGGTTGATAACCAGCGTCGTAAGACCGTTTAGCGAGACCACTGGCTACCGCGCTAAGTTGAGCGAGGTAGTTCCAGGTAGAAAGCAATAATGTACCCTTTCTAACATGAGAGCATGTGTACTGTGAAGACACAACAATCAGTTTTTTGCCTGTACTGTACCACTTTGACTATGACATCAACAAGCTGATTTTCCATTAGACTTGACTTTGTAGTTGTGATGTGACTAACTAGAAGGGAAGGAGTCCCTCTCTGACTTTCTGGGGCATTTCAGTTCACCAAAACAAGCTCTCTGTCAGCTGGGTCAGTGTTGTTACCATTGACATCCACTTTACACTCTGTGCACTCATCTGGTTTCCAGCAGTGACCTAATACCTATGTGCAAACTATCCAACTGTGGACCAGACTGGGCAGGCTAACAAGCCTCCCTGTCCTCCTCTCTGTGCTTTACAACCTATCCTCCACCCATCCCCCACCCACCCCCATCACTCAGCCCTTCTTTTGACTTTACAGAGCTTTATCAGTGAGAACAAATTGTTAGGTTTGTCTTCAAAGTTTCCCGCCCTTCACAAGCCAAAGCTACACAGTGAGCAAATTGGGCGGCCTGTATGTGCATGTTTGTGCATGCTTGCTTGGTGCCTGTCCTCTTTGTGTTGGCTACCTTCTGTGTTTGCCTGGGAAACATTTCCAGTCTTGATGGAGATGTGACAGGAGAAATGTGCATTATTCAACAACTTGCCTGTTTTCTGTTACATTAAAGAGAAACAAGAAAAAAATACTAATGCTGTTTCTGTAATCGACTCGAAAGTCATAGCTTTCTTATTGGTGTCCTTTTAGGTTTTAGGTTTTAGTCTGCCACCAACTTTACTGCAGATAAAGGTCTTTATTAACTTTAGGGACCTAGGAAGTTAATGAGCTTCTATCAGCCAAAAGAGCAACTGCAATATAGTAAAATAACAGATCAGACTGTGGAAAACTATTTTCAATGTGTCAATTTTTCTTTTATTTTTGATGCTATGTTCCAATGTAGATGTCAGTAACCTGGCTAATAGAGTTGACAAGTGGGTTTTCAGGACAACAACAGCGGTTCACCTCTAACTGTGGACCTGTCTCACTCTAACATACACTACCCTGTGGTAGGCTATAACCCTAACCCCAACCCAGTATAGTAAGCAGTTGTTATGCAAAATAGATTCCTGCTAGAGTGAGACTAGGCACCAGTGCAGAGCAGAGGGGTCTTGTCAACACATTCTTTAATTTGGCTCTCAACTAAAGACACAAACTAGTTAAAACCTAGTTTTTATTGATTTAAATTAATTTATTCATGCAATTAAAAAGATAGTACTGCACTTGGACAGTTAGTGGCTGATGAGAATGTTTTCATCAGCTCACATGTGGGGTCAAACTGACCCCACTCTCCATTCCTCTTCTCTGTAACTCTTACCGCAGCATTTTCTGCCTTAGCCAGTACAGTGTTACATTTTGTGGTTGCTTTGTGTCTGTTATCCTTACTTGGTAAATATCTCTTTCTCTCTGCTCTTTTTGTGTTTTGATAGACTTCTGTGTTTCTCCATCTCTTTTGTCTTCTTGTCTCTGCTGTTGATTGGTCAGCCTTTGATCACAAATCTTTTTTCTGACATTGTCAATTAGAAGAGGTAAAATAATAGACTTTTTCAACATGCTGTGCTTCTTTCCGCAGATTAGTTTAATAGCCCGTGTGTTCCAGACATCAAACTTGCTATCCAGAATAATAATCATTGTAAGGGGGTTTGACCAATGAGAGTCAACTATTTAACACAGCTAGGTTAGTAAATAAGCCTGCTAATAGGTCCAGGATAGTCATTGTTCTCTATTACATTTGACACCACTGTTATTGCACATAGAAGATTCTGGCAAAAAATATAATAAACATTAACACCAAAGGCTTTTATGTATTACATATCACAAAGATCATGCTTTTATTTACCTGAATCTTTAGCATGCTTTTTGTGGGAAAACTAGATCTGATGCTAATAGATGTCAGCATCTCTTTTATTTAAACATGTTGATGGATAGACCTGGAAACCCCTCTTTCACTTACCAAGTTGATCAACAGTGTTGTGTGACTACTTAGCAAGATCACCATTGCTCAGCTTGGTGAAGCCAAATAAAGAAAATATTCCCTGGGTAAGTTAACAACGAAGTCGCTCAATAGCACAGGCCTTGTGTCGGGGACAATCATGTGGATAAGATATAGATAAGACTGTCTGTCAAAAATGAATAGAGATAAAGTATTCTACATATCTAACTGTTAGCACATGTGAAGGAGGGGATTGAGGCAGCGCTCTATCCCCCATCAGAAACAAAGAAGTCAAACAGCAGACACTAGTGTTCCCAGAATAGTTTCAAGAATCCAGAACCTTGATGACTAACTAAATCCTTGCATTTCCACCTCGAAACTCAGTTTTCTCTCACCTCTTTTAGCTCATGTTACTAGCCCTGTTGACATCGCTATGGTGTCAGCTCGACCTGTCTGTAGTGTTAGCTGAGCCAGAGTTTGAACATTTTTTCTTTTCCTGCTTTTGTTACTGGGGTGATCTGCTTAGAGGCAGGAACCAGGAAAAAAAAGAATGACTGAATTTCCTGTAAGTGTAATGACAAGTGGTTGGCAGAGACAACAGAGAATAATGGCAGGCTGTCCATGACCCTGTTTAGTAAGGCTTTGTGGGCTTTTGTACAAGGTTTACCTTTGGATGTTAATGTTCTCCATTGGCGAGCTTGCTGTTGTGTTGGTAGTCTCTTGACAGAGAGGTTAGGACAGACAATGGGCTTCCTTTACCTCATTATGTGCACTTTTTCCTAAGGATGATATCAACAGATGATCTGCAGATGGAACTAACAAAGCAAATACTGCACAATAAACTCAAGCTTTTATTTCTTAAAAAGTAAGATCCAAATTTTACTAGGCCACCCAAAGAAGCCAGGTTTTCCAGGCATTTCCCAGCATGAGACATATCCAGCAAAATGAATGGATAACTGAGCAAATAAAAAAATAAAACCTCTCTATATCTAAAAATAATGAAGATGAGAAATGTGTTTTCAGTAATAAATCATAAAAGTGTTCCGTTGTAGATAAAATCTTAGTTTTCTTGCATTGTGATGAGACTGTAGAAAAAATAAACCAAATCAGAGGAAAAGAGCACAAATTCTTCAATCGACATTCAAAGGAACTGAACTCAAGTCAGGTTTAATGATTGTAGAAAGTTGGTTCATCCGGATTAATGATTGAGTGTTGACTTTTCCTTAACTTAAGAGTGATCTACTTGTTCTTCTTTTCTCCTCCAGCCAAAGTTGTATACCCACGGTCTGACAATTTATCCCTATGTCATCAATTTATTGGCTCAAAGACAACAACAACAACAACAACAACTGTAATTGAGTTATGGTCATAAGAATACTACTGTGATCCTACATCAACTTAATGAACAGATCCTGACCTTAAACCCAGAAAGTGTTTTTTACTTTCATAGTCTTAAATATTAAGCACTGAATAACATTCATTGATTTGATTCAGTTTTAGTCAATATGAATTAACATTTTCAAATTGATGGGTGTGCCAATGTGTGAACAGTCTCTCTGTGTTATTGTGTGACCGAAAGGAAATGACTGAAAAAGAAAAAAGACTGTCTGCGACCCAGTGCTTGTCCATGTATTGATGATGATTCACAAAGGTTGATAACATAGCACTGGACTGATAATAGAGGTCAGTTTTTGGATATGTTAAAGAAAGTTTTCATTCTCCATCATTTCTTCCTGAAAGCCAACATATGGTTCCAAATTGTTCATGTCATCATCAACAAAAGCCTGTTTCTCATTTCCAGAAACAGCTCAGACAAAGTTTGATAGAGGCTCGTGGCATACAAAATGCATACATTTTAACTCACATGCTCACGTTAACATGCTAATAAAAATCCTTTCTTCTCTTCCAGTTCTGTGCAGCAGCTTTGGAACACAGTGCATCAGCGGTTAGAGAGCTGGCAGTGCATATCATTTTATCCATGTACCAGCAGCACAGAGCAGCTGTTCTCACCTACCTTCCATCAAATGACAGCGCAGCACGGAAGAACTTCCTGTACAAAACCCTCTTTGATGGCTTCGCCAAGATGGATGGAAAGCTGGTGGAGACTCAGGCAAGGACTCTTTTTCTTTTATTGCAAAAAAATTCACATAAATAGTCTACAGAATGTGTATTTTTGGACATAAATAAGCATCAATTATCACTCCTCTAATTGTTAGCATCATACTGCTGCATTAAGGGTTTCTCCACACCTATGTTTTATTCTTATTTGTTGTCAGAAACTGATATCATGAATTATGCAGCTGATAGATGGACTGACAGATCATCAGAAAGGGCAGACAAAAGCACACCCTTAAGCCAAAGAGGGTCTAGATTTTTCGAGGGAACAGACTGGTGTAATTTTTTTTTTCTTTTGAAGCTGAAGGTAACAGAGAGAAGGGTTAGATTTTTTACTTTCCATACACCTGCGTTACCTATTTCCTGAGCCAATGCCATCACAGACTGTCTGAATTTACATATCTGTTTAAAGCTTTTGAACCAATCTTCACTTTTTTCTCTGTTGTGTTAATTGAAAAGGTGTTTCATGTCGTACATATTTTTATGTCTATATTCGGCGAGTTTTTGTATCTAAGTGGATTCAGTCTTGAAAAAAAATTTAATCTCAAAGAACCATGTGTAAAATTAGCTCGAAACAGCAAGACTTGGCTCAATTTATCATAGTAACAACACAAATGTACCAAAGAAAGCCCTTGTTGTTCCCTCATAAAACCATGAATACATCAAATGAGCAAGTCATGTTCTAACATGATCAACTTTAATGTACCGAAGAGCATATGATTCACCCACTGACTGAGGTTAGTTTCTTACAGGCACAACTAGAAACCCAGTGTTTCCATTACGTTATGTATGTGCTGCTAGAGAGTTCTCAGTTGTTGTGAAGTCTGGTCATATGCTCATCTGCAAAATTTACCCCCAAAATGACCATGCCATGCCACTGCAGCCTCAAGGCTGTTGTTTAAAGGGTCAGGGCTTTACAGCCCTACTTCTTCAAATGACAGAGGTAATAGACCAAGTGCTGATTAAAAATCTATGTTACTAAATTGGTATAAACTTAAACAAAGAAACATAAAATGGAAACACAGAATAATATGATAATATACTAAATGTAAACGCAAGAAAAAAGAATAGCCTTTGAAGTTTATCCATGTTGTTTTTTCCCAGACATTGAAGAGGGGTGTTCAGCAGGATGGACAAAAAGAGAAGGCAGAGATCCACTCCCTTCAGGAGCAGCTGGCTGCCTTGAAAGAGATCACAGTAGGTGGAGCAGTAATTACGCTGTCATTACATCACTTAGTGTAACGGCCTCTAATGTGCATTTGTAACTGTGTTTTGACTCGGTGGAATGTTTTCTCTCTTGGTCAAAAGGAACAGTTTCCAATGCATATGATAACGATGGCATACTAGTTACAGAGAGGAGTTGTGTAGAGTCTCCATGTGTGATATCATCTCTAATTTTTGCAACTGTGTTGAGTGACATGTACTCATATTTTCTGTGTCTCTGCGAAGGAGAGAGGGGAAGAAAGCACCAAAGAACAACTGCTCAAAAAAGACGCTACCAAAGTTGACAAAGGGTCCCACAAAGCTGGCAAAGGAAGTATGTACATATTTGAGAAAAGTGTTGATAAATACAGCACACCCTCAACTCATGAAGCTATTCCTTATAGGATAAAAGTTCCTTGCTGAACCACTGGACTGATTTGCCACAAATTATAAGTACTATTTTTGTGTGTCCAACCATCATTTTTTAGACTTAATTACAATGTATTCAGATTTTTCAGTGGTTAGTTTTAAGTCTTGTGCAATCACATTTGCTTGTGTAATTATGGAGCTTCAGCTTTTAAAGTCTACATCTATGAAGCTTTGGGGCTCTATTTTCGTGCCTCGCCGGCGACGCGGCGCATGCGCGGCGTAAGTCAGGTCCGCCGCACCGACAAGGTGTTCCCAAGCACAATTTGGTATTTTGGTGAGCGGCGCAGCCCGGCGTAAGTATCCCCCCTCCCTAACTCAACTCTTCCCAGCGGCGTAAGTCGTAGGGAGGGAGGAGAGACGGCGTGGAGTGGGTTTAACACAGCTGGGACATGTTTTCACCAATCACATAAGCTCCTCTCCTAGCCTTTAAATCCGCCACCAGCGAGGCATATTCCAATTTTCTTGAAGTACTCAAAGAGATCAAGAGATGTCTGAAGACAGCAGTGCCACACGATGGCGACAGAAGGCAGCCCCTCAACAAGTGTCGTTGTAAACGCTGCAGAGGGCGTCCTCCACACTCTCTCATATGAGCACAGATGGATTTGGTGTGTGTAATGTTGGACCCACTAGTAAGACAAACACCCTTTTCCACAAATAAAGACACTCACATAAACCCAAAAAATGGCATCAATATCGGAACCATCTGTGCGTAATGACGCATCACGCTCTGTGGCCTGGCTCTTTCTTCCATAGATGTTGGCATATAAAATGAATTTGGCTCACAAAATGGAATATTGTAATATTCATATGTAGGCTTAAAGTAAATAACTCATCTGATCACTGAACTAAATCATCTGTTCAGCCGCTGCTGCAGCAGCAGCTGCAGCAGGATGGGGAGAGGACACAGAGACATGTCCAGGTCAAGCTGTGCGAGAAATAAAAGGAAGAAAGAAAAGGAGGGAGACGAATTTCATATCTTGTTAACTTCATCGTGTGTGTCTATTTACTAGATATTTAATTTAATTTAATGTGGTTTCAGCTGTGTTAATTCGGTCAGGTTGTGTGTCTAAACGTGTGCCAAACACGCTAATCAGATCAGATAAAGATCAGATCTAAATGTATGTGCTGACTCAGATTATTAGTTGTTGTTGATTATTTATTGGACTGAAATGTGCCTGACACTGTAAAAACCTGCCGGTGAGGCATTAGTGATGTATGCCGATATGCCACCGGTTTACCAAAATACCACTAGACCAGCTGCACTCCGCCTGCACTGAAAGCTGACCAGGTTTGAATCGGTGAGCTTTCAGCGCACTTTACACGCCGGCGGTGAGCACGAAAATGTCACTGCCCCAACTGATTCTGTCGACACCTCCCCCTGCCACGCCACCACGCCCAGCTTGGCAGACCTTGATGCGCCTCAGTCCACGAAAATACCAAACTGGCTGTAGGCCGGGTTCCGCCAGAGGAATATTCCACTGTGCGGGGTCTGCCACCCTCTGCCCCGGTGGACATGAAAATAGAGCCCTTGTTGTCTGTATGTTGTGCCCCACAACTCTGCATATGTTTAATACATATCAACATATAGTTTAATTTCTTGAAAGTCTTCATTACGTCTTTCTGTTACAATGATTTTATCTTGAAAGAATGGCCTTCAAGTAGTGCAGTCATAAAAAGTGACAGATTCTGATTTCTTTACTTTCAGCTGCCTCAAAAGTGCCCCCGAGCACAGTGACAGAAAGTACAGATGTTCAACAATCCATCAACTATTTGGACAAGTAAGAGACTCGTGACTAAGCCAAGAATTTTTAAGGATTGACTGCAATCAATAGATACAAATAAAGGATGCATCAGCAGCCCCGTGTTCATTAACCCCAGTGTTTAATTTCCTTCGCACCTCTCTCTCCAGCTCCATTGCAATCTTACCTTGTTATCTTTTTATGCCACAGTGTCCTTGTACTTGGCAAATTCTGAAAAATTTGGAAAGAATATGAACTGATCCTGGGTCTGATTTGATCTTTCAGCTTGTGTATATTCTGTGGTAAAAAGGATGAGTCATTCACCGAGGATGGATTGGACCTTCACTACTGGAAGCATTGCCCTATGCTGAGACGCTGTGATGAATGTAGACAGGTAGACATAATATTTGGGTGTAGGCATGATTAAAACCCTCGTGAGAGAAAAATAACATCTACTAAGCAGTTTAATGGCCATGATATCTGTACATCTCTGCATTGTTTTCTCAGGTTGTTGAAATAGCTAGCCTGACAGAGCACCTACTGGGTGAATGTGAAAGCAGATCCAAGTTTAGTCAGTGTCCACGTTGCTCTGAGGCTGTGGCCACTGAGGATCTTACCCGCCATGTCCAAGGTCCTGCCTGCAACCGTGAGTATATATGTGTTGTATATCATAAAATGTAGTCATTTTTGGTTTTGATAAACCTAATGCAATGTTATCAGTGTGCTTATTAACAATGTCGTTTGGTGGCAATGTTATAAATGCATAGGACCACCCATTTGACCAAAATATGAGGTCAGCTATTTATCGAGGTAAGATGACCTCAATCTTGTTCATGGCTCCTCAGTATGTTTAGAGATCCAGCAGGGACAGAGAGGTCAGAAGAGTTATGTTCTTATCTCTTATTTGAACTGTGTTCAAATACTATGAGAGACAAAAGCCCCTTTCTCAGTCCGTGTACATCGTCATAGAACAAGATGGCATTTCCCTCAACAGCTTCCTCACATTTTTCAAGTTTTGCTTATTGTTGCAGTTTTGGGACACAGATCAGAAATATTATTTAAACCAGTGTAAAATATAAGTATGACTTTGACAAAATGTTCATTTCTCTTTGCTTACTCCAGCTTACTGTTTGTATTGAATATAAAACTATGATGTTGAAATGCATGGAGTCCTATAAATGTCCCCCTCATTTTAAAGAACATAATTTACTTAGACAAGTATGAATCAACATAAGTCTTTTGTTCTTAAAAGCTACAGATAATGTCAGGCAAATCAGGACCATATGTAGTCCAGGGTTGCCCTATGAGTTACACTGTGGCCTACAAGTAGGCTGTGTTTTGTAGAGAATGAAAACTTTTCTTTTAATATCAGTACTTTAGGTATTTGACCTTAGAAGCTTTAGAGACAAAGGGGTGATAATTAAGATATAGGAAGGCACAATGAGTGCAAAGCAGCTACACTCTGTTTTATGTTATGAAGGTCATCAACAGACCCTCTTGCTTGCGTGGATTCTCTAGACTTAACTTGCTTTGTCCGTGTATCTGAAATTAAACACAGCAGCTGACTGGATTTTGTATTTTAAGCTTGTAGTCAACCTGACTTAACCCTGAGCAAATCAGTGGGAAATGTTTGAGTTTGGAAATGCAAATGACACCTGCATTAATGGGACCTTTAAGCATCTTATTAAACCTAGCTGTATAAAGTTTCAGCAAGGGACCTCTGTGTTTTTGGGTGTGTTTTTGTATAGATAACAAAAACTCTCTGTTTCAGTCATGCAACATTACAAGAATTCAGCTTTCTTCTTTATCTAAAATCAATAAATAAAGTTAAAGGTTGTATCTAATGAATTTTGCTTCCTGATACGCAACAATTTTTGTTCTTGCTGCAAATGAATCTCACATGTATGAAAAAAAGTAATGTTTGTATTTGTATTTGTATTTACATGTTGTATTTTATTTTAACATGGCAAAAAAACAACAATACGGGACATTCCTTGACAACATCACAGAAAATATATAACACTATGAGGAAAAAAAAACAAAAACAAATAGACAGTAAAAAAAAACACAATAGGGCCTGACAAATAATGCAGTAGGTGGAGAGTTGAGACATTATAGCACAGTGTGGGGTTCCCTTTGTTAAGGAGAAATGTTGCTATGGGTAGTCATCTCTTCTTAAAGATATCAGACCATAATTGCAATTGAGCAGTTCAAGCCTCCATTCATACACCTACCTCAGCTTCTGTTTCCACTGTGCCTATGTAGGTGGCTCTGAATTCATCCATTTTATTGTCACCATTTTCTTAGCAGTCATCAAGAGTATATGGAACGGGTACTTTTTTTTCCCTGGTGTACTTGTCTCTAGGTGTTTGATGGAGAAGAAACTGACTTGGGGTGAAGAGTAAATCAATTCCCTGAATTTAATCGATCTCACTCTTTACCCCTTTTCCAGAAAGGGAGCAACATTGAACAATCCCAAAATATGTGCGCGTCGTCACCAACCATTCTACATTCCTTGTTGGCCTTTTTTAAATACATTTATTTATTTATTTATTTATTTTAGACAAGATGATCAAAAAGGCCACCTCTGTCATTGGTGTTGAGCTGGACTCTGTGGTGTCAGCGGCTGACAGGAAAACTCTCTCTAAACTGCTCTGAATCTGAATCTATCTATCTATCTATCTATCTATCTATCTATCTATCTATCTATCTATCTATCTATCTATCTATCTATCTATCTATCTATCTATCTATCTATCTATCTATCTATCTATCTATCTATCTATCTATCTATCTATCTATCTATCTATCTATCTATCTATCTATCTATCTATCTATCTATCTATCTATCTATCTATCTAAGGTCTTCTGCTGCTGTCCTAAACCCCCATTTTAAAATGTCCATATAGATGACCACACTTGAACAACCAAAGTAGTAAGGACATAAGGATAAGAGGGAACTGTTCATCTTCCCCTGCAAAATTTATGATAACATTTTCTGTTCATATACGATAAATTACTAAATTAGCTGTTTTGGGTTTTGTTAAATTTTAGAAGGGTTTTTTTCATTCAGTTCTGTTGAAGTGTACTACACTTGCTCACTTAAATAAAGAGGTTTACTGTACCAGGACTTACACTACATCTGGGTCACTAGCCATGTGTCCCCATGCATAATTAACATCAGCGAGCCTTTTCCAGAACCATAAACTGAGGACTTCTTTTTCTTATCACTGTCAGCACAAAATGAGTTCACATTTCAATTGTGACTTAGATGAGATGCTGTTGACCCTATGTTATGTATTTTGAAAGGTATGATTTTCTGTTCTCAGCTCTGAAGTGCTCTCTCCTGTAATTGTATGTAACAGGTGGCTTAAAGGTTTCATGTTTCTATTTCAGCCCCCATTTCTGGTAAAGGTTCCAACCACTGTCCCTTGTGTCACAACAACTTCCTGCCTGGTGAGGAGGTAAGGCTCTATACGTGCACACTCCAACCCATACGTTCCTGTGAAACAATAGCAAGTTTGAAGGGGGTTTTAGTTTTGTTGCCCACATGTCGAGCAACAAAAGCTGCAAAGTGGAACATGTATTTCCCCTCTATTGCTCAATTTTCACTGGGTTTTGCTAAAGATTTCTTCCTTTGATTTTATTAAAGCGTGTTAAAAAACAATTGTTGAAGGTTGTTGGATTATAATTTTATTTAAAAAAAAGAGGACACAAAGATGGTTTTATAGAGCTGCTTTCTGTTTTACAAAATGGCTCAGTGAATTAAAGGACAGAAATAAAGATGCTGATGTCTAAAATGTTTTTAAATTAAAATAAATCCCTAACTCAATTAGCCCTTTCTCATTTCACTCTTCCAGATCAACACAGAAACAAAAGAACATCTTGTGTTAGGCTAATGTTGGGCTTGAGGACCAAACAGGTGTTGAGGTGAAACACTGCTATTGTTGGTTGTAAAAGACTTCAAAAAGAAAAGCCTTTGTTGTTAACAGCTAGTTCATTCATTTCAGCATCAAGCAAACGGCATCCCAGTCTTCCCATTCTTTAGTTTAATGAATAGTGAAAACAAAAAGTCTTTTATTGAAATAAACTTCTCTGAATCTAATCTGTAAGGCACATTTGCTTTAATGTACTTTTGGTGGTCATGTGGTTTTTCCACTGCTGAAAAGGGTAATTCCTCTCACTCGTTTATCCGATGTTTGTGTGATAGAGAAGTTTAAATGAAACTGCAGGGAACAAGATAACCAAGCCCACTCAGCTATGTACTGTCAGTATCATCTTTCACTTGTCTCCTGTCATTCTGGAGCCTAATAAATCATGCAACCTGTCTTTAAAAGGCTACAAGAGTTCCAAGAATCAGTCTGACTGGTGACTGTCCTGGTCCTGCATGTTCCAGTTTCTAGTAGCACTTGGATTTTCCGTAGTGGGCGGAGACAGAGCTGCTCTACGTACTCTTCTTCACACCAGCTTGTAGCCTATCATTGCCTGTGCAGAAGCACAGTGGCAAAGAAGTGGCATAGGAGCTATTCATCTCTTGGACACTAATTTCTTGGGGGGGGGGGGGGGGGGGGGCATGATGAAGAGTTTGGCCTTCACATGATTTTCATCGGAGTGGGTCTTCAAGGGTTAAATTAACAAAATTTGATCAGATTCCTCCTGACTGTTAATGAAGTTGGTTGGAGTACATTTATAATATGCCATAGTACTGTGCCAATCAGAAATGTCAGTCTCTTTGTCAACACTGTGGCTTGTCTCAGAAAGAAAAGGCATGACATTTCTACATGATGGTGATACAGTTTCAGTCTTCTACCATTTTCATATGTTCACACTTGCTAAGCTCTTTGTGTCCAGGTAGGGTAAAATGTGGCAGACATCAAGATTATACCCTAATATAGAGTGACAATAATTGTACAACCTTGACTGCAGCTCCCTTGTCAGCTCTTCAAGATATTAGTAGTACTGTTCAGTCTCTTACCTCATACACCTTAAAAACTCAACAACAACAACAACAAAAAAAACATTTTTTGAAAAAGTCACATACTCACTGTCAGTGCCCTGAGACCCAATGAATGACTGCAGTGTTATTGGGGGTGAAGGCAACCATATAGTCCCTGACTGGGCCCACAGTCAACCTCAGTGGCCCGGATTGAGAAAGTAGTGGGGTGAAAAAATGGCCTCACTGAGCTACTTTGTCCCTGTTCCAGGCCTGGAAGACTCACCTCATGGGCAGGGAGGGCTGTAAACAAAACTCACGCAGAACTGCGGTGTCCCAGAGAACCCAGCCAGCACAAGGTAAGGCATTCATACACCCCCCGCTTACAGCCACCTCCCCAACGCTCAGTGTGAGAGTTGCACAAAGTGCCCATGCTTGTTGGTTAAAATTCATGTTGCAGCTTTTCCACTATGGCTTCCTGCCTCAGAGAACACGATGAGAGGCACATAAAAATAGTGACAGATTTGGAGTCCAGCAGAGTGTGTGTTTATGTATCCATTCTGAGTGATATTTCACAACCCTGATAGTATTTAGGTATAATATGACAAAAACTCTCTGTTTCAGTCCTGCAACATCACATGAATTTCCTGTTTTCAAGTAAGCTTGTATTTGTTATGGTGCTCGTGATTTGTTAAAGGGCGCCCCTCAGGACTTTACCATATTAATGCTGGAGTGACCCACAAGCGAGGACAATCCAAATTTATCATTGCATGATTTATCACCACCAACTCTTGTGACTTTGCACAAATAAATGTGCCTAATTTGGGGGTTTCCATGTGTCTGTCCGTCCCATTTTTGAGCTTTTTATTCTAAAACATTGTTATGAATTTTGTTTTAGTTTGGCACAAACCTCTTCTTAGACTCAAGGCTTTCCTGTGATCTGACCCATTATAAGACAGGCTTTATAGAGGAATGCCTCATTAGATTTTAATCACATCAGGCTCAAACATCCACTCGTGCTTGGGTTTGTAAAAACTGGGTTTAGTAACGTATCAAGAATTTTCTCTCTTTCTTTCTGTCTTTTTTTTAAATTAACTTTTGATTGGTTTTTGATTTTTCTGAGAGTAACCTCTGAAATCATGTTTGCTGTCCCCAGTTGTTGACCCATCTCTCACTTTGGACCCAACTCTGAAAAGTTGTACTGTCAAAACAATGATGCCAACGCCACATGCATATAGAGCATAATGACAAGAATGGTGGTCAAATTCTGCAGGACTTTAATCTTGGGATTAAATAAAGCAAGTTTGTAGATAGTTGGTCAGTCCCAGGTTATTTTTGAAGCATGAATGTGTTAACCTTCCATTAAAAGAGGACCACTGGGTGCCGTAATTCCCCTGGGACACACAGTTCCTGAAGGAAAGAAATTTATAAGCAGTCCTATCATCCAGTGAAAGCTTTGCTTTGCTGCAGCTAACAGGTCAGCTGTCTAAAGGCCAAATGGCTCACATAATTTTGAGGGTTTTTCCCACGGAAATAGTAAAGCACAAAGACAAGCCTGTGGGAGTTTGTCACATTTTAACTCCAGATTGATCTGGTTAGTGAACAAATACATCACAGTTATTGCAATATGGCTTTGAGCTCACTTCCACTGGGTTAGTCCATGCAGATTTACTCCCTTCTATTTCCCTAGAAAAAAAGACAGAGAAGAGTATGCAGAGAGATGCCTACAGAGGACAAGAAAGGCAGGGCCAGGGTGAGAAGGCTGTTTGGGCTTTTAGTTCAACTGACAAATTAGGCTGTGTATATCTACCTCCCCCTCCTCTCCAATCAGGGCTTAGGGGGAGAGGAGAGAGAAGAGTAACAAAACCGAACAGGGAACAGAATAACTATTCACAGTTTACTCTTTCTGTTGTTTTGCTCTCAACTGACATTTTCTCTCCTCATCCAGATCCACTGACTATCTCCTGTAGGACAAGTTTTTCTCCCAAGTCTATCTTCATCTCTCAATTATTAGCACCCTTAGGTGGCCTGACTCTTGCCAACCTAAAAACCTGTCTCTTTAACATTTTTATTATCTGAAAGGCTGCATTTACTGATGGCATCCCGACCTGGTTGATGTGTAGCTGCTATGTTAACTAGCCTCTGCATATCTTCCTAAAACAATGAATACTTCCTCCAATGCAAACTACTTTTGATGTATGATAATAGGATGTTCTGTCTGTCAGAAAAGTGGCCTGTGGCAAAATCTCTTTTGGTTCTATCTTTGCTCATGTGCACACTGAAGTGAAAGTTTAAATGCAGGATAAGAATTTTTACTTGTAATGCAGAATTCAAAGAATCTGATTCTCTCTCTGAGAAGGAACAGACCTCTTTTGGTGATTTTTAAATTTTTTCTGCTTCCTGAAGTTGGCTGAAACAGGTAAACACTCACTAGAGATTAAATTTCGTATGATGCGTGTGCAACTCGAGTCATGCAAGCTGCTTTGTTTAGCTGTAAATACTCTATACAGAAACGGCCTTTGTTCGTGTTCCCTCTATAGTTTGGGTCTGACAAAGGTTTACTGAAAGGATCTCATTTTGTGCACATTTGTTTTTGTGTGTGCAGGGCGAGCTGTTGGTGGAACTAAGATGAAACCAGCATGGTCAGTTGGGGCCAGACGCAGGCCCATGGGCAGGGGTAGCCGGATCCCAGCCCTGGCACCCCTAGTCAGAGGACATTCTCCAGAGAAGACCCCATCCTCTAACCATAGAGGAGGGACCTAACAGACAACATACATCGCTGAAGTAATCCCCCTCGCTCATTTGTTTCCAGGTCCCATACTACTGCAACTCAGCACTTTTAACTATATGTGACTGATGCATTTGCTGATATATGCAGCAGGTTTTTAACCTGATTTCTGACATGTTGATAATCAAAATAAATGAGAATAGCCTTTGTAAACTGGCACTGAACATATTGACAGATCCACTTGTTGAGAAACAATAGATTCTAGTCTAGTCTAGTAGTCAATGATATAATCCATCCTGAAAAGAGACAGCTGGACTCGCCTATGTTAGATGGCTTCCTTTGTCTGTAAGTCTGGCCTCTGGCGTCACACACCTGCCAGGCTAGTTAACATGAGCACACTGAGTTTACTGATATCTCCTTACAGGATTCTCGGTTTGAGACTCTAATGTTGCAAACTGTCATTTGGAACCTCTGGGGTAACAAAATGTTCTACTTTAAGGGATTGTCCACCAGTTTCAAATTCTACTGACATAGTACAGATAAGAAGACATATTTTCTCATCAAACCCTGTTTATTTGGTAAATGTCAATGTCTTACAAACTCCAAAATTTGACTTTGCATAGGGTATTGGTTCAAAATGTTCTGCCTCAAAGCCAAAGTGAATATAACCCTCTAAAATCATCACAGCTCTTTTTCTCAGACTCAAATTTTGTTTCAATCAGATTTTCCCAAGAGGTAAAAGGAACAAACAAACAAGTTTGAATGCATGATGAGCTGTTAGAGTTTTTGTCTTCACAGGATAAATCATAGATAACCAGTGTATTTCATTATTCAGTAAATCATTCACTGAACTTTGAATCTATAGTTGAGAATGATGATAATGACTGAACATAAGAAACACACCTCTTAGTTACAGGGAGACTTTTTTTGTCTTCGAAACACTCCAGCAGACAATGCGCAATCTTTGAGCAGTCAACCGTCTGAATGTACAGATGTCTCAACATTTGACTATCTGTTTACATACATTTATTTTATGTATCAGGAAAGGAAAAGGGACTTTGCCAAAGTGATGAATTTTCACTAAAATATATATATATATTTTTTTCCCTGCTTAATGACAATCTTAACCAAACAGCACAGTTTCACATTCTCAAGTGACTAAAAAGATCATTTAACTTAAGATTTTAATGTGGATCGGGGAATGTACAGTGGATACTAAAATAGGTGTTTCACCTCTTTTTCAGTCCACATGATTTCTGCTGAATATGACTGAGCCTGATAGATACTTCAAGACACTTTAGTGACTTTCGACAAACTTGTTTCAGGAAATCAGATCCTTTTGAAGATTCTTACCATACACTTACCATTTCTATTCTACTCAGTGTTATGACAGTGTTGATTGTAATATGTCATATGTTCATCTTTCGCCTAGAAGAACAGAAATATTTCCAATCAATCTGAGGTGTGTTTTAAATGTTGATATTTAAAGCTGTAAAACTAGCAATGTAAATTCTTTTTTAATATTTATGATGACACCAACTGTTAAGGTAGTGGAGAAACACAAGCTCATTGGTATAGCAGAGTCAGTTTAATTTGTAATTCCCCAACTGTTGTTGGCTTCAATGTGATCCTGGACTGAGGAGAGTTTCAGCTGTTGAGACTATATTTCAGTGCATATCAGTCAGTACTTTGTGAGAACTACCTTTACCATAAATAGCTATTTTTGTCTTTAAAAGTATTTGTATTTCTTTCAATAAAGCTATATTAGGTGGAACAATGGATTGTTTTCTGAGATTTGTACAATACTTCGACCAATAGCACTTTATCATCAGTGAGTTGGTCATAACTGTCCTGAATAAACAAAAACAAAGCAAATTTATTCAAAGTATTTACAATAACTTTTTTGGTTTTGTTTTTTGTTTTTACAGCTGTTAACATGTACTTAATTATTCTGCAATATTCCTTCAGTCTATAGAAAGCTTAGAAACATAAAACCACTGATCAAATTCTTGATTATTACAGCCCTTTATTTTCCCTCTTTAATAGGCCTGCCTCTAAATTCACATACATGAAATTTCAAATGCATTTAAAAGAAAACAAAGTGGAACAATCAGCAACCCCAAGTAAATAAAAGAGTTTGATATTCAGTGTCATGAGCAATATTATTAAGTCTGTTTTTCCCTTTAAAAATGTTATCAGGCTAACACAAAATGACAAAAACAATAGTTTCTCTTAGAGGAACACCTGGTATGAAAAGTCTGGCCTTTCTATGCCTGCATACACATGCAGTATATCTTCACAAACATATTCATCAACAGTGGATCTCAGGCTAACAGCAGAGTGATGAAACAGCAATTTATAATGGCACCAAGAATCAGAAAGGGGAATCTTTCCTTGGATGTTTGCTCACCAAGAAGATGAGAAGTATTGTTCTACGAAATTAGGGAATCCAGGTGTGAGTGGAGTAGCCGGGAGTGGAAAACATTTTTAATTGGAAATTGAATGTATACTGAATTAAATACTGAATCAATGACAATGCGCCTAATCTTAATCATACTTGTGGGGAGCCACACATCCTCCACTGTATGACTCAACTGAATCAGCAATAAAATGTGAGGATTATCAGTGAAAACAAAAGTCTTCTGTGATCCAACAGTCAGTTTGGCTTGAGAATTTTTGATTTACATCACAAGTATAAACTGACAATCATAAGGAGGTCCTTTTTGCGCAAACCAGTGCCTCGTTGTGCACAACGCTCCACATCCTGAGCAGCTCCTGCGCGCTCAGTTTGTGCACCACAATGAGGTTTTTATAAAAGCACGGCTCGTTGTTCATGGGGCTCACCCTTCGCCTGGTGATGCCAAATGTCCTAAAGCCTGGATGCATCTCTGGAGCCAAGTGAAGCTTCTGCAGGCACATCCCCAAAAACACATCGTCAATAGGGTACAACTCTAGGTCCTCCGAGACCACGAAGAGTCTCCTGGCCAACTGAGAGGACATGAGAAACCCACCACCACCCACATAAGGAGGATACGGCTTATCGAAAAGCTCTTTGGGAATGTAGTATTTGCTTTGCCGGTTGCGGATGGGAATTGCCTTGGAAATGGTGTCTCCCACGAAAACATCTGCATCTTTATGATCCTCCATTTTAAAGCTGATGAGCTGCAGCAGGTTGTGCGTGTTCACAAACACATCATCGTCTCCTTTGAATATGAACTGGACGTCGGAGCAGTAGATGTCGAACCACTTGAGGAAGTTGACCTCTTTCAGGGTCAGGTTAAAAAATGTGTCCATGAAGTCCCACTGGAGGATGTCCCCATAGATCCGGTCCTCATACTCAATCAGTTTTTGGAGGTTTTTCGTGTCTTTGCCAGTCGTAGGGCTACCCAACAGAAATAAGGTTCCGATTTTTTTCCCATCCACCGTGTGCTCCTTGCCCCATGTTTTACGCACAGCCTCGCGCCGGTCGTGCTGCTCTATAACGGACTTGACCACCATAAGGAGGTGCATCTCTCCAGCTGCACATTTCTCTGGGTGGTTAATGAGCATGGGAAAGTACCTGCAGTGTCTGTGCAGAACAAACTGGTGAAATCTGGGGTCCAAGCGCTTGAACCAGTCTTTGTTTCTGACAGACGCGTCCTCGCTGCAGTTGAGAACTTGTGCGTCCCAGAAAGCCGGAGTCCCGTTGGAAAGCCGCTGCGTATTTGAAGCGTTGTTAAGCACCGGCGAGTCTGAAACCCTCAAACTATTTTTCACGGCACTCTTCTTGAATGAATAACAGTCAGAGCCGCACCAGCCAGCATCCCGAACATGTTTGACCCCCACAGCGTCTTTCTCTGCCAGCTTCAGTTTGTGGATCATGAGAAAAGACGCAAAGACAAGAGACACACTTAGCAGAGGTTTCAGCAGACCAACTCGCTTTCTTCGGAAAAAGTGATCCATGACTGTCATTGAGACCCTCAGAGGCTGTATCTTTTGCCTTCATAGTGTTCAATAAATGTGCGTCCAGGTTTGATCAACCACTGCCATTCCTGTTCATTAGTCACCAGAGATCCCGTCCTCTGCTGCGGGAGAGTGTGGACAGTGAGGTGGTCCCGATGCCTCTTCTGTCCATGACGGCACTTAGTGGAGATACCCATGGCTCCAAAACTGATGCAGGATTCGCGACATGTCTACATACCTCTCTGTCCTCCGTACACAAACCCACTGGAGACCTGCTCTCTCCCTCTCTCCCTCTCTCTCTCTCTCTTTGACTTCCCCATCCCCTCTCGAAATATATCCTCCCCTCAATGATCCACCCTGTTCAGGTTTCCCACTTCTTACTCATAGCCCACCCAATTTATTTTCCTATCTCCGTTGCTTTTCAACGTGAACAATGACTGACTGGTTGGCTGATATCATTGTTTCAAATATCGTAATACATAGAGCAGATACAGCTATAAATCGGAAACAAGAACACATTATGGTCTATAGGCTACGTAAATTTATCACGAGATACAAACAGGATATTTTAGGTAGCCTACAGCAAAAACAGGTTGTAGGCTACATGCAGCTCCTCAAGGGAGAATATACAGGCTTTGTAATAAGGGCTTTAGTCAATCATAATGTACATTTTTGTAGGTAAGTCTTGGAGACAAGACCATGAAATTACAGCCTGTTGAATTTCGTTTCACCGCCGAACTTTTGAAAGGAAACAAAGGGAAACATGAATCATCAAACTATTTCCGTAATACAAAACATCCTCTATCATTCTTTGTTTGTTCAAAGTATTAAATCTTTGTTTAAGGGGTAGAAGTATAATTTCCGCTGATAGCAGGCATTTGGGAAGCTCTGTATTAGAACCAGGTGAATACTTGTTTAAGTTTTTCATCCAGGCTTTTTAAAAAGTTTTTCTGTTGTTCTGCTTTTATGTATAAACTGCAGATCTACAAGGACCAACAGGCAGGACAATGACAATGAAATAATCGACCATCATTCAAAAGCCACAAAGGCTGTTGTGTATAAATTGCATTCATAGACTCTAGATACAGTCCATGATTGCATCAAAGTGGACTAGCTGACAAATATTCTGATAAGGTACAGGTTGGCGTTTGTTTGCAGGAAGTGGCTATAACGTTGTTTTTTTCCTACCAAATAGGCCTAATTAAGTTTAAGCGTGTTTAACAGTGATCCAACTTTTCACAGCAGAATTGCACACAAACTTTTGGGGAGAAATGCTGCTAAAAGGCACCTAAGCGCTCTAAAGAGACGGTCTCTTTCACCCTCTTGTGGACATTTCCTGACTTGCTATTGTCCACGTCCCTTCTCCCCAACCCCATCAGTGGTACCGTCCATCTTACTGTTCAAACAACACGATGATCTCGACTATGTAAATTAGACGATGTCTTTACAAGATGCTTTTGATTCCCCCCTTTGCTGTATTGTTTCTTCTCAACCAATCCTCGTTTATCATGAGAAAAAGCAAAAAATAAGCCAACAGCTAGGTGCATCAACCCTTTCCAAACTGTCATACTTTAGGGCGTCAGAGCGGAAAGAGTGAAAATACTTTCAAAATAAAATGTGAATTCCATAGACACAAGCACTGCGTGTGCAACGTTTACGCACTGGGCAAACAATTGATTAAGTCTCGAGATTGTAAAAATTGGTGAACTCTTTCGTTGAAATTAAAATAAATATTCAGACATTTTCTAAAATATTTATGTGAGCTACTGCATAAAGTTGATGGGAATGCTATGAAAGCCCTTGCTAGTATGAACACATGCTAAATATATTTATGGCTAACTTCGCGTCTATTGAAGAGAGCAGATACAAACGTAAACTAAACTCAGGGATTCTGGGTGAAATTTTAAGCCCTATAGACATTTGTTCACAGTTTTGTTGCTTTAATAAATCTGAAGATGTCCTGAAGGATGAAGACGCTGACGTGACCGTTGATTGAACCTTGCCATCCGGAAATCCACACAAGCAAACCTACTACAGACAAGCAGAGCACGGGCGCTGCCGCCATATATTCCGGTGTTGTGCCGAGAAACGCATGCCTACCGAGAATTGCATGCACCCCGCGGGAACGCGCACCGCCTATGGTACAGCGGTCCATAGCAATGTACAGTTTAAACTGATACAATTCGTATATGTGGAGCTTAACAGTGATGAGTAATGATCATTCTGTGGTGATCGAGCCCACTGTATCATTTGGCATATATCTACACCGAAAGGAAACAAGCAACTAAAATCAATGGGTTTTACTGAAAAGTTTAAGAGTTGTGATATGAACGTTATATCAGCAGTTTTTTCCTTCTGCCGAAATATGCATCCACCTGTAATTCAGCCAATTGTTTGGGCATCCAGCTGCTCTCAGTGAATGACAGCTACACAGTTTTCAAGTCCAAGCTTATATTTGGACAGCGTGGATTCACTTTGTAGAGTAATATAACCTTCTGCGGACAACGAAGCTGAATAACAGGTGGATTCATATTTAACTTTTAAAGTTTTGATTCTGATTTTTTCGGAGTCACAAACTGCTTCCAGTTCGAATTTGGCCTGTGTGGATGAACCTTTTACAATAATATGACCTACTACTGTAAGGCTGAATTACAGCTGGATGCATATTTCGACAGACAGAAAAACAGCTGATATAAGGTTCATATCACGTCCACCAACAACTCTTCAACTTTTCAGTAAAACCCTTTGATTTTAGTTGCTCGTTTTCCTCTCGGTGTAGACTTGTGCTAGATGATGATTTTCCGCATTGAAATGAAATCACTCACCAGTCAAACGTTTAGGTTGATAAGAATAGAAGAAGAATAGAATATTCCTTTATTGATCCCCCATGGGGGAAATTTTTTTGTCACAGCAGCATCACAGACAAGACAAAAAGTGCAAAAATGCAGTTATAACAATAAGGGTCCTAATATTAAGAACTTAAATAAATGTAATAATTAAGAAAAAAATTAGAAAAGGGAGAAGAAAAAATAAAGCTTTCTACAATATACACAATTTAAATGCCATAAAAAAAGTGGTGGTGTAAATCCAGTTTTGTTACTGTTCATTGTAAAGTCTTATTGCAGAGGGGAGGAATGATCTGCGGTAGCGCTCCGTCCTGCAGGGTGGGAGTCTCAGTCTGCTGCTGAAGGAGCTGCCTAAAGCCCCCACAGTCTGGTGCAGTGGGTGAGAGGGATTGTCCATGATGGATACAAGCTTTGTTAACATCCTCCTCTCACCCACCTCCTCCAGGGAGTCCAAAGAGCAGTCCAGGACAGAAACAGAACAGAAAGAAATGTTAAAATGTTTATCCTACAAGATCTTTTCAAAATAAATGACACAAAAAGAAATTAAGTTTACTTTCGGATCATTGCTCACCACTGTTAAGCTCCACATATACGAATTGTATCGTTTTAAACTGTACATTGCCGTGGACCGCTGTACTATGGCCGGTGCGCGTTCCCGCGGGGTGCATGCAATTCTCGACAGGCATGCGTTTCTCGGCACAACACCTGTACAGCAGTTAGACGTTGCCTGGCTGTCTATCAATTTAGCCAATTTAGATGTGGATAAAAGGACAATTCACACCAGAGGCGCAAGGATTAAAACTAAATCAAACAATTCAGCGGCAAATGCTTCATAAGGTAAGCGTTGAGCTGGGCTGGTTAGCATACAGCTTCTCAGCCAGCAACTAAATTAGACATGTTAAGTCTATTGGTATCCTGCTAGCTTATTTAGCTTGTGGCTGATAAATCGAGGTGGAATATCTCAGGCGTTGTTTGCTAGCAAACAAGAGATCGTAGCTTCCTTATAACCCTACATGTTACAGCGGACAATCCAAATCGTTTGTATGCCATATGACTTCCGTTTGTTTACCTAGGGAATTGTTGCGTTAGGTCGACCTCTTTGAATGTGAGGGCTTGACTGCATGTAAACACAAACATCGATAGTTGCGGCACTTGATGAAAACTGTCAATTTTAGTGCGCTACGGTATATGAACATGATGAAGTATCATTGATGGAATAAAGTTCAACGTTTACTCGATGAATGGGTGATTAGTTACGTTACGCTGAAGGACCAACTTCTTTGGAGGATTATGGTCAGTGTGGTGGGCACACACTGGGATATCGGCAGTCCACGGGACCTTAAGAGGCGTGTGGAGGTTTGAAGTATTCGTCTTCTCCAGGAGTGCAGCAGCTGCCTATCTTCGACTTGAACAACGCGACCATCCGAATTCAAAATGTCCCCAAAAACATCATCCTTGACATGCCCAGTCCTACATTTGACTCATGCGAGCTGAAATTTGGTTAAAAGCAGAAAATTTATCAGTGCATCGCCATTTTTCGCCGCCATGTCAATATCCGAGAATCACCAATAACACATTGCAAAAAGCAAACACGTGATGTTTTGAAGGACAGCAGTCTACGTAGGGGGGGATTCCAGTCAAATATCAAAGAATTTCAACCTGAGAGTGCTTTCAGAGACAGCGTCTCAGCTGCACAGACGTAGAATGTGTTCAGTTCGAGCCCTCCTTTAAAGTCTGAATTAGTGAGTATGCTAACACAGCTTTCCCACATTTTGATTCCCTGAAAAGTGAAATTTCAAAGCTGCTTCTCCTGTTAAAATCCTCGTGAATCTACCAGACCCCTTCTGTTACGTGGTTGCGTTGTGGAGAGTGTCCTGGCTTAGAAAACTGTAATAGCTACAGGTTTTCAAACAGCAGCTTCTCCTGCTGTCAAGAAAAGTGCTCACAGGACAGTGCTCATCTCCACCAAATGCGTTTGAAAGCATGTCGGTGGAAAAACCTCCCTCTCCCCTTGCCAAAGAGATTTCTTAAATAACTCTGATTTTTTTCCCCACCGCCAAGTTCCTCTCTTGGTAAAGACAGTAGCAAAATAATTGTGAGTAAATGTACAAGTTGCGGTACCATGCCAGTCTTTAACAGACAATCATAAATTTGGGGTCCTCTTCCTTAAAATTAGGAGTGTTTGTTTCTATCAACCATTCTGAATATTAAACAAAAATTCTTCAAACTCCAGTCTGGGGAAATTTTGTGGTATTTGAACAAAAATTTAAGTGTGCACAAAACCCTGCAGTTTAGTTAATTCAGTTCAATTTAAATCAGCTTCATTGGCATACGAGTCAGGACAATACCAAGATTTTGGTCAAATACATTTTCCTTGTGCTCCCATTCTTCCTCACCTCACTGTTGTTACCCAACAGTCAGATCATGTTTGAAAATGAACCATTCTTTAACTCTGAGTACAAATGATCATCACAACAAGGTATCACAATGATGTTATGTGCTTTGACAGATGCCTGGTCAACATGGCGACCTGAAACCGAGAAAGCGGAAGAGCAGCTCTGAGCTCAAAAGCTCCAGAAAGGTTTGTTGAGGACAATCCTGTAAAAAGCAAGTTAACAACATAAATCATGGACCATGACCAAATGTAATGATATTAACTTTTTGCTGCAGGGTACTGCCACAAGGAGGAAATGTATTGAAAGTATAAAGACACACTCTGCAGCGGAGAACCCATCCGTTGTTCATGATTATAGTGGAGCAGACAGTCCGCAGGAGAGACTCTCTCGCATCAGCTGTGAATGCATGCTGACTGCTGGCCGCAGAAGATGCCTGGCATCACCAGAGCTTGGTGGACAGGAAGGAAAGGAGAATGAGCTGAGGACAGGTCTGGATATGGACAGCTGCCGAATAAACAGCTCCTTTAACAAACAGGAGTCTGAGGAGATGGAATGTGAAGATTCTGTCAGGACCATGTTCCCAGATGATGACAGTAATCAGATTCTTCCTGTGGAGCAGTTCTTTGGAAACTTGGATGCTGTACAGGTTAGACATTTTGGTTGGTCCTCACTATATAGACTGTGACTCAGGTTTGATTTGTTGCTTGAAACATATTCTTGTAGAATAAACCTTTTCTCAATGATGTCTAGTCCATGACAAACGACTGACAAGGAAGCACCCACCCCATCAGTTGTCAAAAACACATACTAAAGTTTGATTGCTCTAAAGGTGTTGTCATTTGTGATTATTGGACTTTCTGACATTCAGATTTTGGCCCATACCCTGGTATGAGTAATCTGGTTTGGTAGTCTGCAGTTTGAGCATTTGTATTGGTGTTTCCCAAAAAATGATTAACTAAGCAAGGTTTAAAAGGATTGAACTTTTTACTTCATCATCACCTATTACCGAATAGAAGTCTTTGACTGTTGCACATTTCCTGGCCTTAACATTTGGCCAGGGTTATGGAGTATCACATCATGAACACCTTCCACCTGCTGAATCCTGAGTTCACGTCGGCTGTGACAGGTGAAACTTTGCCGCCACCTGTCACAAGTTTTAAAAGGCAGTTTTTCAGTTACATATGATCAGTTACATATTAGAAAATTTTTGATTATCAGGTAGCACTGAGTTTTAAAGATTAAACATCCCATCACTGCTGGTGTAATCAAAATATTTTTAGCTTCATAATTGTTATAAATTGTCACTTTTAAGTTGTGAATAAAAAGCTATTGTCGTATGAGTCACTTGGGTTTCTTTTTTTAAGGAACTGAGAAAAGAGAGAAATGAGCACCCTGAATACTTTGTAAGACCATTGTTTTCATTTATTTCACAGGACTTTCCCCAGAGATTGCCAGAATCTTCTGCCCGTGCTCGTAGGAAGAACAGGAGAAGACAGTACTACGCTCTTGAGGACAGTGATGAAGAAGAGGTGAACTTCAGCAGTGAGCAACAAGAGGACATAGGGACCACTCAGTGACACGAGGCTGCTCTAATGACTGTTGTGGACTCAAAGTCTCGTCTGTTGAAGGACATTAAACCCCTAAGAAGTTAGGAAAAAGCCAGCCAAATTAAACTATCTTCCAAAAAGGAGAAAACAATCAGCCCTGAAATCTGAGCACTTTTACTTGGTGATGGTGATTGGTCACAGGTGATGAAGGCGCGAACTTCGCAGTGGGAGTTGGCTGTAACAAAACCAGCTGTGGGCCAAACATAGATCACTGTAAAGCCAAAATTATTGGTGCATATTTACCATATATTTGCTCCCAGTAGCTCATCATGCACTGAGGTGATCTTTTTTGCACCACAAAACTCAAAGTCCTTAAGTTCACCTCAAGCATTTTTCAGTATGACTGTTAGCAGTTTGAAAGTGAATCCTTGATCCACCGCTCAAATACCAAAAATGCTGTATTGTATCCAACCAGTTCTATATGGCATCATATTTGGAGTTATTCTTTATATTTTTTAACATGGCCATCATAATGGGACTAACATAGCCACTAGTGAGGAACACAGTTTATAGTTATGCTTGATTTAATATTTATAGCTTAAATTCTGCTCACACCATCCTGGTACTTTGGCATTGGACTTACCTGGAGGGTGTGTTTGCTCAGCACTTTATTCGGACAAATCAATCCTAAACACACATTCAAAATTCAGTGTAAGCATACTTCAAAACATTATTTTTTAATATATAAACAAAGAACAGTTTACATGAGAGACACTAAAGTGAAAAGTAGATTAAACTAACATAATGAAAGATTTAAAGTCCTGGTTTCAGAAAATAAACACGGTGTGGAAAGAAAGCATGTCAAAGCATAGTTCTTTAAATAGCAGTCCTTCTGCAGTCAGGATGACAACATGTTTATTAAGAGTCCAGTTTCCCGCAAACATCCTTCTGTCCTCATTTCAATGGCATCTGGTTAGAATTCAGCACATCTGTATATTTACATGTAGACCAATGCAGCTAATGATCGGTTTATTTCATCCTTTAAAACATACAATGAAAAAATATATTGTGAAAAAAAAACATGGCAGGTTTGTACTTCACACATTAAGTGAAGAAGAGAACAAAGAATGACTCATGGTCAGACTCTGAGGTCAGCAGTGATTGCACTAGTGCTGTTAACATGCCCTATTTTGTATATAACTGATTGTTTATATCATCCAATCAAATGTTTTGTATATTTTTACTGCCATATTTATGCAAAATGCTTCTCATATTCGCCTATGCAATGTTGTGCCTCATATCAAGCAGTCATTGTATAATCAGCTCATGCAGTTTACATTATTGTGCCAAAACAAGAACAAATAAATGTTTTTCATGATTTCAGTCTTTGCTTCCTGGGTGTGACCTGCCTCAACCAAAACACTGCTTGGCTGTATGAAAGCTACACTGCTCATAATATAATAGGCTATTAGAATCTAGTGAGGTATAAATAAGAGATCCTCGTTGGCCTGAACTTGTAACAGGGGCCATGAGATGATTCACAGATTTTGTCAGGTTTTTTTTCTTGTCAGGTTTTTTTTCAAGGCAAGGTTCACATTAGGCGCCTCCTCTTCCCTCTGGCTTTCTGTTTTCCCTTGTCTGTACAACTAGCTTGTTTAAAAATCCTCTTGGTGTCACACAGCAGGTTGTGAGCTCCTTTCTTGTGGCACACGATGTGAACCAGTTTTAGGTTTTCCCTGGTGAACAGCAGGCAGTAGAAGTAGTTCAGGTTGACATCTGTGCTCTTGTGATTCTGGAGAGCCTCAAGCAAAGCAGGAATGATCGACCTCTTCTTTTCAATTCTTGACACAAGACAAAAAAAAAGTTAGCTTGTTCCCAAAACAGGAGGTGTTCTGTTCCAGTTTATGAAAATCATAGTCATTAACTTGAAGCCAGCAGATTGGCCATCCATTGAGGACTGCAGTCCCTCTAATTTGTTCAAACTCAGACCACCATCTACAATAGACTCAAGTGCTACAAGATTTGATTCTTTAGCCTAGTATTGGTATGACTGGTCATTATAAAACAACAGTTCATGGCAACAGTCTGCCGTTTCTCTACAGCAGACTGTTGCTGGAGATGTGACTCTGATCCCACATTGGATGACAAACTGAAGAAAGTACAGCAATGTACAAAAAAAGAAATCTAGGACATCTTACATTGGGCTGTCTGCAGTGGGAAAACCAAGAAAAGAGCCAAAACAGAGGGGGAAAAAGTAGGGGAGTTGTAAGATGAAACTACAGGATATGAGATCTACACAATTTAAGACAGCATATGTCAACACTGGAAAAAAAAGGCACAGAAATGGTAGTGTTTAAGGGTCATGACTGAGTTTTTTTTCCTGGAGGGTGTTGGTCTGTGAATTTGTGGAACAGGCTTCTGCAGGTTCAACAAGTAAATCCTACAACAAGCTATAGAGGTAGACTTATTATGTGTCTTTCTCTTGAATTGTACATCTCAGTTTTAGTAAATGCAAAAGTGACTGGTTTTCAGTGTGTGTGCATGTAATATGACCAAGAAAGATTTCAGCATTAGTGTCAAACCTGTGGTCCAGATTCCATGTGCTAAAGATGATCCTGCCCTCCCGGCTGCTGTAAGGGTTGATGGAGTGGAGAGATGGGCACACCTCCTGGTCAAATGATCCCTGAAGAGGTAACAGAGAAGAAGACAGTGATGTGTTTTTCCTGTTCCTTGAGCTCGTGCAGATGAATCTAGGCCTTAAATACCTGGCAGGTAAACCATCCCTCCCGTGTGCAAAGGCGATGTGGCTCTTTTTCTGTCCTGTTAAAGTAGCAGCCATTGTAATTTGCAGCCTTCAACATTTCCACCAGACAGTTGGATGCTTTCTGAAATTCAGCCTTGACTTTAGCCTTGTTAATGGTTTTCATAGCATCATCCATCTGTGAGAATAAGTTTTAGAAATTAGATCAAATAAATATCTACCAAACAATGACAAAAGTTTTCTTGGTAGACAATAGCTTTACTTCTTTCATGTAGCCTCGGATCCTGCTTTCACAGTTGAACTTCATGTAGGCAGACTTCGTCTTGAATCGAGCATCAACGCCTGAAATCAAACTTGAATAAGCTCAAAGGGACAGGAATTACGAGTCTCATCAAGTGTTCAATGTATTTAAAGTTTGTTTTGGTGTTAGATAAAATGTTAACTACTTTGCAGCTAAAACTTGGCTTATTTACACATTTTTTATAGTAAAGGTCACCAATAATATCACATATTTCTCCACAGGTTTTATCTCGTTCATGCAGTATTTTCAAACACTTAAACCCAAACACTACTTTAATAAAGTAGGTCTTAAAAATGTCATTGACAGACTTGGTTGTTCACAAGTTTTTGTGCAGGATCATGCAAAAAAATATTACCAAAATGGAAAAGTTTTTAGTCTTGCCTTTCAAATCTCAAAGTGTACAGACAATGAACTACCTGGATTCAATGTAGTTTAAAAAAAAAAAAAAAATCTTGAGGTATCCAGCTGTAGTTGTCTATGTCATAACCAATGTGGTTTAGCTAGTGAAATACTGTCCGCTGTTTCTTTACGATGTTGCCAAATTCTATAATGTTACCAGAAGAATAAGAAGCTGAACATTGAACAAAAGAAAATAAAGTCTATCTACTGAGTGCAACTTTGTCCCATGAGTGGCAAACATGAAAAAGTATGATCCTTAACAGAAAAGTATGTAAAATTTCAACCCTCGTCCAGTAAGGTAAAGAAAGCGTGTTTTTTCTAGTATATTCAAGTTACAGAGACAATTTGCACAGAAAAACTTGGCAATAACTCAGGCAGATGGCATCAAGTTGCAGAAAAACTTGCTACTAAAGTTTCTCCTGGAGCTCTTTACGTTTAGAAACCTAACGTTGAATTAATAGATAATGTTTTGCAAAAATTAAAGGTGGGGTAGGCAGGATTCTGTTAAAGAAGCATCTTTTTTTGTGGTGTATATATAAAAAAGATTTTAATATCAGCCAATAGATATTAGTTATTGATGACATTTGATAATATAAAAATATAACTGTTTTGTTATGCCTGTGAAGTCACCATTTTAAATTTTTTTGAGCGGCCCGCTCTTTCTGACTGTAAACAAAGCTATTCTCTGCCTCCCCCAACCTGATTGGTAGTGAGGCAGATGCTGCTCCCTTGTGAGGCACGCTCCACGTTCTCCAATAACGTTCACGAGCCCAAACAAAGTTAGCGTGCTACAACATTGGACAATAAAAACCAACCAGAAAGTACAGAAAACACAAGTAATAAAGCAAAGTAAATACTGGAGACTCTGGCAGAATAACGGGTGCTTAAAATGGAGGTAGACCAGCCGGGTCAACATCAGCATAAACAATGGGGACGCTTCGGGATCTTCCAGACCCTGTAACCTTTCTGCTGGACAAGGTAAACCGCTTTAACAAAGTAAGCCAAGTGTCTGTAACAGAAGTGCTACTTGTCTAGAGGGGATTGGTGTGTGTTGTAGTGCCGCTAAACTGTTGACCTCAGGTCCTGGAGTATGCCACTTTATGCTAGTTTTAGAAGTCCTGCAAACATTGTGTTTGCTGGTAGTTTGTTGGCATCTACAGCAGCACCAATGCTTTTTACTGCACATTGACTGAGCCCAATTTGTAATTATCTGAAGTATTTATCTGCATTATATCTGAATTTAATTGAAACGATACGAGCGAGCAGGAGCGTCTGTTTGTAGGTGGGGCTTGCTGAAGCAGAGAGGGAGGGGTGAGGAGGAGCTGAGGGGAAAACTGGTTGGGAGGGGTAGTGTTTACATTTAAGATTTCTCCCCAAAACTGGCACTTCCTCAGATCCTGCTTACCCCACTTTTGAGTCAGATAAATGTTGTTTTAATCCAGGATGGCTCTCCTTTTAATGGGGGAGTTTTAATGAGGACACAGACTCACAAAATAAACTGAATGGCTTTGCTGCCAATCCATAAACCAAGCAGCTCAAATAAAAACATTCAGGATCTTTATTTGACTTTGTACCTTTGAACCAATCTTCATCCTCCTCTCTGTCCTCCAGCTCAGATCTGTCCTCCAGGTTCTGCAGCAGGTCACTCAGGATTTTGCGTCTTTTTGGAGACTCCTCATCTGAGAGGAGCTCTTTCGCAGCTCTAATGAGGCCATCTGCATGCTGGTCCGTGTTGAGTAAATGACTGATGTCGCACGCAACTGGAATTATATTCAGTGACGTGATAAGAGTTTTTGTCAAAACTTTGAGAAGCATTTTATACTTGTCTGGGAATCATTTCCTTACCTCCACTCCATGTCTGATCTCTAGAGAGTAGAACAAGCTCAGTGTTGTCTGGCAGAGTTGGGAAGAAATCGTCTGTCACTTTTGTCCCATCAACATACACACAAACATGTGCACCGGAAAGTGGTAACTGCAAACGAAAAACAAAACGAAACATGCAAAATATGAATAATCACAATGTTATTTAGCAGAGTTACATTTGAGAGCAAATACAACACAAGTGGGATCTAGACAGAAGGAAACAACATCAGTAAGTGCCCAAAACTTTTTAAGCACATTTAGGCATAGTGCAGTCATGCAGACAATGCATTTTAAAGATTTTTTTCTGTAATGTATAACCACCATCGATCCATCAACCAAAATGACTTACTATCCAAAAGAAGTCACAATAACACTGTCACCATCCATCATCATCATCACCATCAAGTGCAGAAATGCGTTCACCATCCATCATCATCATCATCATCACCACCACCATTAAGTGCAGAAATGCGTTAGATTGTGGCGGAGCCCTTGCCCCATGGACTCACACAGGTAGATTCACAGGACTTTGCCAAATGTGGTTGCATACTATTTGGCTACCTCTTGTGGGGGTGTAATACACAGCTCACGGGAATTAAAACCTATCAACACTAAACTACTTCTCATCTGTTTATAATCTTATTATGATACTTTCACAGCCACCCTTTTTTTTTTAACTTTTACATGTTTTAGACCGATGAAAAAGTCAGTTTGATCCTATTTATCACTTTATTTGTTAATAGCTTGCTAGAAATAAAAGCCTTCACCACCAAACTAGTTCTCATGGTTATCGCTGTAAAACCACAAGTAAAAAAAAAACAGCAAAAAAAGGTGCAAAATATTCGTAAATGGAGCTAGCCAACCTCCACTTGACAGAAATTCTTATTTTTTAAATAGGCACTTGTTTCTTTAAATCAACAGTCAACAGTCCCATTAAAAAGTTTTTTAAAAGCTTTTTTTAATTAAATGATGGCTGTGAAATTATCATAATCATTCCGATCATACGATTATAAACAAACGCGAAAGAGTTTGGAGTTGAAAAGTTTACATTCCAGCGAGCCATTTAAAAAAACGAAGTGATGAATATGATAAAATTATGCTCAATGACTTTTTAAATTAGTCTAAGGAAAATGAAAAGTTCTTTTTTTATTAAAAAAAAAGATGGTTGTGAAGGTTCAACAGTAAGATTATCAACAGGTAAGAAGTAGTTCGGTGTTGATAGGTTTTATTAAGTAAGCTATTCCAAAATTATTTTACAGCGATTGCACTTCTATGACGGTCCCAAAGCATCCCGGCTGCCGTACGATGGATACGACGGATGGATATTCGATGAAGTTTTGAGCTTTCGCCAGACCCGCTGATGTTGGTCGGTTAGTCAGGCCTGTGAAATGTCAGCATTTCTTGTCCGTCCAAAACAATACTCACCTGGAAGAAAATGGCGCGACTTTCATCACGCTATTACAGTTACAAACCCGAAAAAATGCGAATGCCGAATATAAAAACAATTTCATCCTCAGAACTAGCACACAACACAGGGCTCACCTGTAATAACCTGCAACCTTTTTTAAGCAGCTCCTTCAAGTCTTTCGCTGCCACTCCGTATTTTCTGTGATCATTTCTACTCCTTATTTTCAAAGGTTTGTTTTTCCTGAAAAGTCCAAACATTGCACTGTCTTCACTTAAACTACCGCTTCCGTCTTCTTCTTCTGTAGGCTGACTGCACACAGTTATGGTTTGACGCTGCCCTCTAGTGTTTCTGTTATGCAATAGCATGAGCTCGTTGAAACAGAATTAAAAAAGTACAAAAGCAGCTTTGTGTGAACAAACGATTCAGAGTTGTTTGGAACAGTCACAATGCACCAATGCACTTCTTCCACCAATCCTTCCAAGACGTTTTCTTCAGTTGTGTGCCGACAGGAACTATTGACTGCTGTAACAATAATGAAAATTAAATTTGAGAAGGTAGTGAATTTAGAGGATTTTTTTCTTTTCTCGTGCAAGTGCGTTTTTCCTAATTTGCATTACACTGATTAAAAAAATCTTCTCGGGCCAGTCAAAAGTTGTGTGCGTCGTACGACGACCGATAACGAGCCTATGTTTGGATATAATCTTCTATAATCTTCAAGTGAAGGGCTCTTTAGAATCATGTTTGGTAATTGCATTAGCTTGCTTCAAATTAATAAAGCGCTGTAAAATCAGCTGCAGTCAGGCAAGGAATGATAAAAAGCACAATACTGCAATCCCTCACGTCTACTAAAGTCAGATGTAAGACAGTCATACTTAAAGGGAGTTATAAAGGTTGGTGTAAAACTAAACTCGTCAGCCGTCGCAGTCAACCATCACAAGAGTACAAACTCCATAAAATGATCTGGACCAACTTCAAATGGTTATGTTTGATGATGTCATTGGATTATACATGTCATCACTACTACTACTACTGCTAGTTAGATTATATATTCTGAGAAAAAACAAGAAGGAAATTTATCGAGGGAAACTTATTAATAACTGTAATTAGTTGATATAAGCAGCATTAATAAAAGCTGCACAATTAAGTGGTACGCCACAATAATGCATTGATTGTTTTCAGGTCTTCAAGGAGGACCATACAATAACATTGCATAGCAACGTCAAAATTACCATAGTAACTGATGCAAGGCGATAGAATGTACCATATGGAGGGGGGGGGGGGTTCAATAGTATAGCAGGAACACGTGTGTAAATGCTGCTGCGCGTTTCAAAACTACTCGGCACGCGAACAAGTTTCTTAAATGCGCAATCTATGCGCATTACAATGCTATTGACGCGTGAATACGGTAATTGGGAATCTCACATTACTTCGCTCACCCCTGTCTAAGGAGTAGTGAAGTCTGTTTTCAATATGGCGGCCGCGTGTTTGAAAATCTGAACAAGCTCTGTTTCCAGCTATGTCGGTCTTAAGCAGTTTATCGTAATTTCGGCATTGCTATTGTAATTTCAACATTGGCTAAGGAGTATGGTCAAAACTGAGAAATTAACCACCATGGCGGAGAGCTGGAGAGGAGTGTTTCAAAGAAGCCGGTTGGTTCCCCCGCCACGCAAGGCGATCCGTTTGGCCGCGGAAAGTCACTTCACCAAGTCCCACGGGTTTCAGCTCTGCCTCAGCCGAGTCAGTGTTGCTCAACCTCCGCAGGTGACTTATCAGCGCTAACGCAAGATGCTAGGTAGTGATGTGGGAAAATGTCAGCACATGGTAGTTAAAAGTTTTGAACTTAATAAGAAGAGTGAACTTACTGACTTTGGGCTGTACTGAGATAGAGATGGACTGAACAACAACAACAACAAAAAAGACTAAGACCCTTGTGGCATTTCATAAAGATACGCAACACTGTGAAGAGTAATCTATAAAACTTAAGTAGAACAATTAAAGGTCACCCTGGATCATAGTTTCCATGTTAGTACAAAACACTATTAAGAATCCATAGCCTCTTCCTTTACATCCAGGTGACATAAAATGAACATGTTTTGAATATTTAGGGGTTTAGATGTTTGCCAATAAAACGGCCAACAATGGAGGTCAAACGTTTGGTTATGAATACCCCCCTCCTTTTTTTTTTTTAAACTAACAGGAGATATCAGAGCTAGGACAAGATTTGACCTACCGGGTCCACTTGACCTTGTTCGACAGAAGCCAGCATTTCTTTGGGAAAACATGGAAGAGTCAACCACAGAGGATGAACAACAACAAGATCTCCTTCAATCAGGTAACTTGAGTATAATAGATTTACTCAGTGTTTGGTCTTTGGGCTTAATTTGAATGGCTCCTTGTGTAGTTTTGTGTTGCATGATGACTATATGGTAAAATCAAGTCACATCAAAGCATAAATTACATAAATTTTACTCAGCATCTATTTAATTCAATCAACTGAAGAGCTACACCACTCAAGATGTTAAATTAGCATTTGTTTTCTACAAAGCTCTTGAAAACATTGCCTTATACTTAGCAAGTACAAATCTTGATTGCCAATTATTCTGCCTGCTGGCATTTAACATGCTTAATGTAATAAGTAGTCAAATTTTAACCCAGTAAACTGATGAAAAGCAGCTTTTAATCACATGAACAACTTGTATTCTCTAATAAATTATTGTAGAGGGTGAATGGTAAGTAGAAAATCATGTGGTAAGTCACAAGTATTTTGTTGTTTTTACAACATACAAAGCCCATTTTTGATGTCATACATTGTTGTATTGAAACAGAGAAAAGGACAGTTTTTTTCAATAGCTTTTTTGTTCTCATCAAATAAAAAAAATAAAAAAATTTGAGTGTAATCCCTCTGAGTGGTCAGAAAGACTTGAAAAGTGCTATATAGGTCTATTTGCTATTAAGTGACCACTACATCTGGCATTAGAAAGCAGAGACATCACTGACATGGTGAGAGGTATTGTTAGCTGATGGAAAGGTCAGGTGGTAAAAGTATTATGAACATAGCAAATTTGTCTCTGAAGTTAGGAACTCAGAATTTTGCTCTGCATCTTTTGTTAAATCAGACTTAGAGTGACCAGTCAACATTGACAAATGACTTGTTTGTGGTTAACTATAGCCAAAATAACCAAAACATTTGGGGTTTCATTTAAAATGTTACTCTATTGTACTGTTAAACATATTTTTAAGATTCTGGGCTCTATTTTTGTGCCTGCTGGTGGCGCGGCGGAGGGTGGCGCACCCTGCGCAGTAGTATTTTTGTCTGGCAAAGCCCAGTGCATAGCCAGTTGCTGATTCAAACCTGGTCAGCTTTCAGCACAGGCGGAGCGCAGCTAGTCTAGTGGTGTTTTGGTAGACCGGCGGTGTAGTGTGCATACGTCACTGATGCCTTACCGGCAGGTTATTTATGGGTTATATTTCTGAGAGTAACCCAATAATTGGGTCAGAACGTTGGGTTTGATTCACTCTACATGGTTCCTAGGCCCAACGGCAATTAAAGTGACCTTTTTGGGGGATGGTTCAGTGGGTAGAGCATCCGGTTCCCAACCAGGGGTTTGGGGTCCGAATCCCGCATGAGACACATCTCTAAGGCGGGAACTAGGGCCTGACCGATATGGATTTTTTGGGGTCGATACCGATTATTGGGGGGGGGGGGGGGGTCCGATTACCTATTAATCAGCCGATTTTTTATACTTTTAAAATTAAGAAGTAAATATATATATATATATATATATATACACTCACCGGCCACTTTATTAGGTACACCATGCTAGTAACGGGTTGGACCCCCTTTTGCCTTCAGAACTGCCTCAATTCTTCGTGGCATAGATTCAACAAGGTGCTGGAAGCATTCCTCAGAGAGCTTGGTCCATATTGACATGATGGCATCACACAGTTGCCGCAGATTTGTCGGCTGCACATCCATGATGCGAATCTCCCGTTCCACCACATCCCAAAGATGCTCTATTGGATTGAGATCTGGTGACTGTGGAGGCCATTTGAGTACAGTGAACTCATTGTCATGTTCAAGAAACCAGTCTGAGATGATTCCAGCTTTATGACATGGCGCATTATCCTGCTGAAAGTAGCCATCAGAAGTTGGGTACATTGTGGTCATAAAGGGATGGACATGGTCAGCAACAATACTCAGGTAGGCTGTGGCGTTGCAACGATGCTCAATTGGTACCAAGGGGCCCAAAGAGTGCCAAGAAAATATTCCCCACACCATGACACCACCACCACCAGCCTGAACCGTTGATACAAGGCAGGATGGATCCATGCTTTCATGTTGTTGACGCCAAATTCTGACCCTACCATCCGAATGTCGCAGCAGAAATCGAGACTCATCAGACCAGGCAACGTTTTTCCAATCTTCTATTGTCCAATTTCGATGAGCTTGTGCAAATTGTAGCCTCAGTTTCCTGTTCTTAGCTGAAAGGAGTGGCACCCGGTGTGGTCTTCTGCTGCTGTAGCCCATCTGCCTCAAAGTTCGACGTACTGTGCGTTCAGAGATGCTCTTCTGCCTACCTTGGCAGACCAGCCCTTCTGGCACCAACAACCATGCCACGTTCAAAGTCACTCAAATCACCTTTCTTCCCCATACTGATGCTCGGTTTGAACTGCAGGAGATTGTCTTGACCATGTCTACATGCCTAAATGCACTAAGTTGCCGCCATGTGATTGGCTGATTAGAAATTAAGTGTTAACGAGCAGTTGGACAGGTGTACCTAATAAAGTGGCCGGTGAGTGTATATACATGTGGCATGGTTGTTGGTGCCAGAAGGGCTGGTCTGAGTATTTCAGAAACTGCTGATCTACTGGGATTTTCACGCACAACCATCTCTAGGGTTTACAGAGAATGGTCCGAAAAAGAAAAAATATCCAGTGAGCGGCAGTTCTGTGGGCGGAAATGCCTTGTTGATGCCAGAGGTCAGAGGAGAATGGTCAGACTGGTTCGAGCTGATAGAAAGGCAACAGTGACTCAAATAACCACCCGTTACAACCAAGGTAGGCAGAAGAGCATCTCTGAACGCACAGTACGTCGAACTTTGAGGCAGATGGGCTACAGCAGCAGAAGACCACACCGGGTGCCACTCCTTTCAGCTAAGAACAGGAAACTGAGGCTACAATTTGCACAAGCTCATTGAAATTGGACAATAGAAGATTGGAAAAACGTTGCCTGGTCTGATGAGTCTCGATTTCTGCTGCGACATTCGGATGGTAGGGTCAGAATTTGGCGTCAACAACATGAAAGCATGGATCCATCCTGCCTTGTATCAACGGTTCAGGCTGGTGGTGGTGGTGTCATGGTGTG